GTGCCAGCGGCTGAACTCCTGTAGTCGGAAACGATGATCGCGGACGGGTTGTTGGAGAGGAAAGTCGCGATGGGCGATGGATCGTCGTCGGTGAAGCCGGCGAAGAAGTTGACGCCGGTGGTGGAAAAGGCGCTGGTCGTGTCATCGTCCATCGCCACGCTGGTGATGGTCGGGTTGCTGTAGCCAAACGTGTCGGCGGTTTTACTCAGCACATCCGTGACCTGCGCCGTCTCCACGGCGTCATAGCCGTGCAGCACAACGTGCAGCTTCGCCGCCACGCCCGTCACCGCAGCGATGGTGGGAAGTTGGGAGTACAGTATGTATATCTCCTGCGCCACTGTCGGCATCAAGCGGATAAAGCTCCTCTTCTCAATGATCCGGCGCCCGTGCGCGAAGACGGGTGCGACGACGAGCAAATCGCCCTTTTCAAGATCGTCCGCCACTGGGCCCATCAGCACGTCCACGGTGTGCTCGCTCACCTCCGCGTCCAGCACTGCCTGCTGCGTCGTTGTCGAGGCATTCATGACGGCCATATTCAGCGAGATCTCCGTCGTGTTCAGGAAGTCCATCGTTAGGGGGACGATGGTGCTGAGACGGTCCGCAGGGTCCACGACCTCCCCATTGTCGGTCAAGGCAAAAGTCACCACACTCAGCGGTTTGGGCAGCTCAACATCCGTGGAATAGCACACCGCCTGCGAGTAGGTGAACATAGTGTCCTCCAAGACAGTCCAGACAGACCCGTTGACGAAACGCGCGAGGAAGGCGGTGTGGCCGCCCTGGTTGCAGTTGCACATCGCACCCGTTTTAGCTGCAAAGGGATCGCAGGTGCCGCCGTAGTCACCGTAGACGGCGGTGTCTCCGAAGACGTAGCGGTTCTGGTTAAAGATCCCTGTCTGGTAGGTGGCACGGTCCGTAATCCAGTCGACCCGTTCAAGCGTGCGCTGGATGACATTGCCGGCCAGCCACCCCACCACCATTTGCTGGCCCGTAATGGAATTGCGCGCAAAGAAATCTTTGGCCGCGCGCAGCAGATCCGCGGAGCTGCTCAGTGCGCCCGAGGAGCTCGAACCGTTCAGCAGCCTGTAGGTGCTCCGGCCAGAGTGCACGATGTAGTTAGCCATCTCTTTTTGAAAGAGAACAATGTGAGTGATATTGGTGTTGTCGTCTGCAGGTGAGCGCGAGGTGGTGCTGCTGAAGATCCGGTAGTCGTGCCTGCTGGAGGCATCTCCATCAGTTACGTTGACGTAGGCCTTGTACATAGCCGTCTGCAGGGCCAAGCAGCCCATGATGGCTGCCGACGACGTACGCGGGTCCAGCATGAGCGCTCGCGCAAACTCATACGTCTGCAGTCCGGGAATGCCCCACACAATCACCACCTGCGGATGTGTGTCCGCCATGGCGTCAAAAGCGGCACGGTTCACGGCGGAGTCCGTCGCAGAGTACTTCACGGAGTAGACAGCGGCCGGGTCACGCTCAAGGCGGCTCAGCATCTCCCGCATCTCTTGATATTCAGCATCACCGTAGTCGGCGTCCGTCAGGTACATGAACGCGATGCGCTTCGCACGGAGGGTGTTGAGGACGTACGACATGATCACCTTCAGCTCGGCGAGCGGCTCAGCACGGATGAAGTACGCGTGGGGGTTCCACACACGCACGGTCGACGACCCCGTGAAGGGAGCCAGTAACACCAAATGGTTCTCCTTCACCACGTTGCTGTTCAGCGCGGCCATCGTTGAGGCGTCCGAGTAGGGCCCCAAGACGCCCAACAGCGTAGGGTGGTCCGCCAGGCCCTGTGCAATCACCGCGGCGACATCGGTCAGGTTGGCGCTGCTGTCGGGTTCGACAATGACGAGGGGACGGTTGCCGCCAACGGTGTAGCGGGAGGCGTAAAAAGCAGCGTCCATGCCGGCCCAGATGGCATTGGCATTCGTCTCCGACTCTTGATCTGCGCTGTGCATCATGTTGAGCAAATAGACGGGCTCGGGGCCGCTGCCGGGCGCCGTGGAGCTGGCAGCACGCACCGGTACGCATGATGCGTCGGGCACACAGAACAACAAACAGCACAGCGCAACGAGGACGCCGAGGAAGAAAAAGATGCGGCGGCTCTTCGCACCGGGTGAGCGGCGACGGCGCGCACAGCAGCCACGGAGGGGTCTGCCGCTCCCGCCTCCTTGGCACCGGTCGCTGTGCCGAAGGAAGTTGGTGGACATCGGTTTGGGGTGGGTACGTGGGGCAACCAAACGGAGCAAGCCACCACGTACAAAACGAACGAATGAAAGAGGAAATGGAAGAAGCTGAAGAAGGACGGATCAGAATTGCAGTCAGCGGTCTCACCGGCTGCGCTTTGATCGCGTAGGTGCGTCAGCTGCGAAAGATAAACAAAGTAAAAAGATGTTCCAAGAGAGCGGGCTACGCTCAAGAGGAAACGAAAGCAACGCGAGAGGGGAGGATATTTATCCGCAAAGCGTTCGGAAAGGGCGCCGGCCACAGAGTCGTCTGCGCCGCTGTCGGTTCGGGCTTCGAGTGGTGCGCGCAGCGGACCTCGCAAAGGAAAAAGAAGGCAGAGAGGAGTTAAGGAGAAAAAAAGGGCTAAAATATTAAAGATTCGTTGGTGGCGAAAACACAAGAAAGCTGGTGAAAGCGGCGTTGTGCAGTCTGTCGTTAAAGCCGGGCGGCCGCCGTTCGTACGGCACACACACGGAGAGCGCAGGCAGAAGAGAAGATAGAAGCGGGAGGCGAGAAGCGAGAAGCGGGAGTTCAGTCAGCAGCAGTGGCCGGGAGAGGAGCGTCCACCGCGGAGAGCGGCACGGAGGAAAAGGAAGAGGTGCGGGCAGGCGTCTCGACGCTCCGTCGGCAAAGGCTGCGGTGCCAGGGGCTGACATCCGCAGATCGGCACCGTGAGCCCGTCGCCGTGCAGCCCCGCGCGGCTCCAGAGGCCGCAGCACTGAGACCGCAGCAAGACAGCAGCGCCTCGAGAAACTACGCACGCGGCGGTGCGCTTCGCAGGGCAGCGGTCAATCGGACTCGGTTTCCTGTGGGACGCAGCGCACACCTAGAACAGCCCGGAGACAACCGTCGTCTGTGAGCACGTTGGGAGCACAGGACTTGCTGTGACGCCGCACATGGACCAGTGCAACGGCGGGCGGGCGGCGTCTACAAGGAGGACGCGCACCCGCCACATAAACAAAAGCGGAGAAGCAAGAGGGAACGCGGTGCGAGGAGCTCCACACGTTACGCACGAAAAGGGCTGATGGCGCAAGAAGCAGCGCTACCGCGACGGAGGCCAAAGAGCACGGTGGTGCAGCACACCGAAGGAGGAGAGGAGAGGAAGGATACCTGCGTGTGTGCGTGCGAGGGCGGGCAACACACACGCCTTTCAGCACCGTGAGAGAGGCGGAGAGACACACCGTCTGCTGGGTGCTGCGGCGAGGCGGAGACAAAAAGCGGGCAGCACGCACGCACCGTTTCCGTGAACTCGCGCTGCCCCACCAGCCGTGTGGGAGAGCACACGGAAAGCAGATGCTCACGGCAGAGAGGAGGCGGTAAGGGCACCGAAGAGAAGGCCCACACAGCACACGCAAACAGAGGCCAACGGCGAGCCTGCATGGGGAGGCGCACACCCACGTACACGCACAGCTGCGTTCGCACGCGCAGACGTGTCAGCCAGCAATACGCAGCGGCGAGAGCAGCACCACACGCCGCGAGCGCTCACACCTCTGCTCCGTCGTCGAGCACGGCGCGGACACCTCGGAGGCGGTCGTGCCCTCATCACCGCTCACATACGGCGGTCCGTGGCGGCGGCGGAGGCGCCGTGTCCGCAAACGTGTTCACAGCCTAGTCGCAGGGAGCATAGAAGTCCCCGGGGCAAAGGAAGATCGCCGCGGCGTCGCAAGTTTTCACAAACAATTCCAAACGCCTACTCTCTATTTGTGAAGGAGGGAAAGAAGAAGGAAGAGGAGATAAGAAAAAACACAAAAAAAAGAGGAGCAGGAGCAGAAGTGAATTTGGAAGGTGTGTGACATGGCGCGCATGTCAAAATTGCGCTCATCAGGAAGTCGCGCATGTAGGAAAATAGCACTGCGACGTAAATACGAAGATTCCGTTTCATGCTCGCCCTACGATCGCGTAATTGGATAGAGCAGGAGAAGAAATTCATGTATGTGTTGTACCCAATCCTGTAAAAGGCAGACCATCATCATAGCAAAAGTGCTGAAGGCTCTGTTGCATCATGTACGGCACCACGCATGAGCACAGCATCCTCCTCTCACTGTCTTGTTGTTGCCTTTGAAGTTTCAGGTATTTGAAATGACGAAAATAAAAGGAAAATGCAACGAGAAAAGTCACAGAGAGTGTTCAAAGGCACCCAAGCGGGTTTACTTGCCAACCTTGTCCTCCTTGGCAGCCTCCTTGCGCGCCGCGCGAGCCTTGCGGGCACCGAAGAAGCGGACGGCGGAGTGGTTCTTCTTGAGGAACGCGTACACGTTCTTCGTCGCCTCCTCGCTCGTCACGGCGCGCGGCGCCTCCTTGGCGGGCATCACAACCGGGCCCACGGCGGCATCGCCGAAGCGAGAGCGGTCCTGAGTGGCCGCCTTCACCTCCTCCTCCGAGGCCTCGCCCTTCTGCACCTTCTTGTGGTTCACAGGGAACAGCACAAGCTTGCTCAGATAGGTCTTCAGGCGCTGCACGTTCACGTTCATGCCCTCCTCGGACTTGTTCTTACGGCGGCCATCCACGCGAATGCCGATGGTGGCGGCGTATCGGGGGTTCAGACCGGCGGCCTTCAGCTCAGCAGGGGAGAAACCGCGGCCCAGCCGCTTCTTCATGTTGTGGCGCACCGTCGGGCAGTTCACCTGGGGACGCAGCGCCTTCAGCGGGCGGGGGAAGACCTTCTTCGCCTTCACCAGGCGCAGACGGCGGCGGCGGTTCTTCTGCGCCGGCTGGTTCAGGAACACCTTCACATTACCCTTCTGCGAAGAGCACGGGTTCCAGTGCTTCTTCTGGTGAACGTGGGGGATCGCGTTGTTTCCCTTCGGCATCTTCGCTTCGGCAAGTAAACCCACACCGATCGTTTACCCGACTTGTGTTGAAATTCCTTTCTCGGGAGTTCGCCAACTCGTCGCGTGCAACGCGTCTCACGTGCGTTACGTTGCCTTTTTCCTGTCTCTGCTCGCTGGAGGTGCCACGTGACATGAGTATCATGTTTTTCTTTTCATTTCGCTTGATTCATTTCTTTACCTGAAAAAAAGACAACCATGAAACTTGAAATTTCAACTCGAGGCAGCTCGACCGAACAGCGGAGCAGCCGTTAGAACGAAGATACACGCGACTCTGGGCTTTCGTGTTTGGCTCCTCACTTGCGCGCGGTGCGGTTCTGGAACATCCTTGTCAGCGTGCTGAGGCCGTTCATGTCTACGAGTTGACTTCGGTGTACCGGTGCCCTCGTTCGTGGCAGCTTCGCAGCGCTGTATGTTGAGGTGTGAGGGCCGATGTGGCAGGAGAAGATAACAGACTCCGACATTGCCTGCTGACGCGTACGGGAGGTCATTTCTCTACGGATTGTATGAAAGGGCCTTGGTGAACGCGACCTACAGCGTGTTACGCTCTTCATGCTTTTCCTTTTCTTCTGACTGCGGTGCTACTGCTTTCGATGTGATAGTGCTGTATCGCCTTTACTCACTTTTCCTTCCTGCTCTGCGCTCCTCCTCCCTTTTCTCGTTGCCTTCGCTTGATTCTACCACCTCTGCACCGTTCTTTTGGTTGTTCTACTCCGCGCGCGATGGCCGGTGACGACCATCGTCCACTCCAATTCACCCTCAATATAAAAACCCTCGCTACTGCGACATGTTCGCTGTGATCGTACAGAAATAGCAAAGAGTCCTTGTCCTCCTTGGCAGCCTCCTTGCGCGCCGCGCGAGCCTTGCGGGCACCGAAGAAGCGGACGGCGGAGTGGTTCTTCTTGAGGAACGCGTACACGTTCTTCGTCGCCTCCTCGCTCGTCACGGCGCGCGGCGCCTCCTTGGCGGGCATCACAACCGGGCCCACGGCGGCATCGCCGAAGCGAGAGCGGTCCTGAGTGGCCGCCTTCACCTCCTCCTCCGAGGCCTCGCCCTTCTGCACCTTCTTGTGGTTCACAGGGAACAGCACAAGCTTGCTCAGATAGGTCTTCAGGCGCTGCACGTTCACGTTCATGCCCTCCTCGGACTTGTTCTTACGGCGGCCATCCACGCGAATGCCGATGGTGGCGGCGTATCGGGGGTTCAGACCGGCGGCCTTCAGCTCAGCAGGGGAGAAACCGCGGCCCAGCCGCTTCTTCATGTTGTGGCGCACCGTCGGGCAGTTCACCTGGGGACGCAGCGCCTTCAGCGGGCGGGGGAAGACCTTCTTCGCCTTCACCAGGCGCAGACGGCGGCGGCGGTTCTTCTGCGCCGGCTGGTTCAGGAACACCTTCACATTACCCTTCTGCGAAGAGCACGGGTTCCAGTGCTTCTTCTGGTGAACGTGGGGGATCGCGTTGTTTCCCTTCGGCATCTTCGCTGATAAATACCTACACAGAAGCAGCAAAGGTTGATAGGAAAAATGAAACGAAAATAGGAGGCGAAAAAAGAAGGTTTTGCGGGTAGGGAGGTGCGGAGAAAGAAGGGAGGAGGCGGAACGTGGAGGGAGACGTACGTCGGGCAACGGAAATGTGAACGACAGCTTTCCCGATGGGAGTACGGTGTCACTGAATGACTTTTTCTTTTACTTTGCCTTCTAGAAAAGGAATACGAAATGCGAGAGAGGACTCGTACACAACGACGTAAAGATCACACGTTTCCACTGTAAGGCGAGTGCCCTTTTTCTTTCCACCTGGCCGTTGAGGGCAACTCTACACACTCCATCGGCAACATGCACCGCCTTTGGCCGGCGGGTGCAAAACATTGGCGCAAGCGTGAGTGCGGCACTGAACACTTTTTTTTTGCCTATTTCTCATATCAGTGATGCGACTATTCGAGGAGCCGTAACTGTAATACTACTAAGAGGTAAACTGCAGCGAGGAGGAGATGTACGACCAACGCAGAGAACCGACGCACAGGGATACGCAAGACACTTTTATAATGATAATAAAACAGGTGAGCGCCCAGGACGCACTGAAAACACAACACAGAGACGCCCCGCACCGCCGCGCGTGTCCTCCTCTTCGTTGATGACGCTCACGAAGCACGTTTTGACCTGCGCAGACGAAATGAACAATTGAGTGAGTATCATAAAAGGCGAAATGAAATGAAAGGAAGCTTTCCTAAGAAAAAGGTAACGCGTGTAAGTTGCAAAGGAGGGAAAGAACGGAAGAAGAAGAAGAAATGGCGGAGGCACCGGCAGCGAAGAGGAGCCAAAGGCACACGCGCGCATCTTCCCTTCTTCGTTGTCGCGTGTCTGTCGTGCTGCGATGAGAGAAGGAGGGGGTTCAAAAACGCCTTGAGACGCGACAGACTGTTTAAAAAAAAAAACCCTTCATTAGACACAGCAACGACACCGCAGCGGGAAAGAGTGCATTTCGCCGTATCACACAAAGGAAAAGTAAACAACTATATATGACCCCTCTCCACCAGAAAGGGGCCGCACTGGAGGGCAAACAGACTGCCGAGGCGACGAAAGCTGCAAGGCGTGGTAACGTGAGAAACAAAAGACGGAGGGAGGGCCCAACGTGCCTGTTGAACATCGTCACACAGGGCCGCCTCGGAGATTTACTCAATCTTGATTGACCCGGAGGATCCACTCGCGCTGGTGCTCAGCTTGGGGATGGTGACCACGAGCTGCGAGTCCTTGAAACTCGCCCTCACGCTCGTCTCATCCAACTTCGACGGCAGGTCGAAGCAGCGCTCAAAGCGACCCACGCCGCGCTCCGCCACGATCAGCGGGCGGTCGCTCTGCTCCTCCAAGTGCCGGCGGATGCCAGAGATGCAGATGGCCGACGAGCTCTCGGTATACACGCGAACGTCCTCCTTCTTCATCTCTGGCAAGTCAGAGATGAGCGTGTAGCTGTCGTTCTGCTCCGAAATGTCGACCGCTGGAATCCACTCCCCACGCGAGCGGGAGGAGAAGAAGGAGTTGAACATGTTGGAGCGAGTGGGATTGCCGAATAACGGAAACGCAAAGGGAAAGACGGCTTGGCGCCCGAGGAAGCCCTCGGCGTCGTCGTTGTTGCTGTCGCTCCGCCTGGGCATGTATTATGTAAAGAAATAGTGGACAGTGCGGGTTTTGTTGTTTCTGCGGCTGTTATATCCACAGGCAACGGCGATGGCAACGCTCCGTGAGAAGTTGGGAAAGGGCGAGCGCGCGGGTGCCTACACAAAGGAAAAAAAAAGAACTGTGAAGAGATGTTGGAGGGGAGACGGCGGTAGTGTTGTGCGTGAAGGTAATCTGTACCGGACACGGTAACAACAAGCAAAGACGGACGGTGTTGTCCACGATGATACGTGAGAGAGAGAGAGAGAGAAGAAGAAACAGAGGAAGAGGTCTTTTTTCAATGCGTTGGCTTCTTTAGCAACGCAGCGCGACTGCTCCTCCGCAACGTGCGTTTGACTTCTTGCCGGAGAATCCGCGCCTCGTAATAGGCTCGCAGAAACAGCGGAGGACGTTCGCCTCCTTTTTAGCAACGCGTGCAGTTTCCATGGATGCTCTCGTCTCGCTGTTCCTCCGCCGTACAACTGGAAAACACCAACACCAAAGGCCGGCGCGTTCTTCCGTGCTCAGAAGGGCGCACATGAGGAGAGAAGAGCATTCAACGGATTCGTAGTCCGCGCACAACCTGCGCAACTACAACGACGCAACGACGCTAGATGCAGCATCCGTCACATGGCACAATCGGTGCGTGAAGGACCACTTAATCCAGTGCGATGCATCATATTTATTTTTCTTCTTTAGCCATTGGTTCTGTCCTCATTTGCTTAATGGTTTCGGATGAATAAACGTACTCAATATTGGAGATGCGCGCTGGACACCAGGAGAAGGATTTGAACTTTAAAGAAAAAACGCGTTGAAACCTCCATAATAAACAGTAAATAATAAAAACATCTTGTCCTCCGCAGCCTTTGTAAACTGAACAGGGAGGGGAGGGGGGAAGCAGAAACACGCGAAGAACAACCGCAAAACTTGTTATTGATGAATGCGCATCGCAGCCGGCACTCAGCGATCTCTTCTAAAGGGGAACATCAAGGATCAGAAGGCAGAAAACAAAAAAAAGCACAAAAACAAAGGGAAAAGTTTGCGACGTCATCTCATATTTTTCGAAGACGACCAAAGAGAGAGCTATTAAAATACTTTGCTTGTTAGAAAAGAAAAAAAAAGGGGGAGAGAGTGAAGCGCAAGTTAAACGGAGAACAGAAAATCCTATTTGATGCTGTCACGTCGCCATGTCGTCCTGATGCACCACACAAAACAACAAGGAGCAAACGTTGTTGTGTGAGGCCGACGAACATTTTCCTGCCCTTGCTTTCCACAAACGAATTAAAAGAAGTAGTTCAATCGAGAAACTTGCAAATAACTTCACGCCGCCTCTGCGATCGCTGTTTAAAAAAACTACATTAATAGATATATGGCAAAGTGTTCCAAAAGAAAGGAGGAAAAGAATCAACTACATTGTTTACATCGACTGTTTTCTTTTTTGGAGGAAAAAAAAAACAAGTAACAAAAAAATAGGTCGTAGCCACCGCGGTTGTTGGAGCGAGAAGAGAAGTTACTCCGTTTTACGGGTCACGCACAAATGTGTAGGCGGAAGTGAGTGTTGGTGTGGGTTTACCTGTCACCCTCCTCCGTCTTGCTCTTCTTGCGTCCTTTCTATGCTGTTGGCCACGTACCGCGTAATGCAGCATCTGTTAAGAACACCTGTTTCGTCTCTTTGTGTGGAAAGGGGTGTGTGTATGCGTAGTGTACGAAGCTGGTACGCGCGTTGCCCGTTGCAGTCGTCTTCTTTCGCCATGGCGGAAGCGCTGCGGTCCACCCTTCATGTCTTGCCTTTTCATGTATATGGCTCTTCGCCGCAGGCTTCTAGTGAGGGAAAGAAGAGAAAAAAAACTCTTATGTCGCGCTCGCTTTTGACGCTACTCCGCCTCCTCTGTCATACGCTTCCAGTACTCCTTGTTTTCTGCGCAAAGACCGACGGCGAAGTTCATAGACGGCAGCAGAGCGGAGATGGCCTCCACCATCGGCTGCACAATATACATCATGAAGGATATCTGCCCCTTCGGGAACTCCTCCGCCTCCTTCGTGCGGTCCATGAAAGGCGAAATGGAAAGGCTCAGCATCCGCTCCGCGTCACCTTGTAGGTAAAACTCTCTCGCAATATTTTTGGCCCACTCCGCGTAGATGTGACTTGGACGGGCGCAGTTTGAAATATCAGCCATCTTGATCGACATGGAGAGCGCCAGCCGAACATCGTCCTTCTTGGAGAACCAGTCGCTCGTTTCGGACATGCGCACCTGGAAGTTCTTGAAGATCTTGGCGTGGTTGCCCATGTCCGTCGCCAGCACCATCTCAATCATCGTCTCCCGCACCATTAAGCGCTGTGCATCGGAGAGGGTGGCGAAGATGTTGTATAGCGGGTGGCGCACGAGCTCAAAGGTGCAGGCAATGTGGTGGTTCTCTAAGATGGATCGGTCGTTGTATAGGGTGGCGAGGTAGGCACCGGTGCGGGAGTGGAAGTTGTTGTTCAGCCCTGGGTGGTCGAAGTCGTGCACCGCGCCGGCGAGGATGCCCGCAAGAATCTCCTCCTTGCTCAGGCGGCACTTCGCCTCCAGGCCACCGAGCATCATGATGTAGTAGTTGATCTGGGTGACATCGGCGCCGTGCATGGCGTTGTGGTACGGGTTGGGGTGGTAGGAGCTCTGCACGGCCACTAAGAAGCGCCGCAGCACCTCATCGTCTATATTGAAGTACCGCACCAGGTCCAGCTTGTACAAGAGAAGATAGGTAGTGTAGAAGAGCGCGTTGCCGTCGGTGATGATCTCCAGCTGGATCGTGTCGTAGTCCCAGCAGTCGATGCCTTTGAAGATCTCGAAGGCGTCGAAAATCACCTTCTGATTGCCGCTGGCCTCGATCTGCCGCCGAATGTCCGGCCGCTCCAGCACAAGCGAGATCTCGCTGAGCTTCATGTTGGGCCCCAGCGGGAAGGCGGCGCGAATGCAGGCGGACAGCACCTCATCGGGCTCCTCCTCCTGCGGAATGTGCTCCGGCGACCACACCGAGTGCTGAAACGGCTGCGCACCGCCCGCGTCGTAGAGCTGGTCGACGGGGTGTTTTGTGATGATGTGCTCATCGCGGGCCTTGAGGCGCCGCTCCAATTTGCGCACCTCGCGTCCCTCAAGCATCGTCTGCTGCGACTGCAGCGCCGACTCCTCCCGCAGCGGCTGCACTAGCGGCAGCAGACTCTCCGAGTGCTTCGTGTGCTCCTGCACGGCAGCCGCGAGCACGTCGGACGCGCACTCCACCCTCGCCGCGCACCTCTCCCGCTCGCCCGACACGGCGCGGGCGCGGTTGTACTCGATCGCCCGCGTCAGCGGATACATCGCAAAGTCGTAGACCGCCTTTGGGTCCGGGGCGCCCCCCTCCGACACCACCTCCATCGTCACGACGAACGGGAAGGTGCGGGAGGGGTCCTTGCTATTGAAGATGGTGAAGGAGACGTCCTTGCGGGTGTGGGTGACGGTGGTCACCGTGGCGCTGGATTTAATCATGGCGATGGCGATGGATTTGAAGAAGGGAGCCCAGGAGAAGCCGACCTTGGCGGCGTGCTTCGCCTCAGCGAGCTCGGCATCCGTGAAGGCGTGCGCAAAGACGGCGCCGGTGCAGTTCTCGAGGTACGAGAAGACGGTGCTGTCCGTCTGCGCCGCGCAGAAGAAGAACAGCGTGCCAACGGAAGACGACTTGACACGGTCATCCATCGCAAGCGCACCGTACTCCTTCACGTACTTCTCCTTACCTAAAAGTTTGTGGCTCTCCTCCGCAACCGTGAGAGGGGGCGAGACGGCGTGGCTCTCGGCGGCAGCAGGCGCCTCTTGGTCCGCGTAGGCGCCGCCTCCTTCGTCGCCCCCGCTGCTGGCAGGAGGGTAGTCGGGTACCTTTGGGGCGGCGGCGCGGCTCGCAACAGGAACGGTCACCGCTTTCTGGGAACTAACCACGGCAGGCGACCCGCTCGCCGCGGCTCTTGAGGCTCCGCCACCCATGCGAACGCAAGTTAATAAACGGAGAACGTAACGCGAATTGTGAGAAGCGAAAAGGAGAAAAAAACGAGTTACGCGTGTCAACGGCGACGTCGCAGTCTTCAACGCAAATAATGGTTTTTCTACGTTTTTAATATAAATATTTTTAGTGGCAAAAAGAAGAGAGGTGAATATATATAAACAAAAGCACAGCGCTGACGCCCCTTCAGTGGTGCAATAAAGCGGCTGTCTGACGCACGGCAGGAAAGCAAAAGCAGATGTGTTCTTCTTTTTCGTGTTTCTTTTGTTGAGCGCGTGTGTTCTGCGTGTGCGCAGCGGCAGTTAAGGGGGTTTAAGAAAAAAAAAGGGAGGCAGAATCAACCGAAGGAGATTGACGACGATGCGGACCCACACACACTCTCGTGAAAAAAAAAAAGTGAACTCTCGGTCCATTGGTCTTTGGAGCACAGCAGCGTCCTCACTGGAGTCATCGACGAAGCACATTGTAAAAGCGGACAGGAAAACTACTAATCCGGAAAAACCTTCTCCCTGTTGCGTGGGTTGGCCCGGCAGTTAATCGCTGTTTTTCCCTTTCTCTGCGCTTTTGCCTCTTCTTCCTCTATGCGCCTTTTTTGTCTTCTCGTGAGTTCCTGTAATGCGGCATGACAGACTTAACGGTAGCTACACTGCCGAACACGACAGTATAATGTAGAAGGGAAAGCTCTAGGAATCAGAAAAAAGAAAGGAACCAACAAAGCCAACAATGGCACGCACACCGTAATGCGCACCATCACCTCACCACACGTTCTACCGACTCGAACAACGACACTCGACCGCACGAGCGGGTACGCCTTCAGCGCTTCAGTATTAGAATCCTCCAGAGGAGAGGAGATCACTTCACCTGTTTAAACGATAAGAAGAAGAATAACCGAGGTGAAGCTGGTGTGTTCGGGCACTTCCCAGCGAAAACACGCACTCTGAAATGCAGATGAAGAAAGTTTGAGGGTGAGCAACAGAGAGCGCGCAAAAGTACATAAATATGCGGGGGCGTGCGTATGTGTATGTGTGTGTGTATGTCAAGACAGCGGAGTGCAGGAAATGACAAGAAAAGACGGCACCTTCGCAGCAATCGAAAAACAGCTGAGCACTTTATCAAAGTTAATGCTTCGGCGTTGCCGCCGCCTTCTTACTTGCGGCCTGCGGTTTCGTCTTCTTGATCACGACAGGTCGGCGTGGCTCCGGCGAGAAATCCTCCAGACGGCAGGCGAAGTCCTCATCCTTCAGGATCTCCGGCTTGGGAGGGCGAACACACTTCTTCTTGTGCGAGTGTCGGTGCGTCTTCAACTTGTCCAGCGGGATCGGCGGAGGGGCGAGCCGCTCGTACACCAACTCCCCACCGCGTGCTTTGGGAGAAGTGGCGGACTTCGGCGTCGGGGGAGCTACACGCGACGGCTGCTCCCCTTCCTTTTTGCTGTCCTCCGCCTCCGCCGCTGCGCTCTCCTTCCTCTCCTCACCAGCCCCGTTTGCTATCCCCTCCACCTCTCCGGCTGGCGGGGCCGCGGAGGACGACGATGGGGGCGACGACGAAGAAACAACGGCGGCTGGCATTGCAGGCGTGAGTGTGACTGGCGTAGTCTCCGGCGCAGCGGCGGGGGCGAGAGGCGACGGGGCTCGTCGCGGTCCTCGCTTCACCACCTGCACCACCTTGTGTGTGGGCGACGGGGTGGGAGCTGCAGAAGAACGTGGAGCGGCTTCCGCTGGTGCACACACCTGCGTGTCCACAGCTGCAGCCGCAGCCGCAGCCGGCGCGGAATTCTCCGGGAAGGCATCGCGGTGCGCGGACAGCGGGGTGCTGCGTCGTCTCGTTGCCTCGACCGGCTGCGGTGCCGCGACGGCCGCGGCAGCCTCCTCCTCTGTCGGTGGCACAAATCGGCGGGTGCGGACGACAGTTGGGGGTTTGGTGCCACTGGACTTCGCCGGAGACGATTGCACCACGGTGGGCGTGCTTGCTGGGGTTGCGGAAGAACTGTCCACCAGCCCAGTAGAAGCAGTAGAAGTTGCGGCAGGAGCAGCGGTGACGGGCCTTGCAACGATCACCGGTCGTGGGGCCAGGGGCTGCGCGGCAGACGCGTGGTTCGGCGAGCCAGACAGCAGCTGGGCAGCCACCTCGACCGTCTGCTCTGTCGGCGGGTGCTGTCCGCACTCCACACACACGCTCTTCTGGGAAGCGCCCAGGGCCTGCTGGGAACGAGGCAGCGCATGGCGGTCCACCATGTCCCAGCTCACTTTCGCGGGGCGGGAATCGTCGCTGCCGGCGACGTTTGACGTGGGCGACGGTCCACCACCAGCAGCCGCGGCGGATAGGGTGGGAGGAGCCGAAATCACCGTCGTCCCGCCGTAGTACCGCTTAACCGGGGCGTAGGGGTTGTACTCCACCAGGCCACTTGCATCCTTGTGCACCGGCGGCGCGTTCTTTGGCTGGGCGAGGCGCTGAAAAAGCACCGCTGGTGGCTGCGTCGACGGCGTTGTCACGGGCGTGTGCGAGCCCCCGCTGCGCGGACGTGGCAGAGGGAGCGGAGGAGGAAAAGAAGATGTACTCGGCCGTCTCTCTTCCGGCGGTGGAGAGCTCGTCTGCTTTCGCGAGGCGTAGAGCCGATCGAAGATGCCGCCCGAGGAACCTGCCCCGCTCCCGTTCGTTGTGGTGGAGCGCGAATGAGGGACGGGCTCGGGCGCCGCCTCTGCCGGGCTGGGGTACTTCCTTGGTGCGGCGAGTTTCTCCAGTCGTGCTTGCTGCGCGGCGGAGAGCGGCCGTGGCTTCGACGGTGCTGCCGCGGCTTTCTCCGTCGCTGAGCCGTGCGCCACGGCGGTGGAAGAGAAGCTCCGTGGCTTGCCTGCCAAACGGGGAGGAAGAGTCGTGCGCGGGGCGCGGGGGGACTTGGCCTGCTGCTGCCGGTCGCGCTCCTCCTCCTCGGTGAAGTTCAGCACCGGCCCATAATTCGGCTGAGGCGGCTCAAACGGAACGCCCTGCGGGTCACGCGGCAGCGACATTCGCTCAATGTGGCGCTGACTGGATGATAGGTTTAAGCTCGCCCCGTGTGAGCGCGGCGTCCCACCCTGCGGCCCGCTCACTCTGCCGTTGCGGGTGTTGTGCGACGAGGCGAGGCAGGAAAGGTTGCCGTTGGCGAGAGGGGAGTTGCCCGGTCTCGCCTCGTGCCACGACGCCTCCTTCTCCGCCGCGGAGACGGGGCCACCGGTTGAAGTCACCGCACTCGCGGAGAGGGAGAGCGCGGTGTGGAAGGTGGCACTGCGCTCTCGTGGTCGCACCGGTCCGGCAGCCGCCAGCACCGCCTCATCATCATCGCCCAGTGAGAAGCGGGAAATGGGCTGCGATTTGTAAAAAGGGACGTCGCCGTCGTTGATGGCCAGCTCCGCGGCAGCCTGCTGCGCTGCCTTCTGCGAGGCGGACGGATACGAAGGCATGTCAATGCAAACGAAGTGACCAGGTCGAAAAACAATGAAGATGGAAAAACTCTTGTGGGGATGAAATTGGTGTTGCCGTCCGTTCAAGCCCATGTGACAGCCACGACTGTGATGCAGTAGGAGGATCCGTGGATGGAACCTCTTCCCCTCAAACGTTAAAAAAAAAAAGAAGGACAAAGATGACGATAGTGCAGAGATGAAAACGTGGAGAATGGGGACGAGTGCAAGAAACGTTTGCGGCGCTGTGCTGCACCCATCCCTGCAAGCTGCATCGCTTCATTGGGGTTCACGCCCACCCAAGAGGAGATCGTTCGTTGCCGTGGAGGGGAGACGACAGACCTCACCGCGCACGCGGAGGCGCGAGCATCTCCGTTGACCACCCATCAAGAGCGTGAGCTGCGAATTGAACGCGATGCACACTGGAAGAACAAACAGCAACACCAGAAAGAGAATCGAGCGCCGGTGACCGTGCCCGCAACGGCGGATCGGTGTTTTGGAGGCTGGATGAACTCTTTTCTCCCGTAAACACAGAAAGCCAATTTTTGATAAAAGAGAGGTGCAGTCCTCTACGGCGTGCGCTCCTCAAATCTAAATGTAAGTCTAACGATGGTGCAGTAGTAATACAGAGAAGAAAAGGGGGAAAAACAATAACAGCAGCCGTCACGCCAGTTACCTGTGCCGCAGTTCAACATCCTCCTAGACGTCAGAGGTCCACAGCTGCGCGGAGGGCCACGTTTCAGATGCCGAGACCGGCGGCCGTAAACTGCGTATGGCCGACGCCCCCACGGGACGATAATCTCGTAGAGGCGTCGCTGCCGCAACAGACACCGGCCTCGACGGCTTCACAGAGCTCGTCGCTTGCTGCACAGCATCTTGTCGCTCCTGCAGCTCCCGTCGCTGCCGATGGGCACGTTGCTGACGGTCGAGGTACGCGTTGACGCCCCACGCTTGTCCATCGCCGCCGTACAAACTCGGAGAGAGCGCCTGTGCGGCTGCTGCTCGCCCTAGCACCCTTGATTCAATCTGCTCCGCCTTGGCCTCCGCAGCTGCTGCGCGCTCAGCCTGCCACTGCCGCATCGTCTCCATGTGCTCATCACGCCGCTGCTGCCACTCCTTGTTGCGCTGCGCGACCGCAGCAGGGCCGCGCCGATCACCGCTGGTGCTGTGCGGTGCATCGGCCGCCAATGCCGCAGACCGTGCGTTGACCCGCGGCTGGAAGGTGCACTCCCGCAGCTCTTGCTCACGTTGCTCCCAGCGCAACGCGTCCAAGCGCGCCTGGCGTCGCCGTTCGTAAGCGTCGAGGGAGGCGACGACGGCGCTAGGCAGCAGCGGTGGTGGTGGAGTCACCGCCGAAGACGATAGGGACGGCCCTGGCCTACGGGCAGTGGTGTCGCCCGTCATGTCGAGCCGTCCCTGTGTGGGCTGACGCGGCGTGGCCATCGAGGCACAGACCGACGTGTCGTGCGAGTGCGACGGGTCGACGTAGCTGGAGAGGGAGTGGACGGCAGAGGAGCGACACAGCCGCTGCATCGGTGTTTCGGGCAGGCGCTCCGCGATGGCCGCACTGACGGGGTTAATCGACGGCTGAAAAGCATCACGGGTGGTGGAGTTGCGGCGAGGCAGAGCAGAGCCACCGAATGCGGGTGACGATCTCGCCGCGTGGAGGCCAGCGTCGCTCTCCCGCTGATACCGCGGAGCGGTCACGGCGGCCAGGGTGGTGACTTCGGGCTGGAACGGCGTGTGCGCCTCGCGCCAGGTCACTTCGCGCTGCAGGCGGCGAATGGCAGCAGCGTAGCTCTCGGCGTGCAGCCGGCTGCCTACGTCGCCGAGACGGTGCATCGCAGCTGCGCGGTGGGTGATTGCCGGTGAGGCCTGCTCGCGAACTTCGTGCTCCGCCTCGGCGGCCTGCAACTGCGCAAATCGTCGTCGGTACTCCGTAATGAAAAGAGTCTCCGAGGCGGGCAGCCCCTCCAGGCCCTCGCGGGCCTTCTTCGCCGCTGCCAGCTTGGCAGAGTGTCGATTGATGGCCGGTCCTTGCTGCAGCTCTTGCAGATCCTCCAGCTCTGCGCTTTGGCGGATCTGTGCTAGTTCCTCAAGCCGCTTCGCCCGCCACGCAGCGCGATCCGCCGGAGGCTCCTTATAGCGTGCCTTGGTCGCTTGGGCGTGGGCGGAGATGTGCGGGTGGAAAGTCGCGACCGCAGCGAGGTCTTCCTCCTCTCGCTCCCTTCGCAGCTGTGCCGCCTGCCTCTCCTGCTCTGCCTTGTCCTTGGCGCGCTGCAGCAGCTTGTCTTCAATGCGCTGCCCCTCTGGCGGAAGTCGGCGCGCGGGCTGCAGCGGCTCCACGGGCAGCGCCGTGGGGGCAAGTTGGATACGCGGGGCAGGACGGAGCTCGCGCATCTCGCGCTCCATCGCCTCTTGCCGCAGCTGCTCCAGACGCTCTTGCTGGAGACGACCTTTTTGGAGAAGCTGCTCGTAGATGGGCACTCGCGGTGACGGCGCGGATGCCTCGTTGACGTGGAAGGTGTTGACGGTGGCGCGTGCGGCATTTCTAGTGGTCTCGCTTTGCGTCGCTTCTCCTACAGAGGTGACGTCGTTGGCTGCTCTCGGTGCTCCTGCGGAGCGCGACGACGGCAGACGTGTCCCATCCGTGCCTTCATTGCCACTCTTCATCTCCAGAAAACGCGCACCGCCCAATCCTTCGTTGTGGAAGCTCGATTGCAGGCATCGCGGCATGGGAGCGGAGAGAAGAGAATTGATGCGCTCCTGAAAGAGCTGCCGTGGTGACTTGACAGCGGTGGTGTAGGTCTCATGGGGAAAAGGCGGGGCTGCGCCGCCGTCTGGAGAGCTCGGCATATTCAACGATGCTAGCGGCTCCACTGCGACCTAGAGCTACAGCACCGTTTCCTTTCATGAAGGCAAACACGTGCTTCACACACAACGAATCGGAAAAAGAAATAAGGAAGGATAAAGAAGAGAAATTAGGAAAACGTACGCCTCTCCGGCTGCACGTCGAGAAAGTGTGTACTTGTCCGTGAACACAGCAAGAGCCATCAGGACAGAAAGGCGGTTTTGATACGCACGCAATTTCTGGAACATCCGGTGCTGTTCTAGGCAAGACTTAATCCCTTCTATTAGAGATTTCAGCTGAGCGGTTAGAGATACTTGTAGCCATTCATTACAAGTGTTGTCTGGTTTGTCACTGCACACTGCGGTGGCCGTTCGAGTTCTAAAAAACCAGAGACGTATATTGGTTTACCCGCCGCTGCTCGCGCTTAACTTTTGAGTTTTTTTCTTCTTTTCCATTTGCTCCTGTGCAGGGAAAACAAGCACAAAAGCTGATCATGCAATGCAAAACAAAGCTAGAGGGAGAGAGAGAGACACGTTCTTTGGGCTGTGCTGAGGAGATGATTGTATCGATCTCATAACGGAAGAAATAACAGCACTAACAGTGCAATGTGACACCATTTCCCTTTGTCACTGAAACAGCAACGACACCAAAAGACAGTAGAGCGAATAGCCCGGCCGATTAGAAAGCAGAAACAAAAACTAGCGGAAGCATCGCCGTGAAGATGCTGAACTAAATTGAAGGCCTCGATAATGATCTTCCTTTTTGTGTGAGCTGGCTGACCTCATACATCTTGTACCTTTTCCTTTTTTGTCTCTCATTTGTCTTGTGCAGCACCTTCTACGGTGCAGCTAGAAATACATAGCATAATAGTAAAAAAAAAAACAGAAAAAACAATGAGACAGAGCAAGTATTGAAAGAGGGAGAAAAAAAAATGAGCAGCTGTATCCACCTAACATCACCGCTTTCATGCACGAGCAATGTGCGGTGAAAGAGGCGATGCACATGGCACAATGAGCGTGTGGGTTCTCAAGTCTACGGATGTCGACAAGGCATGTAAGATATGTATAAAAAGGAAAAACGTGGAGAAAAGATGAATAAGCTACTGGGCTTTTAAGTCGGAGGTATGAGATGGCAACGAGCAGCTGGCAGATGAGAAACAAAGAGAGGAGACACTTTGTTTGTTTTCCAGTTAATGAGATGTTTCTCTACGCGTTCTTGTAGAGGACTTGCAGCTCCTCTTAGAGCGAAGGGTCCAGGCCAGTCGAAGGTGAGCACTGACCCGGCAATGCATTTGCAGGGGAGCACAACAATCGAAGCTGTCACGAGTGGCTGTTTTATGAAGTGCTCACTTGCGCTTCTTCGATTCGGCGTAAAGCTTGCTGGCCTCCTTGTAGTCGTTGTACGTTGCATCGCTCACGTTTTCGTGCAGCACCGTCGCCATCATCCGCTGGCAGTGCGCCGCGTACAGAATAGGGTCCTGCTTCTCCTCTGCCGTCGGGTAGTACACTGGCAGCGCGCGCGCCTCCGCGTAGTTCACAAACTGGCAGCTGAGACGCAGCAGGATGTCGGAGAAGCTGTTGCCGCCCACCTCGCGCCCCGTCCACGCGGAGTTGAAGTGCCGATAAGGAAACGCAAAGCAGACCATCTGCACCGGCGCACCAGGCGCGAAGACACCCTTCTTGAACTGAAAGAGCGTCTGTTGATTGCACGTTGTGCCCTCCGGAAATACCATCAGCTGCGGCCCGTTCACGTTCCTCGCAAAATCAAAGATGGCCTGCTGCGTTTGCGCGCGCGACGTGGCGGCGTCGCGGTCGACCAGGATGCTCTCGCTGCACTTGACGATGCTGCCGATAAAGGCAAACTGCAAGTTTTCCCGCCGCGACACAAAGGCGGGGAGGTCGGCCATCAGGTAGAGCAGCATCAGCTCCGTCACGCAGCTGTGGTTGCAGATCAAAAATTTGCACTCCGTGCGGCTGGCAAACTTTCCGTAGAACTGCACGCTGTGAATCCCGAGGAGAGAGAGCGACACAATTGCCAGCAACTTCGTCATGCGGGACCAGAAGCCGAACCACCAAGGGTGCGCGTAGCGGTCAAAGCGGCCGGCGACGCTCGTGCAGAAGAGACCGAGGAAGATGGTCGCGAGCGCCGAGAAAAAGCGCACAAACACGATGCCGGTGACGACAAAAAATCCCACTTTAATTCCCTCGTACGTGGTGAAGGGAGTATCGTATCGGAAGGCCTCCATCTTGTCTACCTTCGGGGGGTTGCTGCTCACGTAGTCGTCCGTGAGAGAGAGCCGAATGGGCCCTGGGAAGAGGAGGCAACGGAGGTTTTCTACAATAAACAGCGTGACAAGGAAGACGCCGTTGGCGCTAAAGTACACGCGAAGCCAGGTTAAGACGCCCCACGAGGCAGCGGACGCCGCGCAGTCGCCCTCGGGGCAGCGCCGAGCATCGGCGTGATTATAAAACGGCGCGACGGCGCCGCGAAAGAAGAGGTACCACATGCACATGGCTATCGGAATGCGAAGAAACCCCTCCAGACGGCCGTTTGTCAAGTACGGCATACACACGCCGAACGCTCTCTTGGGCTTCTCGTTTGACATTTCTTTTTGCTGGTGTTGCACTTAGGGAGCACTGGGCTGCAACCGACGCTTCTACTCGCAATAGGTTACTTTTTATCTTCTGTCTCCTCTCACAGTTCTGCGCAGCGCACGAAGACGGTAAGAGGGAAAGAACCGCGATTACGTCGTGGGGACACAACAAGCTGTACGTGGAAGGCGTTCCGGGTCAATGGAAGACGACCAGGTGATACTCCAATCGGCAAACAAAGAACGAGATTCTTCGAGAGATGAGCAGGAAAAAAAAACAAAAACAGAAATGAGAAGACAGCCCCCTCTCCTTTTTTCTTTGGGGGTGAATACACGCTCAGCTCGTCGTATAAGTTCTGAGAACAACTGTGTGCAACGGGAGGGGGGAACGGTTCCAAGTTGCGAGGTCCGTAGATATCGGTGGGCTCGCCTTTTCTCAGACGCAAGAGAAACACTTAAAACAACTGAAGTCACCGGGTGATGGCAGAGCAGGTGATGAAGGATAGAAGAACGGGTGGTGATGCGTGTGAGACCCTTTTTGAAACGTGCAAGCGCAGTGAACGCCCTTTGCAGAACGGCAAGTCGGTTGTCGCGTAGGTGCAACTATACCGCGGTGCACCACAAACGCAGCGAACACACCTTTCTCTCCCGAAGCGTTGAGCTTTTACGGACTTGTGATGCATTCAGCACAACTGCCTTTTTCATTCTTGTAGCTGCCGTTCAATCCTGTAGAACTATTCACGCAGTCCGCATTTGACCTGTGTAGGTTACAGGTAGCACAGCACTGATGGGAACTACTTGGGGCCTCTTTCGTTCACAATTTTTTTTTCTCTTTCTTCTCTTATTCATCTTGTGTGTTTTCGTTAAGTTGCTGCCAAAGAGGCGAGGACCGACCCTCAATATGGTGCGGTACATGTTCGCTTCAGCAGCAATAAGGTAGAAACGACTACTCGCCGGGGAAGCAGCGCAATTAAAACAGAAATGCGTAAAAGTAAGAAAAAAAAACAATAATAATGAAAGAGAAAGGAAAAAAACGAAGCTTTTGCCAGTTGCCCTCTTCGATATATGCTGAGGAAATCATCGAAGATGAAAGCAAACTCGCGCACACACGTGTGTGCGCTCATGTATAAACAAACAAAAGGAGAAACTCAAGTAGAATTTACGCGAAAACATCCAAAAGAAAGGAGAGGTGAAAAGCGAAGCGGGTATCAATAAGTATATATGTAGATATATATATAGGACAATGCCAATTACAACACCAGAAAATAAGCGTATTATTATTATGTACAGAGAACGGAAAAAAGAGGGGGGTAAAAAGAGCACGTGAGAAAGACCTTCAGGAGAAAGAAACAGAAAAAATGATGCTCAGTCCATGAAAGTTAAGTTTGGCTATGCTCGTCATAGAAGCAAATAGGACAGAAGGGAAAAAAAAAACACCGACAACAGCAAGAGGCCGCCTCTTTAATCTACAGTGCGTACGGGAAAAAATGAAGAAGAAACTACGTTGTGTACCGCGAGCGGAAAATCCGCGCCGACGTTGCCCAGCCTGTCTCGACAGTTCTTCGCACCGCCAGCACGTTCAGCTCAATCGCGTCTCCGCGCTCTAGATAGACATTCTGGCGCGTAATCCGTCGACTTGCGAGGACGTCTGTCAGGCACGGTTGCGTGAAGCGGCGGAAAACGTGATCGAAGATGTCGGTGAGGGTGGGCAACACCTTCTCCTGCGCGTTGTATGAGCGAGGAAACGGCACAATAAAGTCCGACACCAGGAGCGAGTTGCGCGGGTTCGCACTAAACACGCTCGGCGTGTTGTCTACAAGAATTACCCGGTCCATTGGACGGCCCAGCATGCGTAAGTCCTTCGTGCAGCCGGCGTCGCCGGACCACCACATTGGGTGACGGTAGATGCAGTGCTGCACCGCGCACACTGTGTCGATGACGCGAATCACGTCCAGCGCGTACTCCCGCGTCCCGGCCGTCCAGACAATTAACTCGCACTTGCCTTTCAGCGTTTTGAGCAACTGGCTCACTCCTGGACGCTCGTACAAGGTGGTGTCGCGGCTGTAAACAAGCGTCTCGTCCAGGTCCAACACCACCACCAGCTTCCCTACGTCTTGTGGTTGCGGTGGCGGGATGAGATAAGAAGACGGTGGAGGTGGTGTAGCGGAGGCAACAGGCAGCGGGCCGGTGCTGTCTGTTGGCTTGGTGCGTCGAGGAGCGCCCGCCCCTGCTGCGCCGCTGAGCCGCAGAGGAAGAGGCGCGGTGGTGCGAAGGGCACCGCTGCGCTCTGCGAAACGACTCAAGCTGCGGTGGCGGGCGACGTCCTCGACCGCCGTAGAGCCCCTCCTCCCCAACGCCCCTGCGGCGGAAGGCCCTGCTGCTGCCGCGGTCGGGGTTGGTGGCGCCGTGAGAGGCGAGGTGTAACCCAGACTGGACCGCCGAGCGTCACACGTCGCGTATCGGCTGCCGTCCCACCGGCTCCCACTGTCCTTTCCGTCGGCCGCGTAGCTCGAGGAACGGATTTGGCCGGAGAGGAGTGGTGGTGGTGAGAGGGGCTTCGGTGTTGGCACGTACGACGCCTGAGAGCCGTAGGCAGCTGCCGTGGTGCGGTAGCGCAACGAGGTCGACTCGACGACGTCCCCCGCCGCGTCGGCGGCCAGGTCCTCTGGTGGGGGCGACACAAAATTCTCAAACGTGGTTGGGGGACGCCCGCGGGGCTCGATGGGAGAACTGCGGAGGGACGTCGTCGTCCCACGATTCCACCGCCAGCCCGGATCGAGGTACGACGTGACGGAATGCGAGTCAGCGTCGTACCGATGGGGATGTGAGGAGGTGTGCGCACGCATTTCTCTATGTGTGGGTGCGTGGGGGCCGATGGGTGCTGTCGTACTGGTATGCGAAAACACAAATACACGACGAAAGAGCGTGTTTGGCGGTCAGCGCGGAACACGAACAGCTCGACTCTGAACACGACAAGCAGCGATGCTGAGAGGTCTAGAGAAAAAAAAGGATATGAAAGTATAACAAGGAAAGAAAGCGGGAGTGCGCCTTTGCTGCTCTAGCATCTGCAATATCTCTGCTCTAACGTGCGAGTTCTGCAACACAGTGGTACGTAAGAGGAGTCACCACAAGAAAGATACCAAAGAGAGGGGGGGGGACGGACAAGCGGGAAGAAAAAGAAAACAGAAGCGAAGAAAACAAAGTAAGTGATAATGTACAGTAGCGCCTAATTCAAAAACAGTAGTACAAGTACAAACGAAACATTAAAAAAAGGTGCAGAAAGTAAAGAGAACGGAAGAGAACGACTTTAAAAGAAAGAAGAGCGAAGTACGAATTCAATACTACAAAATAAAACAAAGTAGCGAAAATGAGAACGTAGAAAAAAAAAGGAAGAAAAAAGGAACAGAGAGAGATCGCCACAGCACGCTAGCGGACCACCTAGAATCGGGTACGACAACGAGAAGAGTTGTGTGTGTGTGTGTGTGTGCTTCGCACACCGAATACGACGTGATCAACGACGGTCAATCTCAGCTGCAAAGAAACAAGTTGATGCGATTTGTAAAAAAGGTTTGCAGCGTTATTTTCCTTTCTCCTTCTTTTTTTCCTGCGATTAAATCACTGATAGCGCCTCCGCACAAGAAATTTTGAAAAAGACAAGAAAATAAAGCGGGCACATAAAATCAGCCAGCGTAAATGGAAATAAGAAGCAAAACACGTGTTGTTGATTTCAGGAGAAACAAGAGAGAGAGAGAAAAGCAATAGGAAAATGGCGAAAGACGCACAAAACGCAATGCTGTTACACTTCGCCTCTTTAATAAGAGCAACACAAAGCGACGGCAAAGCGCTCGCGCTAGGCACGACCTTTTCACTGAATGGCTTGCTATATTTTTTGTTTTTTCAGACACGTTCAGTAAAAGGCGAAAGCAAGAGGCTAGCAATGGATTTCGTTGTAACATCGTTGAAAGAACAAAGAAGAAGAGTTAGCAAAAGAGAGAAAACCGTAGCGGGAAACGATACAACACTGCATCTGAGAAACGCGCATCACAGCTTCAAATGGCGCTGCCATTGACGGCTCAACGGAAACCTTAATTTTGATCTTCCGCCTTTCGCGAGCGTAAGTTGATGCTGACCTCTGTAGGGGTCATCTCAACCCCAACCCCATCCAAAGCGAGCATCTGCATCTCACTTCGAGGGCGTTGATTTCCGTGTTGTCTTATCGAGGCACACCAGTGTTGATAATTCGTCACTTTTCTGCTGTTTCATTTTCTATGTGTTGGTGTTTTGCAGAAGCAATGCGATGCGCAAACGGGGCGTGTCATTTTGCATTATTATTATTTTTTGTAAGTCTTCGGCAAGTCGCTATACACGGAGAATACTGGTCCAAAGTGCGGCCAGTATTCAAAAAAGGCTTTTGAAAAAAAAAAAAACTTACAAATCCCTTTCGGTGCAACGGGAAATGAAGAAGCAGCACTGAACTGTGCGTGTACGTGTCGTGTTTGCCGTTGGCTACGCCCACCCTATTGTTCTTTCTTGATGGTGTTTTGCGCAAAGCGCTGAATAAAGGAATATGATCCCTTCCATCTTGGTGTTCGTAAAAACCGCGTAGTTGCATACACACATGGTTCTCACAAGAAAAAAAAGTGGTCGAAGCTTGCAAAAAAAAAAGGGGGGGGGGGCGGAGACGGGCCAATTTCAAAGCACCGCACCCACATTCCATTCCTTTTCACTCGGATACACAAGTTCAGGTTGCTTGTGTTCCTCGACAAAAGCGAGACATCAACCACCCATGTATGTGCTTTCGAGTGTTTGTAAAACGGACTCCTTTCTCTCTCCAGTTGTGGCGCTGAAAGAAGGATAAGAAGAACGTGTATTGCGTTGATGGCAAAAAAAAAAGTGAAACAGAAAAGGAAGGGAGAAAAGCACCAATAGCGTTGCAGCCGAGTTCACCTACAAGAAAAAAGAGAAGGTAAGAGCGTCTCGGTTTAATGTACAAGTCGAAAAAAATGAAAAGCGAGGTGTCCGTAGCAGCTGAAGAAGGCAAAAAGAAGCGCGCAAAACTAAGTGCTGAAACCGAACACCTCGAAAGAGACAAATCGATGTGTGCTAAAGTGCTTGATAACATCACGCGACAGGTGCGAGAGCTCAAATTGCTTCACTAAGCCCCATCGGGGCGCCGTCGTGTCTTCCGCTGTTCTCGTTGTAAAATAGCGGTCATCCTGATCAAACAAAAGGGACAGCTTGCAGAAGGTGTGGCGCTCAAATTGCGCGGGAATATCATTGGCGCCGACAACAACGAGGCAGAACCGAAGATCGTGTCCGACGAGCTCCATCAAGTCATCGCTCGCCACAACGTTCTTGCCCACGGGAAAGAGGTGGATGTCTAGGGTCGCCGGGGTTAGTCGACCACTTTCTCCAAGAAGCGAGAGGCGAAAGGCGCGCCGCTCGCCACGCAGGACGCTCTCTAACGATAAGTCGCACCGCCCTTTGTAGAATAAAAACGACGCCTTGTTGTCCAGCTGCCAGATGAGCTGCCTCTCACCTGCTTCGACCCGCCGTCGTAGGGCGATGTTGCCGAGTTGAATGTGCCGAAGCGTTTCCTGCAGCCGCGACGCCGCTGCATCTTGCCAGCACGCCGTCTGCACGGCCAGTCGCAGTGCATCCCGCTCCTCGCGCAGTCCCGCCACGTCCACCTCCTTTGCGTCCTTCACCGCCGCCAGCGACTCCAGCTGCTTCTCCAGTCGCGCCACGACCGCCTTCAGCTCCTTCACCTCCAGCCTCTTGAAGGCGCTTGTTCACCTTCGCCTTATTCGTGATCGCCATCGCGTTCGTCGCGTAGTCCAGCGTCGAGATGGTCTCCGTCAGGTTGAACGCTGTCGGCGACACCGTCGCGAGCATCCACGTCTTGCTGTTGCCGCCAAAGCTCTCCGACAGCAGCCGGGTCAGCTTCGACTCGCGCAGCGAGATGAACGCGTCGCCGCCCTTGCGCTCACTGAACGAGTTCAGCGCACGCCCCAGCATCAGCAGTGAGAGGTTGATCTTCTTCGCCTCCTCGAACTGCTGCCCCGTCGACTCCGTCTTCGTCTGCCGCTCGCTCCCCGCGAGGTCCACCAGCGACACGACGCACTCCAGGTCCTTCTTCTCCACCGACGCGAACTCCTGCGAGAGCGTGATCTGCATAATCGCGTGCGAGCGCGAGCTCGTCTCGTTCATCTTCGTCTCCGCCGTCTGCCGGTTCGCGTTGCCAGCGCGCAGCAGCTCCATCATCCGCTCCGCGCTCAGCACCTGGTGCACGCTCGCTCCCTTCACGTACACGCGCCGCCGCGGATCCTCATGAATCTCCAGCGACTCCGGCTCCTGCCCGCGCTGCCGCGGCGTCAGCAGGTCGCGCACCTTCTCCATGTACACCTCGATCATCGTCAGCGACACGCGGATCGTCAGGTCCGCATCTTCGTCCACCATACGCTGCGCCTCTTCGAACAGGCACCGCACAAACCGCGGTGCGACGCCCTCGCACTCCTCGCTCCCCACCTCGCCCAGCAAGCTGTACGTCTTGCCGCTGCCTGTCTGCCCGTACGCGAACAAGCACACGTTGAAGCCTTTGTATGCGTCCTCCAACATCGGCTTGCCAATCGTCTCGAACACCTCCTCCTGTCCGCCGCCAAACACGTGGTCGAAGCGGTAGGAACGCTTTATCTTCTCATCGTCGATGATCACGTCGCATTCGTCGGACTTTTGTACCACAACTTTGCAATTTTTCAGATCCCCCCGGCCTACGGGCCGGATGCGGAGCGAGACCTGCACTCTGGAGCGCCCATCGTCCGACATCCGCCACAATTATGCTGCAAATAGAGAAAATGCAAGCGAGAAAAAAGAAGAGCACCCAAGAAAATAAAAGAGGGAAATCAACGAGTAATGGGCTTTGAATAATATCGCCGTCGCCTCACGCCACTTCACGCGATTCGGACGTAAAACACCTAAGGGTCAAGGTGAAAACGAGAGTAAGAGTAGTATAAGGCAAGAAAGACGACACAAACAGACGAAACGAGAGGCAGGCCAACATCTAAAAGAGAAGGAAGAAGGGAATCTGACGACACTACGTCTTTATGTGCGTATTAAAAGTCTGCGATGAGACGCAGATGAAAATCGGAGAGTTCCTGTGAGAAGCCACTTTTCAACACGCAGATTCCCGCGGTGTCTAAAAAAAAAAATGAGCTGTGAGTATAAACGCCTTTTCTCTCCTTTCGAAAACGCTGTTGTTTGCGCAAACGGGATAAAGCAGTGCAGACGCACACATACACACACGCACACATAAAAAAAAAAGAAAACACCTCAAGTGTGTTTGTGTGGGAGTAGCTTATGCGAAACAGGCCGTGTGTTTCTCCTCTTTTGCAGAAGCTAGGGGTAATTAATAAATAAAATGCATGCGTTCATGTTTTGAGGAAGAAGAGAAGAAAGTTTAACCAAAGCAAAGAGAGGTGAAGAAGCAATGTGTATTTCCTTTATTAACGAGATTGGGTGCTTGTTTGTAAGTTTTCTGCGCTCCGCTTAGCAACTCTTTTAAAGGGGGTGGAGAAAAAACATCGGTTTTGTTGTCTAGTTCTGTGTACATGAACGCACCTTACGCACACTTCGAGCACCGCGTTGTTCACGCAACCAGAACTCAGCAAGTTTACTTTTTGGATGTTATGTCTTGTTTTGCTGTCAGCATGTTTGTGTTTTCCATAGCAGGAAATAATTATAAGAAAAAACGTATGAATAGCCCGGCTCGACGATCTGAAGAGAGCAACAACAGGAAGTAAAAAAAAGGGGAGCACAAGGGTGACAAACCCTGCAGACTAACGTAAACAGGTAATGTGCGGTTCAGAGTTGCGCTGGGAGAAAAAAAGCCGCTTATCAGGAAAGGCATTGGCTTCCGGTTTCGTCAACATCAAGGGAGTTCATCACTGTGCTGGTGATTCCTTCCACCTGCAGATACAGGGAATCCGTTGACAGAAACTGCTGCAACCTCTCCGTTATTGGGCCCAACACATAAACTTGCTTAAAGTTCAGCTTTGGATTTCCGCCATTGGACGGCACAATAGGGGTAGAGACGCGGCTACCTTCTTGTCCATCAAACCAGATAGACACCCGCACACCTTCGCTGGCAAAGTCTGGCAAGTGATGCAGTTCCACCAGCTCCACCACTACCATCACCTCCTCCTCAGCAGTGAGCTGCACATGCAAGTTGCATTGCAGCAGTGGCGGGGGACCTACAAGATCGTAGAAAGGCACAACAAGAGTGTCCACCTCGTAGGACCCAAGCGGAATCCCCCCCAGGGTAGTTTTACACGTGCCACAAAAACAGACCAGCGGGACTCGCTCCCGATCATCTCCAGCAGCAAAGGACAACTTGTTGACCAAGGCGGAAATCAACGCATTTCGCTCTGCGAGTGCGTCTTGTAATTCGGACTCCATCTTGCTATCATTTAACGCCAGCAACTCTCGACGTAGAGATGTTATGTCTGCCCTAAGCTCAGCGGCTTCCCTGTCGTACGTCTCGATCAGGCCTGTTTCGCGCGAAATGGAGTCGTCAAGGTAGGCGCGTAACTTTACTAGATCACTGTATTCGAGATCCTTGGAGCTCTTGTTCACCTTCGCCTTATTCGTGATCGCCATCGCGTTCGTCGCGTAGTCCAGCGTCGAGATGGTCTCCGTCAGGTTGAACGCTGTCGGCGACACCGTCGCGAGCATCCACGTCTTGCTGTTGCCGCCAAAGCTCTCCGACAGCAGCCGGGTCAGCTTCGACTCGCGCAGCGAGATGAACGCGTCGCCGCCCTTGCGCTCACTGAACGAGTTCAGCGCACGCCCCAGCATCAGCAGTGAGAGGTTGATCTTCTTCGCCTCCTCGAACTGCTGCCCCGTCGACTCCGTCTTCGTCTGCCGCTCGCTCCCCGCGAGGTCCACCAGCGACACGACGCACTCCAGGTCCTTCTTCTCCACCGACGCGAACTCCTGCGAGAGCGTGATCTGCATAATCGCGTGCGAGCGCGAGCTCGTCTCGTTCATCTTCGTCTCCGCCGTCTGCCGGTTCGCGTTGCCAGCGCGCAGCAGCTCCATCATCCGCTCCGCGCTCAGCACCTGGTGCACGCTCGCTCCCTTCACGTACACGCGCCGCCGCGGATCCTCATGAATCTCCAGCGACTCCGGCTCCTGCCCGCGCTGCCGCGGCGTCAGCAGGTCGCGCACCTTCTCCATGTACACCTCGATCATCGTCAGCGACACGCGGATCGTCAGGTCCGCATCTTCGTCCACCATACGCTGCGCCTCTTCGAACAGGCACCGCACAAACCGCGGTGCGACGCCCTCGCACTCCTCGCTCCCCACCTCGCCCAGCAAGCTGTACGTCTTGCCGCTGCCTGTCTGCCCGTACGCGAACAAGCACACGTTGAAGCCTTTGTATGCGTCCTCCAACATCGGCTTGCCAATCGTCTCGAACACCTCCTCCTGTCCGCCGCCAAACACGTGGTCGAAGCGGTAGGAACGCTTTATCTTCTCATCGTCGATGATCACGTCGCATTCGTCGGACTTTTGTACCACAACTTTGCAATTTTTCAGATCCCCCCGGCCTACGGGCCGGATGCGGAGCGAGACCTGCACTCTGGAGCGCCCATCGTCCGACATCCGCCACAATTATGCTGCAAATAGAGAAAATGCAAGCGAGAAAAAAGAAGAGCACCCAAGAAAATAAAAGAGGGAAATCAACGAGTAATGGGCTTTGAATAATATCGCCGTCGCCTCACGCCACTTCACGCGATTCGGACGTAAAACACCTAAGGGTCAAGGTGAAAACGAGAGTAAGAGTAGTATAAGGCAAGAAAGACGACACAAACAGACGAAACGAGAGGCAGGCCAACATCTAAAAGAGAAGGAAGAAGGGAATCTGACGACACTACGTCTTTATGTGCGTATTAAAAGTCTGCGATGAGACGCAGATGAAAATCGGAGAGTTCCTGTGAGAAGCCACTTTTCAACACGCAGATTCCCGCGGTGTCTAAAAAAAAAAATGAGCTGTGAGTATAAACGCCTTTTCTCTCCTTTCGAAAACGCTGTTGTTTGCGCAAACGGGATAAAGCAGTGCAGACGCACACATACACACACGCACACATAAAAAAAAAAGAAAACACCTCAAGTGTGTTTGTGTGGGAGTAGCTTATGCGAAACAGGCCGTGTGTTTCTCCTCTTTTGCAGAAGCTAGGGGTAATTAATAAATAAAATGCATGCGTTCATGTTTTGAGGAAGAAGAGAAGAAAGTTTAACCAAAGCAAAGAGAGGTGAAGAAGCAATGTGTATTTCCTTTATTAACGAGATTGGGTGCTTGTTTGTAAGTTTTCTGCGCTCCGCTTAGCAACTCTTTTAAAGGGGGTGGAGAAAAAACATCGGTTTTGTTGTCTAGTTCTGTGTACATGAACGCACCTTACGCACACTTCGAGCACCGCGTTGTTCACGCAACCAGAACTCAGCAAGTTTACTTTTTGGATGTTATGTCTTGTTTTGCTGTCAGCATGTTTGTGTTTTCCATAGCAGGAAATAATTATAAGAAAAAACGTATGAATAGCCCGGCTCGACGATCTGAAGAGAGCAACAACAGGAAGTAAAAAAAAGGGGAGCACAAGGGTGACAAACCCTGCAGACTAACGTAAACAGGTAATGTGCGGTTCAGAGTTGCGCTGGGAGAAAAAAAGCCGCTTATCAGGAAAGGCATTGGCTTCCGGTTTCGTCAACATCAAGGGAGTTCATCACTGTGCTGGTGATTCCTTCCACCTGCAGATACAGGGAATCCGTTGACAGAAACTGCTGCAACCTCTCCGTTATTGGGCCCAACACATAAACTTGCTTAAAGTTCAGCTTTGGATTTCCGCCATTGGACGGCACAATAGGGGTAGAGACGCGGCTACCTTCTTGTCCATCAAACCAGATAGACACCCGCACACCTTCGCTGGCAAAGTCTGGCAAGTGATGCAGTTCCACCAGCTCCACCACTACCATCACCTCCTCCTCAGCAGTGAGCTGCACATGCAAGTTGCATTGCAGCAGTGGCGGGGGACCTACAAGATCGTAGAAAGGCACAACAAGAGTGTCCACCTCGTAGGACCCAAGCGGAATCCCCCCCAGGGTAGTTTTACACGTGCCACAAAAACAGACCAGCGGGACTCGCTCCCGATCATCTCCAGCAGCAAAGGACAACTTGTTGACCAAGGCGGAAATCAACGCATTTCGCTCTGCGAGTGCGTCTTGTAATTCGGACTCCATCTTGCTATCATTTAACGCCAGCAACTCTCGACGTAGAGATGTTATGTCTGCCCTAAGCTCAGCGGCTTCCCTGTCGTACGTCTCGATCAGGCCTGTTTCGCGCGAAATGGAGTCGTCAAGGTAGGCGCGTAACTTTACTAGATCACTGTATTCGAGATCCTTGGAGCTCTTGTTCACCTTCGCCTTATTCGTGATCGCCATCGCGTTCGTCGCGTAGTCCAGCGTCGAGATGGTCTCCGTCAGGTTGAACGCTGTCGGCGACACCGTCGCGAGCATCCACGTCTTGCTGTTGCCGCCAAAGCTCTCCGACAGCAGCCGGGTCAGCTTCGACTCGCGCAGCGAGATGAACGCGTCGCCGCCCTTGCGCTCACTGAACGAGTTCAGCGCACGCCCCAGCATCAGCAGTGAGAGGTTGATCTTCTTCGCCTCCTCGAACTGCTGCCCCGTCGACTCCGTCTTCGTCTGCCGCTCGCTCCCCGCGAGGTCCACCAGCGACACGACGCACTCCAGGTCCTTCTTCTCCACCGACGCGAACTCCTGCGAGAGCGTGATCTGCATAATCGCGTGCGAGCGCGAGCTCGTCTCGTTCATCTTCGTCTCCGCCGTCTGCCGGTTCGCGTTGCCAGCGCGCAGCAGCTCCATCATCCGCTCCGCGCTCAGCACCTGGTGCACGCTCGCTCCCTTCACGTACACGCGCCGCCGCGGATCCTCATGAATCTCCAGCGACTCCGGCTCCTGCCCGCGCTGCCGCGGCGTCAGCAGGTCGCGCACCTTCTCCATGTACACCTCGATCATCGTCAGCGACACGCGGATCGTCAGGTCCGCATCTTCGTCCACCATACGCTGCGCCTCTTCGAACAGGCACCGCACAAACCGCGGTGCGACGCCCTCGCACTCCTCGCTCCCCACCTCGCCCAGCAAGCTGTACGTCTTGCCGCTGCCTGTCTGCCCGTACGCGAACAAGCACACGTTGAAGCCTTTGTATGCGTCCTCCAACATCGGCTTGCCAATCGTCTCGAACACCTCCTCCTGTCCGCCGCCAAACACGTGGTCGAAGCGGTAGGAACGCTTTATCTTCTCATCGTCGATGATCACGTCGCATTCGTCGGACTTTTGTACCAGAAATCCGGTCATTATTGAGATCGCCTTTGCCCACAGGCCGCACTCGCACAGAGACTTGTACTCGTGAAGAGGCGTCTTGTAAGCGACCCATTTCCTATCCAGTGAAACCAGAAGATAATCAACGATCTATCTGAAGTGCTAGGTATAATTACATTCGTTTAGTAAACTATGCACAGTTGTGTATAATGTGCAAGCGTAGAGCACGGTGAGATGAGCTTGCTTTCAAAGAACAGCCTCAAATAAAATAGCGAAAAAAAAAGAGAAAACAATCATATAATGTTTAAAAAAAAAAGACTGAATGGCAAGGTGGATAATTAAAGAAAAGAGGGAGTTCAAAGAGTGCAAAACTGGTTTGCAACAAGGAAAACGTTACCCGGAAAAAATCGTCACGCACCGAGAGATAAGTGCCATTAAAATTATCTGGACTGAAATGCACGCAAAATAACTGAGCCTTTTTTAGGCATGAGTTGGGAAGCTCTCCTTCCCATATAAGTACGATTTTCCGCTGAGTTTTGCTGCACAAAACAAAACGACAGTTGCCAGAATGGGTTCTACATTGAGGTACTGGTTTGCCTTTTACTGATGTTTTTTGTTGTTGTTGTTGTTGTTGAAAGATATATCAATTAAATGAAAGAAGCGAAATGATAATCAAAGCATTTGTTCCTGCTACTGAAACTAGTTAATAGTTCAGCTTCGTGCGGCGCCAGTGGCGGCGCTTCTCGTTCCACTTGATGCGGTTACCAGTGCGCAGACGGATCCAGTACGGAACCGGCTTGTTCTGGTTCATCTTCTTCGCATACTTCTTCTTCACGGCGAGAGGCTTGAAGCGGCCCATTTTGAGAAACTTCTAGGAACTGAAAGTGGAAAAAGAAAAGTTGATATCAAGATTGATGCGTTTAAGGAAACGATAGGAATGATGTGGACATGGCAGGGCATGAGTTGTGAGCAGTGAATATATGTATATACGACGTGTGCGTGCGCACAAGAAACATGGATTGGAAAATGAAAGGCAAACGGAAGAGTGGAGCTAAGCATATTAGGAAACTTTGACGTCTGTGAAGTGTACTGGCCAACATTAGGTAACCGACAGGCGTTGAAATGTATTTCAGTTCTTTGCCCTTCAAACAGCTACTGAGGCAATCGGTTAAACAACAGGCTCTTATGAAATAGGCATTAACACCATATTAGCACATGCTGCATACCGCTTAGAATACACCTCTGGTATAAAGGCTGAAAAGTGTTTTCTACCCACCAATTGAACAGCAGTTTGCAGTTGAACTTCATTTCTCTCTCTTACCAGCTCGGCCTGTGCATCCACAACGCAGTCCCTCTTTTTTTTTTCTCAGAGGTATTTTGCCACATTTATAGCATTTGTCTGTCCGATTTACTAGTATTATTGTTTATCACCTTCAAGATGTGAACGTGTAGTGTTTGCCCTACAAGTATGTGTACTGATTGGTGCCCATGTTTCAGAAGCTCTTCGCGGAACGTTAACGTCGTAAACAAAGTGCACTATTGGCTAATTCCGTGCTTTCCATACCCATCGCTTTGTTTAAAACGAGAAAAAAACGTACCGCAAATCATTTCTCACAAACAAACTAATCATGTACATATATACTTAATACAAAAAGCGGGGAAAAAAGAAGAAGAATAGAAATGCTCACGATAAAGGCTAGGAAACAACTCGCTGAAGTTGAAAGAAAATTGGCGGCAAAAACACCACAAGCGATATCAGTAACGCAAGTTGCAATCCATTTAATGAAGAGCTTGTTAAGGTGTTCTGGGAAGTAATGACGCCACCAATACGTGCGCCAAGAAGTGATTAAGAAACAAAAGCGCTATTGTTTTTGCACAGTTATTGCTCAAAAACGCGCTATTACAGCAGTAAGGTTTTTCCCCCTTTTTTGTTCGTCTCAGGAAAAGGTACTCACGAGTTTTCGTAGTTCACAAAGAAGGACTCAATTAGCTTTGTCATGTAATAAATGTCAAGTGTGCCGCACATTTCACGAACACTGTGCATGCTTATCATTGGGTTGCCAATGTCAGCAGTCTTGATACCGGAAAGCGTGGAGAGAATTGGACCGATTGTCGATCCGCACGGCGAGTCGTTGCGAACGACAAACTCCTGGACAGGCACATTGACTTTCTTCGCCAAGTGCTTAACAACAGCTGCTGTCAGACCGTTTGTTGCATAGCGAACATTGGCGTTGTACTTAATGACAGGTCCTTCATGGAGTGCCGGACGGTGGGCATTTTCATGTTTGTCAGTGTAATTCGGATGGCATCCGTGTGCCCCATCAACGGAAAGGAGAAACGAGTTCGCTACCAAAGTTGCGCGCAGAGTTCTGTTGCTGATGAGATGCTCGATAATATCAGGGACCAAAGAGCCGGCTGCGCCTTGCGGAGAGCCCGAACCGCACTCCTCGTGGTCGAATAAGCAGGCCATACGCACCATGGTGTCATTTTCCAACGCCTCAGCGTCGATGATGGCTTTGATAGCGCAGTAGCACGAGATCAAATTATCCAAGCGCGATGAGAAAATAAATTCGTCGTAAATACCTCCAATTGCGGCCGGTTGTGTGTCAATGACGCTGAGGTCAAAATCCAAAATTTCTTCCGGTTTGCAGCCTGCCTCGACAGCAATTGCGCTCATCAAGGCGGTACAATGCGTTGAGTCCGCGGATTCCTTACAGTCAGGTTCCGCAAGTTTCTGAGCAATTTCTGTGCAAATGACTGGAATCAGATGCGTCTCCTTGTTGGGGGCAAATCCTTCCCGTTCCTTAACGGACGTCAAGTGAATCGCAATGTTGGGAATTCGCATAATCGGTTTGTCAATTTTAATAATTTTTTCCTCCAGATGATCGCGCGAAATTACAACACGGCCGGCCACCGTAAGATCGCGATCGAACCATGAGTGCCACAAACCACCTCCGTAGCACTGAACAGCCACGCGTTGATACTTAGTAGAGGGAGATTTGGTATGGGGCTTCAAAAGAAAATTTGGCGAGTCAGTGTGCGCACCAACAATTTTGACGCCGTTCGCAGGATCAAATTTGCCGCCAACTGAAAATGCCACGATACTCGAGCCGTTGCGAGTGAGATAGTACTTGCCGCCAGGTGCCATTTCGGGCCATACTTTACCTTCGTCAAGTCGAGAAAAGCCTGCCTTCTGCAGCATCTCAGCAACCGTTTGTACTGCATGGAATGGAGTTATCGCCTGATTCATGAAACCGACGAATTCTTTCGCCATCTTCACGGCGTGCTCTGACTTGAGAGTCGTCATTGCTTTTCAAAAAAAAAGAAGTTGACGCAGAAAAAAAAAGAATCAAAAGTATTTTGTTTTCCTGATGGTGAAAAGTTATGTATTTTATTAAAGAAAACAAGGAACATAGAGAAAGAAAGTGTAGTGAAGGAGAAATACAAGCGGTAGGAAATTTAGCAAACCAGTTGATCACGCTTCATTATTGACGGCGTATTTTGAATCTTGCAACCGATAGCTTTGAGGATCGGTCATGCGTCTGAGAAGACTCCATTATTACCCGGATACTAGGAAACAAAGGAAGTGTCATGGTTAGTTGTGTTTCACGTACAAAGATATAAAGGAAGCCCTTAAAATAATGCTACGTTTTGAATACCTTATTAGCACGTCTCCACAACGCAGCAGGCAGAGAAATACGAAAATATAGATACACGGGTAGTCGGAGAAAAAAAATGACGGCAGAAACACTGTGTATGAGCATTTAACAGGCGCTTGTTTACATGCACCAATCTTCTTCGAGAAGATAGAAATTATGGATGGGAAGCACAAAACAGAACCTACACACGTTTTCAAATTCAGGCAACTCGTTTCGGCTAAGATAAAGTTGCAGAAGAGAACGAACAGCTACAAAAACGTTTTTCAACACTGGTCATGAGTTTCTTTTGTCACTGCTATTGATGCAGCTCTCAAGCGCCGGAAGAAGAAAGCTCAATCAAAAGGCACTAGAAATGATCACCTGCGAAACACATGCTGGTCCCATTTCAAGAACCAGCACGACTGCTATGGCACGAACCAGGCTTTTCGAATTGTCACGTAAGCTTTGAACAGCCGCCGCGCAAAGCCACTGCAGCGCTTTTGTTGTTGTTGTCCACTGTTCAGTTTCCAAACAGTTGTTGTCCTGCTTCCTTTTTCACGCTCTGTGCGTCGAGTGCTGTGGGTAGGTGAAGAATTGAAAACGATGAGCGCAGTTGGTAACTGAACCCCGCTGTTTTCTCGCCGGCGTGCCGATCAAAATGTGATGCGCGCTGGGCACCGGTTCTCTCCCCTTCCTTCCCCCTTCCCCCCTGACTTTTTTTGCAGGGGGAGGGGGAGGACGCAAATCAGCTGCGAGTGTCTTGGCTTGCTTGCTTGGTGGAAGGCGTAACTCTTTCCATCCTGCCAGTACAGAATTTTTGGATAGAAGGTAGCACCTGCGGACAGCGCATTTCTTGACACAAAATAGTGTTGTAATAGCAAGAGCAGTCTCGCTTCCAAAGCTCACCTTGCCCGCTCCGCTGGTGCATGCAATCTGAGGATGATTGGATAACGCGCTGGTCAAACTTGAAGAAGTCACCTAACCACTGAGGCGTGCGCGTTGTAGAAGGGTTAAACGTGCAAACCCGTTCTCTATTACTCGCAACACAATGGGTTTATGTTTTCAGTATCTTCGGCTCTGGTGTTGCCCTTGTCTTCCCATCTTACTCTCTGTCGTTGTCTCCCTCTCTCTTTCTACTTCTTGTCTTTTTCGCATTAGCGCATCAGAAAGCCATTACAAATGAAGTCCCTTTTTCGTCCAACACGCGCAATTTTGGGGCCAGTGTTTGCCGCCCCTGTGAAGCAGCAAAAAATTGATGAGGTCGTGCGGGTTGATCACGCAGGTGAGGTTGCAGCGGTGCGCATTGCAAGCCATCAACTGGAGTGGATGTCGCCACTGGACGACTCGGTCCCGATTGCCGAAGAAATTCTCGCGGACGAGGTTGTCCACCGTCGCGTGATGACGGAGCTTGCTGAACGACACGGTGTGCGAACCACAGCGCTAGACCCTTTTTTCAAATTCGGCGCCTTCGCTTTGGGTGCCGGAACCGCCATGCTTGGGAAGGAAGCCATGATGTGCTGCCATGCTGCAGTAGAAATTACCATTTTTGACCATTATAACGATCAGCTTCGTGAACTGGAGGAGTTGGAGGAGAAATGCTCTGATATGAAAGAGACCGAGGTGGAAAAGCAGGCGTGGGTGGATGTGAAGAATTATATTGTAAAGTTCCGCGATGAAGAGAAGCACCACCAAGAGCTAGGAGAGCAGAACGGCGCTGCCGATGCCCCAGCGTATCTTCTTCTTTACAACGGCATTCGTCTGGCCTGCAAAATCGGCGTCGCTCTCGCCAAACGCATCTAGACCTTCAAAAAAGAAAAAAAACTCATATATGTACCTTTATATATCGAAAAAAAGTGTAGGTATAAATCGAGTTTCTTTGTCTTTCCTACTTTATTTTTGTAACAGCCAACAATTTCAACTTGATCAGTATTTCAAAGAACAAAAATGAGAAAAGATTGCACGATCGACGATGTACCTCTGTGCAGCGGCTTTGAATTCGAATGCTGGGTCGTTATCCAGTGATATCGAACTCGAAACAGCATTATCGATGAGTTTTACAAAAGGCATACCGTACCTAGTCCTTACAGAGCACATGTTAAAATGTGCCTTCCTTTTAAAGATATCAAACATTATGTGTTGGACTTATCCTTCTCTTCTTCTTCCGTCTCAGAATACCTTTTTTCTTTGTCATCGAACACTTCCTCATACACAACCCCCAAATACTTTTTTGAGATTACACACAAATTCCTTTTATTGCCAGCGGTAGCACAATGCAGCCCTCTCAGTCTGCCGCAGAGGCAATCGCAAAGTACACAGACGAGCTTGTTGCTATCGATCGCAAGAATGACGAGGAGACAGCTGCGTTGCGCCTTGAGTACCGCAACAAAATGGAGCCTCTGCTGGTTAAGCGTCACGAGCTCCTGAAAGGCGTCAACAGCTTTTGGTCTGGTGTTCTTTCGTCACCGGAGACACCAATTTCGGGTTTGCTGAACGGCACGATTGATCCGAAGATTGTGCGTGCTATTACCGACTTTCAAATTCTCACCCGCGTCGACGACAACAAGCTCTGCCGAAAGATCATTATTTCCTTCCGCCAAAACATGTTTGTGGAAGAGGGGCACGTTTCACGCGAAGTTGACTCTGAGATGAAGACGCTCTCACTTACCCCGCTCAAGTGGAAGCAAGGCACCGACCGCGCGCGCACCGACTCTTTCTTTTCATTTTTCACTGAATCGTTCCAGTCTGATATGGACGCCATGAGCGAGGTTGTGGAAGGCCTGGATATTATTTATCAGAATCCGTTTCTTGCCGTGCAAGCTGATTAAGGAATGTGGTTGCTTGCAAGAAAAACAGATCTGCGATAACAATGATTATTGCTTTTTGTTGGAGCTTAAAGTATTATTCTGTCCTTCTGTATCCTCTTAAAGGCGCTTTAACGTGAGCATAACGAAACGAAAAAACAGTAGTGTATTTTCTTACTGCGGTCTTACGTGCGGAGTTTTCAAAGAAAAAGCAAAACTGGCGCATTGCTCTTGTTGGCAATTTACGAAGAACCGATGGATCGCAAGCTCTTTTCGGTTTCTTTTGATGCGCATGGATGTACATCTTTTTCTTTTACTTCCTGACCGTTTTCGTTCCGGTCTGTTAATTCGTGTGATGTTTCCATCGACGATCACAACCCCAGTAGTTCATCATTTTTTCCTTCTTCTCCTTTTCTATTTCAGCTGTGTTCTTTCCACGACATCATTATCCTTTCTTAGGAAGGATACTAGCTCTTTTTACGGTCTTCTGTATCTTTTGGCATTTGTTTCTTATTGTTTTTCTGTGCTAAACGAAAACAAGATGAATATGCAGAGCACGTCTCGTGGGATCGAAGATCTGCTTTACAACCTCGGATCCTCGTTAGAGAGGTTTAAGGGTGTAAATGGTCTGCAACGGCTAGTCACCACAGGAAAGCTCTCACTGCTGTCGCTTTTTGGTGAATTTGAACGCACAAGAGACGAAGTTTATGAAAAAAGATCAGCTGCAGTAAATGAGACGCGCCGGTGTCTCATACAGATAGCGGATGAGTTTGAGGGAATTACGGGAACTGCGCAAAAACTAGTGCACAAAATTGATCATCTTTTAAACACATTGGTGTGCTTTCATCGTGCGTGCGACATGGAGCTAGATGATCGCTCCACTACGGATGACTCTGATGCGCAGCAGCTCTTGCGCGACTTCGCACAGATGCAGGAGAAGAACAACAAGTTGAAGACGTCACTCAACGATTTCTGCACCTCCACCAGCACCTGCGCAGACTTGACGCGCAGTGCAGTTGCACAATTAGGGGAAATGGACACTAGCACTTCTTACGAAGTCTCGGTTGCCTTAACGGACTTTGACCGTCAGCGACGCAGAGTTCAGGTCAGGAGGAACGAGTTCACGAATGCGATGAGTAGCGCATCCTCTCGTCAAGATCCGGTGGTGCAATTTGCAGAGTTCAACTATCTTAAAGAGTCCGATGCCCTCGAAGGGTATGGAAGGAGGTACATTGACTCGCTTGCCGCTGCCATGACAACCACAGCATTTGCGCTAGAACAATCTTCAATGACGGGATGGGCCTCCTCCAACGTTTTCTTTGTCCAGCTGGGTCTCTTTTTTCACGATATGACAGAAGGCAGCAGATCCGTCGCGGTAAACTTGCTTTCTGTCAAAAACGCGCAAAAAGTGTCACGTCAACTTACGGACGAAAAACGAACTCTGCTGCAGCAGCAAAGGACAGCGGCGAGAGATAGCACCACACAGGAGAGGGAAGACGTACATTACGAAATCGGAGGCGTTGCGTATTCGACGACGATGACAGCATCTCGCGCTACACCAACGTCCTCCAATGCATCTCCTCGCCAATCTCCAATGCATGTGGATTCAAACAGCCACGTTACTCAAGACCCTGTTCATCCACAGACCTCCTCCACCTTCTCTACAAGCACGCCTGCAGTTTCCAAATCGGTAGACCTCAGCGACCTCTTTCAATGAACTGTACGGTTACAAGCGCCTTGTAATTCCGTTTCCAAATCGCACGTTTCTGAACGGCCCCATGGGCAGCGAATAAAGCCTCCTTCCTCTCGCTGCTTGATCTCAAATCATGAAAATATACAGTATCCCGCTTTTCGATCTTTTATCGTTACCTTTCGCTCTGTTCTCCACTTTTGCTGCATTTCTAGCTACTCCTCGCTGTCGTAGGGCAGCACCACAAAATAATCCACTAGCTAGTCTTGCACAGCATTACTTCGCTGACGTATGAAAACTGAAAGTAATGGAAACTTCAATTATTTGTAATATGTAGATTTTCGTTGTCATCAGTTTGTACAGGTTGTCGAAGTTGGATAGTTTTCGGCTACTTGTCTCTTTTTGTGAGCTTTGCTGTATTTGGAAAAAAAAACGAGATGACAATGGACTAAAAGTAATAATAATAATGCCTGCTTTCCCGAACGGTTTGCGTGAGAAAATTAGAATGTGGGCATCAAAAAGAATGTTTTTCTCTGTGTCTCTGTCTCCCTCTTTTTCTTGACCTCACACACTGACAGAATCTGCTATAGGTTCAGCATCACCTGAAAGCGACGACGACAAAAAAGGAAAATCGTTTTCTGCTTTTATAATCTCTCATCAGAAACATGAAGAAGCGCCCTAATCTCTCGCTGAACGCTGGGATTGTGGAGGAATTCAAGCAGGATTGCCAGTCATACCAGATCAACAGCAATAAATCTCTCCAATTTCGTGCGTTCTTGTTTAATGAAGCAGGTATGTATACCAAGGACGGCCGCGAGCTCCCAACAACGGTGAAGAAGGACGACATAGACTACTCCACAAAGCGTAATGTAGGTGCTGGCGCCAGCGGTGACGTCTACTTCGCTCGCCTGAAGAAAGGCACCCCTATTGCGATGAAGCGCATTCCTATTTCTTCGAAGTCGCACCGTGATGAGGTGGACCGCGAACTTCAGTTTTTTAGCGCTCGAGGTGACTCCCCGTACGTCATGAACAACTACGGTGCCTTCTGGGATGCCGAAGATGACGCGATCGTCATCCCCATGGAGTGGATGCCATACACCGTTAAAGATCTCGGTCACTTTTGGGGAGGCTTGAACGAGGCACTTCTGAAGGCGGCCTTCTTTCAAGTTGTCTCCGGGCTTGTCTACTTGCATGACGTGAAACGAGTGCTGCATCGCGATTTGAAACCGAGCAATCTGTTGATCAGTGAAGACGGTCACGTCAAGATTGCCGACTTTGGTGTGTCGAAGCTGATTCAGACGCTGGCCGTGTCTTCCACATACGTTGGCACGATGTGTTACATGGCACCGGAGAGACTGGAACAGGGCATGTACGGGTTTAGCAGCGACGTCTGGTCACTTGGCCTCACCATGATTGGCGCCGTCACAGGCAAAAATCCCTGGGCACCACCTGAGGAAATGAATTTGTTCCAGCTGCTGGCAAAAATGAAGCAGGGAAGCACGCCGACGCTCCCAGAGTCGGGGAATTTTTCCGACAACGCCAGGGACTTTGTGAAGCAGTGCCTCGAGCGCAACCCAGATGCTCGGCCAACTTGCTCCGAGCTGTTGAAGCATCCATTTTTTGCTGATACGACGGAAAGCACCTCTCAGGCTATGGTGAAGATGGCGGTAGAGCAGATGAGTCGTCTCATCAACAACGACGCGCAGAAGCAGAAGGAGATGGCACGTTCGCAGGAATCAATGGAAAAGGACGTAAATGCACAGTTGGACAAGCTGATTTTGTGAGTGGATGTTGTATTGTGGTTTCTTCCTTGTTTAAACATGCTTTGCGTTGGTGGGATGCCGAGGAAACGTAGCGTAACGGAAATGTACGCGCGTTAACGAGCAGACTCTCTTCTATCTGTTTTTGTTTCAAGGTCTCTTTTTTTTTTCTTTATATTTTACTCTGTTTATTTTCGGTCTTTTTTTCTGTGAGACGAGTACCTGTGCCGTGTTCCCGGTTTCTATACATTGTCGGAGCGGCACATACTACTTGGTGCGTGTTTTTGCATTCTTTTCCTATCTCACAATCTTGTTTGCCTTCAATTGATGCCGGTAATTTGATGTTTGGTTTTGGTGAGTTCTTATTAACATACAGTTCATCTGTGCTCTCTTGCTTTCCTTTTTTTTTTGCTTCAACCAAGATCTGCGTATGCACATACACGCGTACACAAATGCTTTCGGCCCTTTTCACCCCACTTCTCCTCTTTGTTCTGCGTTGTTACGGCGGTTTTTCAACAACTTTTTTTTTCGCGGACCAGAGTAACGGCAGCCGAACTTGTAGTTTGCGTTTGCCTCGAGGAACTCAGTAAGTTCTCGTAAAACGTCCCGGAAATTTCAGCAACTTTCAATTTCAGAGTGCAAGGTGTCTGCTGACAGTGAAAGCAAAACGAGAGTCCTGTGACACACACACACACACACACACACACACAAGTGCGTCCGCAAAACTAACAATGTACATTCATACATAAACATGGGCATGTTGATCGCACATATCAGACAGCACATGTTTTCTTTTCTTTTTGTGTTACAGTAGCAGTTGCTGCTCCACGTTGTTTAGGTTATGGGTTTCTAGCGAAGACTCCATTTCCTCCGGAAAGAGAAAATGTGCGAGGTGGGAGACATGGACGGCACACCACAGGAGCAAGAAAGTACGTAGCTCTCAGGCACCACCACCACACAACAGTACGTTTCTTTTTGGCTCCGTTGGCAAACCTAACCCTCCCCCTTCACTGAAGTTTTCCTCTTTGACGGCACCCTGTCGGGCTTAACTTACGTGTTCTTCCTTTGTGCTGTTGTAGTTTTCACCGATTTCGTAAAGCCACACAGAATTTACAACGCTCGTATCAACTGATGCAGTCTCTCTCTCCCCGACTTTCAACGGTGCCGCCGCGGTCGACGCCTTTTTTTTTTGCCTCGCTTTAGGGGAAGCATTTCTGAGTGAGCGGGGAGTGCACTCGGGGAAAGGAGAGCTTTGACTTTGTTCCCCCCTTTGCATTGCAACCGTTTAGGCAGAGAAGGGCTGGCAGGACAACTTATTTTCTGGTTTCGTCGCGCACTTCGCGTGAGTACGGTACAAAGTGACATCGTTTCCTTCAAAATCTATTTTTTTTTTTACCTCAGCAACCAAAAGACAGTTTGAGCAAAATCGGGCATGTGAAGCTTCCTATTGTCCCCTTTGCAAATGATTATTCCCTCCCTTTATTTCTTTGGTTCCTACATGTCCTTTTTTTGCTTCGCTCACAACTAATCCAGCATTTTTCTTTGTGCTCCTGCGTCCACACCCTAAAACACAAAGACACAGGTTTAGCGTTCTCTACGCCCTTTTTTTTCTTGCTATTACTGTCACCGCCTCTTGTGCAGTCACCACTGTTTTGCGTGGCCATTTGTGTAAGGAATTTCATAAGCCGACTCCTAGCTCAAATGTTTCGCTACTGCTTTGCTCTTCGCTGCGCCGCGCAGCCGGTTGTGATGGCAGCGCAGGCGGGACGCGTGGTGACCCTCACGATCAATCGCCCCACTCAGCTGAACGCGCTCAACAAGGCGGTATCGGAGTGTCTGATGGCCAACCTGGAGAAATTCGACAAGGACCCGTCCTGCAGCGTCTTCATCATCACCGGCGCGGGACGCGCGTTTGTGGCCGGCGCCGACATCAAGGAGATGAGAAGCCGCGACTTCAGCGAACGTCTCATATCTGACGACTTCGCAGCACTGGGGCGCATCGGCGGCATTGCGAAGCCGATCATCGCCGCCGTCAACGGCTTCGCGCTCGGCGGCGGGTGCGAGCTCGCCATGTCGTGCGACATCATCCTCGCCAGCGACAAGGCGAAGTTTGGCCAGCCGGAGATCACCCTCGGTACGATCCCTGGACTGAGTGGCACGCAGCGCCTGCCGCGCCTGATTGGCAAGACGCGCGCCATGGAGTGGGTGCTGACGGGTGCCACCTACACGGCCGACGAGGCGGCGCGAGCCGGCTTGGTGGCGCGCGTCGTGAAGCACGAGGAGCTCATGTCCACTGCGCTTGCAATGGCAGAGAAGATCGCCGGTTACAGCCAGGTCACCACAAAGTTGGCAAAGATGGCCGTTAACGCGTCACAGGAAGGCTCGCTGCACACGGGCGTTGACTACGAACACTTCATTTTCAACTCCACCTTTGCCACGCATGACTGCAAGGAGGGCATGTCAGCCTTCGTTGAGAAGCGCGCCGCGAAGTTTGAGAACCGGTAAAGGATGCGGCGCAAGAAAAACGGACCTGCATTTTTACCACGAGAAAATGCATGGAAATCGAAACGTGCCCCCCCCCCCAGGGACAAGTCGTAAGCGCACTTATTTGAATTCTACCGTTGCGGATTGCTTGATCCTTCCTTAAACCCACGCCTGCACCTATCACTGCAAGGAGAAGTGGTGCGCATAAACAGGTTAGCGAATGGAGTGAAGGCGGCAGGAGGGGAGACACGGACGCACTAGCGGTACGGCGCTCTTTTTTTCTTGTTGATTGATTCCCCTTCCCAACGTTCTGCAGTGATTTTGCAGTTGGAGTAGCAAACAGCAACACCCCTGCGGCGTTATTTTCTGTTAATTCCCTCTTGCTTTGATTCTTGACAACGTCTTTTGCCTACCGGCCCTAAACCTTTTTTTTCTTTTGCGAACGTCAGCACCGTTTCTGTGTGTTCCCTCAGTTGAAAAAGAGAACTTTTTTTTTCACACATTTTTTTTAATTCTCAATCACAAAATGATAGCCAGCGACATCGAACACATGTAAACACGCACACACTCACGCACATACATACATATATATATATATATATATATATATATATATATCTCCCCTGCCTTTGTTACCATCATCACCTTTCCTCCATTTCCCCCTTATCGCGGTTGTTTCAAGCTGCGTTGCCTCTGAATTGCTTCGAGAGAAGGCTACATTGATGACAATTCGAGCATCGTTAGCGGCGCATGCTTCACCAAATAAAAGTGGAAGCGGGTAGTTGCGACAGAGGAATGAAAAAAAGTTTTTTTTGTGCTCTAAGAACTGTTTTCGTAGACGGAATTTTACGTTGTTTTATACGTCTCCTCCCTTTTCTTTTGTTGTTGTTCTTCTTCAGGGCCTTTGCGTTGTTGCGTCGACACTGGTTTTGTTCAAGGCAATTCGCCCTTTTCGTCCGTTCTCCTCATGGAGTGTTTTTTGTGTTGCTCTACGTTTGTGACGGAAAGAAAAGCTCTATTGCACGACTGTGTTACTTGTCGCTTCAAGACGGCCGAGATGGAGCATGACACTGAAGGGGAGCGACGTGGAGTGAAGTTCCTCTTTTTTTTTCTTGTCTTACTTTCTTACATTTGATTTCATATACTGCATAGTGATTCACGCCTTAGCAAGGCGAAAAGCGAATCGAACAACAGTAAGAACACACACTCCTTTTTTTTTGTTTTTGGTGGAGAGTAGCCGCCTTGTTCTTCGTTGCGTGTTTCACTACCGAAACTACAGTTCCTCAGCGCAGCCCATCTATGCTGCCCAGTACAGTATCGTATCGCCCCGACACGCGTAGCAAAGTCGTCTCCTTCACTGAAAAGAAAGAGACCCTTTTCTCAGAGCTTGTGAGGGGAATAGAAGGAACGGAAAAAAGAAAGAAGATATGGTCAGCGGATGGGATCGGTGATCTCAGTCATTTGGGAAATGCTTGATACTCTCCTTTACTTATATCGCCTGTTGGTCTTGACTCTCCTGTTTCTGTGGGTTTTGCATCCTGGGTATATTGTCCGCCAGTGTGAAGTCTCCGGTCTTCCAAAAATTCCACCCGCCCGCCCCCGGTCCCTACCACGACAGGGACCCATGGGATCTCCGGAAGGATCCTTGAGTTGGGTAATGTTTCCTATGCACTTCGTAATGCGATGATATCTTTGAGATTTGACCGGGGCCAGGAAAAAAGCGAAAACAATGAATAAACTTGAGGGCATTATCAGAGGGTGACTGAGAAGCGAAGGAGGGTGAGGTTCCTAGAAGGCAGTGGTGGATTAGGACTCGCGAGTTATGCATTACACAAATGTCGTGACATTTCTTCCACTCTTGACTTCCCAACCTTCCTATTCTCTTTGTTCTTAACCCAGTCTTCACACCTCGTCTCTGACACCTCTCTCTCTCTCTCTTTTAAAACGTTTTTCATCGGTGTATGATGGGCTTGTAAGAGTTTTCCTTTCTGCTCATTTTGATCCACGCGTTCTTCTCTCCGACCTTCACGCCAGAGTTGAGCGCTACGCTTCTGAGGCCGTAAAGGATCTTTCTCCCCTTCTCTCTCGGAGAAGGATTCTTAATATTGCTACAATCATTTTTTGTTTGTTTCCATCTTAGCTACCCCACTGAAGCAGCGCTTAGCTCAGCTGTGCCACTAGTTCATCTTCGTCAGTATCGTCATCAAAGAATTTGGAGAACTGAAGCGACAGCTTTGCGTCTGCGACATTTTCAGCTCCCTTTTCGAGTATTGACCTCATCTTTCCGGTGCTCTTGTATGCCGTTTCGTCTTTCTCAGGAGGCGTGTCCCCACGCGTGGGACGATGCGGCGATGACCGCCCCGTACCCCGGCAAGACGGTGCACCGCGATGAGTGCGCGTACTGCTGCCGCACGTGCCGCCACGGGGACGGTGTCTACGTCTGCATGGCCTGCCACACCGGGGTGTGCGGCGAGCACCTGGACAAGCATCAAGCCCTCCACGCCGCCCACGTCATGTACACCACGGTGAAGGAGCTACCCACCAAGGAGGGGGAGGCGGTGAAGGATGTCAACTACCTCGGTGTGGTCGCTGCGAAGGAGTACGCGACGGCGGTGTGCTGTGCGGACTGCCAGGTGCAGTTTGCGCAGGTGCCGGACCTCGCCGTGGAGGCGTACGGCGCCATCATCAACGCCCCTGTCCCCGGCGCGCAGGACAGCTCCGCTGAAAACGCACTCGGACGACTGCAGAAGCCGCAGTGCCCGCATTTGGTGTGTCTGGAGCAGCTACCCAGCCCTTTCACCGCGGGCCCGCCGACGTCCGACGACGTGTGCTCGGTTGAGGGTTGCGACTGCTCTGTCAACAACTGGATGTGCGTGACCTGCGGTGCCATCGGCTGCCCACGCGCGGAGGCCGGCGGCAACGGCCACGCGAAGCAGCACTACGCACTGACCGGGCACCCTGCGAGTGTGAAGCTGGGCACCGTGACGGAGCAAGGGGCGGACTACTACTGTTACGCGTGTGACGACGACGTGGACGACGTCCACTTTGCCGCGCACATGGCCCACTTCGGCATCGATATCCGCACCGCCAAAAAGACCGCCAAGACGATGGGGGAGTTGGAGTACGACTACTCCTCGCAGTTTGACTTCAATAAAATCACTGAGGCCGGCGCGAATTTGGTGCCCGTCTACGGACCTGGCCACACCGGCATGTACAACATCGGCAACACCTGCTACCTCGCCTCGGTGGTGCAGTGCCTTATGTCTTTCGCCCCCTTCCAGCACGCCTTCTACCCCGACAAGTCCACGCCGCACCAGGCGCAGTGCACGGCCGACCCATACAACTGCCGCTACTGCCAGACGGAGCGGGTGGCGGCGGGGCTGCTCTCAGGCGAGTTCAGCCGTGAAGGGGCGGACGCGACCAACGCGATTTGTCCGCGTCTCTTCAAGAAGGTGTTCGCCCAGCAGCACCCCGAGTTCTCCACCGGCGCCCAGCAGGACGCGCAGGAGTATCTGCTCTACCTGTTGGAGGAAATGCAACGCCACGTGCGGTGCCCCGCCACGACGTCGCCCATGCACCCGACCGATAGTATGGAGATGGTCCTCGAGCAACGGGTGCAGTGCAACATGTGCCACAAGGTGCGCTACTCGTACGAGAAGGACAAGTGTCTGTCGCTGCCCATCCCGGTCAAACCGGTATCCGCTTCCACGATGGCTGCCACCGCCACCGCGGTGAAGCTGACGGAGGCGGAGCTGGATGCTGTGCGGCCCCGGTGCTCCCTCACCGACTGCCTGCAGGCCGCCATAACGCCGAACGAAATCGAGTGCCGCTGCGAGGCCTGCGGGGAGGCCGCCGTTTACTCCACCGTGACCCGTCTCGCCTCCTTCCCTGATGTGCTGCCGGTGTACATACGACGCACCTACTTCGACGCGGCGACCCTCAGCACGAACAAGATGGACGCCTACGTGGAGGTGCCGCAGCAGATCGTGCTGGACGAGTACCGCGGGAGTGGGCTGCGGGCAGGCGAGGCCCTCATGCCCGCCGCGTCCGCAACGCCGACGCGGAAAGCCAAGACGGACGCCGGCGCCAACGCGGCCGCGCAGGAGGTGGATGAGGTGGCCCTCGTATCCGTCATCAGCATGGGCATCGACCTGGACGTGGCCCGCTACGCCCTGCTGCACACCAGCATGAACGTCGAGCGGGCCATCGATTACATCTTCAGCCACCCCGACATCGCCGCGGAGGCCAAGGCGGCCACAGAAGCGCCTGCGGAGGGATCAGCACCAGCGGGGACGGCGCCCGCCGACGGTGCGACGACGGCAGCGGCGTCGATCCCAAAAGCTGCCACGGACGGCGCCGCCTCGTACGAACTGACCGCGATGATCAGCCACATGGGGGCCAGCGCACGCACCGGCCATTACGTGTGCCACATCCGCGACGCCGCCAGCGGGGCGTGGCTGCTCTTCAACGATGAAAAAGTCGGTGTGTCGCAGAACCCGCCCTTCTCCATGGCGTCGCTGTACTTCTTCCAACGAAAGGCGTGAGGTGGGGTGGTGCGTCCGCGGCGAAAGAGTGTGAGCGGACGTTTCGATGTGGCGGGCATGGCGCCTTCTTCGATGCTCTCGGCCGTCTTAAGTGGGCCTTTCCATGCATTGCGAGTGTGTGGTATTTTCATGTTCTCTCCTTTTTATTTTTTGCATTATATGGGGTTGCTTTGTACACATGTTCACCGTTATCTCCGTCTCTACTGCTCTCGCATCGAATATGTGCATGTGCGCGCCCGTACTGCAAGGGAAAAACAAGAAGAGGTCTTAACAAGACTACCAAGCAATTGCGTTACTCGCACCTGGTTTTTAATACTAAAGTCGTGCGATTGAGATTGAGAGAAGCGAAGGAGGAGTCTATCGTTTCTCTCCACCGCGCTTTAATTGGCTTTCATCGGGCGGACCGTGAAGCGTTGAAGCCTCACATTTCTCCTGCTGTCGATGTGGGGGAGAAGAAGAAACAAAAACTAAGTCACAACACCACAGCACCAACTAAATCAACTGCAGGTGCGTGTGCTGAAGCGGCGTTCTCTTTCACTCACTCACTCTCTCCTTCGTCTCAATGACTTACTGCTGCTACTTACCTCTTTTTGCCTCCACGTTATTGAATCTTGTTGACGCAACATCGTCACATCTCCTTTATTATTATTATTATTATTATTATCGCGCTCTGCGCATATTTAAATAGTATATCTGTTAATAACAACAGGGGTAATAGCTGTTGTATCATCGGTAGTCTATATACCCTCTCCCTGTCAACATCGCCAGGCACCAATTAGGCACGCAGCAGAAAGAAAGAGAAGACATATCCAGAGTTTTATTTATTTATTTATTTGTTGTTTCCTCTGCTGCTTTACCACTGTTTCGAATTACGATCTTTTCTTTGGTTTGTTCTCTTTAACTCCTGTGCACGCTCTCTTAAACCGTCCACGGTTGCTCCTGTCTTTCTTTTTTTTTTGTATTTTCTTCTTTCCTTTATTTTTCTGTCGTTGCATCTTCACCGTCACGCACAACGAAGGAGTGGGGGAGTGCTTTTATGTTCTCAGCCGTGGCACAGAACGCGAAGCAAGCAAACAACACAAAACCAGCAACATCAGCCAAAAGACAAACGAGCCCTCTTTGACTGAAAAAAGAACGGATCGTTAGTTCCACGCACGACTCTTTCCTTTTCTCGAAGTCTCTCCTCTTTTCAAGCCTGCTTTTCTTTCTTTTCATATTTCGTCTCAAAAGAGAAACACCCGTTTTAATCTTTTCTCCTGTGTGTGTGTGTGTGTGTTCGTCTCACTCTCACTCTTTTGAGCCGTTTCTTAAAATTCATCATTTTTTTTTTGATTTGGAAGACATCAGAGCTTTTTTCTTCTTCGCTAATCTCTCTCCCTCTACCACAGCTTTTCCCACTTCAGGTGGCATTTTATTTTCATCATTAACTTCTGTCTCTCGTCCTTCCTTTTTTTTTCCTTTTCTGCTCCTCGCATTTTACTGGAAAAAACCCCCGATAAGCGGGAAATATCGGGAGAGGAAGCATTTATAAGAGAGAAGACTTTTTAGTGGAGTGGGTGTCTACCGGGACAGCAGAACCCTAACGACCCTTATTTATTTATTTGTTTTAATTTGAATCATTATATCACTTGTGATCGGTTGCAGTGGGGTGGTAGAGGTAGCGGTGCTTCTTCCTCACAGCGTTGTGAAGCGTTCATGGCTGCCGTTGCGTTGTACAACATTTTTTTTTTTTGCGGTTGTTGTACTTTCTTCATCCCCTGTTTCTGACAGCGGCGTCGGGAGGAAGCTGCTGAAACGAAGAAACAACGGAGAAAAGGAAACGCTGCAACGCTAAATCAAAGTCAAACGGATAAAACATATATATATATATATATATATAAGACATTATTGTTATCTCTCTTAAAGAAAAGTGTTGTCACTTTAAAAAAAAAACTCTACCTTTTCAAAAAGTATCATCAATTCCACGGATAATTCTGACCTACTATATTGCTCATCTCTCTTTCGCTCTTTCTCTCTATATATTTCTTTGAGTCTGACTTCTTGCTTTGGATGATAGTGAGGTTGAGCTTTTCACTTTATTATTATTATTATTTTTTTTATGTTTTTAATCCACTTCTTTTTTTCCCCTTTTTCTTTTGTTTTTACTTTGCCTTTTCTTCAACACTGCGGCCAACAAGCGAACATTTCTGTTGAGCGTGAGAGGCAGAAACACAAGCAAAGTACCAGTTTTCATTCTTGAGACGCATTGAGTAAATAACGGTGGGGTTATCGAAACACGAATTTTAACCGCGTAGCCAACCCGAAGTGGCCCTTGCACTCACTCAAGCAAGAAGAAAGCGGAAAGGCGAAGAGAGGGTACACTGCGAGGAAGCGCTTAGCTACGCGGAATCTGTTTTTTATTTTTTACAAGACAGTTGTGTGGGCTTGTTCTTCTTGTATCTTGCTTGACTCTTTGAGGTTCGGCTTAGTAGGTACACTGCTTTCTTGTCTTTCCCAAAATCCACTCACGTATTCTGCATTGTTACTTTTGGTTTCCTTGGGTCTACCATCACCACGACATCCGTCTTATATATACTACTCAGCTCTATTTTTTCCTTCCTCTTCTTTTCATCTCTTGTCTTTTGTTTGTTTGTTGACTTCTGTGATTCTCAGAAATCGTTATTTGTGTGCTTGCATGTACATATTTATCTTTTGTATATCTTCTTCTTGACAGGCTCTTCTTTCTCTCCCTTTTTTTTTTTGCTTTTCACTTTGTAAGTACGTTTGATTTGTGTTCAGATCCTCTTACTTTTCGTTGCAGTGAGTGAGCGTGTGCCAACGGAACTTTCTTGTGCGGTTGCTCTGCCTTCGCTCAGCAAGCTTCGTCACTTTTGCCTTCTTGTAATTCTACTTCTACAGCTCCTACGCATATTTCGCCGCGCATCGGTTTCCTCTTTGCTCCTGTTTTCTCTGCAGGTGTAAAGCGCATCGATCCCAGTATTTCTTTCCTTTTTTTTTTCTTTTCTCCTCCTCATTACTCTTGCACTCCTTTTTATTTTTAGTTTCTCTCCATACCGGGGAACTTCTGTCGAAACATCCGAGTTTCAATTCAGCAACAACAACAACAACAAAAAAGAGAGAACGTACAATCCGGAAAAAGGCAAGGCTTCCATTGTACACGGCTCCTTTTTTTCTCTTTATTTAATTTTTCTCGTCTGTGGTTCGTTGGGCAAGAGAAAGTTTTGGTTTTTGCTTTTATTTTTCATTCATTCAGTTAGAACTGAGTGTCCTCGCCCTGCGCCTGCGGGTGCGATCCTCTTGTGTTTTTTTTTCTCCCCTGCGGTTGCGTTTTGCTTACTATGTACAGCCCCGGCGATTCACGCACGGTGCATTTCTCATCTGTCCAGAATCCCATCAACGTCGCCTACGCCCACTCACCTGACACCTCGCAGACGTCGCTCTCCCCAACCCTGGAGGGGAGCTACGTGCTTCTAATGTCGCATCCCTTCTCTCCGCAGCTCCCCAACATCGCCTCCGCCTCCAACAGCACGACTGACTACGGAAACAATCGTATCCTGGCCCCCGACTCGGGACATCGCCGCGCCACCGCGGATACCTCCAGCGCCTCCGCCTCTGTCGTCCCCAGCAACGCATTTCCTGTGGGCAACTTCTCGTTGGTGAAGCCGCCGCAGCCGACCCTCTACAACCCAAATTGCATGAGCCCCGGCGCATCCTTCGCTTCGCCGTATTCCGGTCTGCCGCCGCTGTTTTCATCGCAGCCGAACAGCCCGCAGCTGATGCAGCAGCACTTCGTGGTACAGCAGCAGCAGCAGCAGCCACCGCCGCCGCCGCAGCAGCAGCAGGCGAGCAGCCCGCAGATGTTTGCACAACAGAGCAGCGGTGGGGTTCCCGCCGCAACGCAGACCGTCATGCTGCTCACCGCAGAGCCCACCGTCACCCCAAGCGGATCCTTCTACTCTCTTCAGCCTGCCTCGCCGCAGATGGCGGCTGCAGCAGCGATGCAGGGCGGCTCAACGCAGATCATCTCACCGCTGCACCTCTCTACGCCTAACCCACAGGCGGGCAGTGTGCAAGGGCAGCTTGCGTACTTCGTGAACCCCGCCGCACCGTCTGGCGTGATGTCCTTTTCCCACTTTCCGGAGGGTTTTGTGGCCATCCAAGGCCCACCGCCTTGGCAGGGCCAAACCTCCGTGGCGGTGCAGCATCCGGGCTCGTCCGCGCCTCCCTCCTCTCCGTCGTTCTTCACCGTCTCCGGTGGGGGAAGCGCGCTCACCATGCAGAGCGTCGTGCCCTCCTACGCGTCACACGCCTCTAGCACGCCACCCGTCGCCACTGCCGCCGCCGCCGCCGTCCCGCGCTACAGCCCAGGCGGCGGAGGCCACCACCACGGCGGCAACACGAGTGGGCAGCCGGCGGCGGGCGGGTCTCCTGGCGGTGCGCAGCCGGCGGCGCTCGGCGTGCGTAGCTTCATGGCACCGAAGCCTGTCGGGAGTTGCATGGTGCGCGACGCCCCTCTCATCCCGAACATTCCGCCTCTCGCGCTTCCGTGTCCAGCGTGGGGAAAGATTCCCACACTGGCCGCAGCGGGGGCAATCGGCGACTAAGCCTCCGCGGCGCCGCGGTAGAATTGGACAAGATGCAGGTGAAAGCACTCGAACAAGGGTTCTTCGAGTTCGAGCTCGCACGTCGGCAGAGGGTAAGGTTTGCGTGACGTCGCGCACGCGTGTCTCTCTCTCGCGGAGCTTCGAAGCATTCCGCGTAGTTCACAGTGCCGATGAAGCGCGACTTGAGCGACGCCTGTGCGTATGTGTGTGGGTGCGTGCACTCGCGGTGCTTGTGGTGGCCACTTGTGCTCGTTGGTGTTTTCTCCTTTGCGGTTTATTCTTTTCCTTTTTGATGGAACCAAAGAAGCAGCTTGTTTTTTCCCCTTTTTTCTTTCGCTGTTAGAAGCCTTTCTTTTCCCATTTTTTTTCCTTTTCTCATGGACCCCGAAAAAGCGGCCAGGTAACTTTTTCAGGGGCTAAGTGAATGTCGCTTCACCGGCACTGGTTGGGCTGGGGTGGCATATTCTCAAGCTCTTTTCCCTTTCTTTTTCCTTTTCTTCGTTTTACCGCAGTTTCTCCTCTTTCCCGCTCTTTTCGCTTCTCCCTCTTTAACTGTTGAAGTGGGCTTCCCACACACATAAAGAAGTGTCTTTCCGGAAAAAAAAAAAATCTAAGTCGTCGCAGCTGACAGCTTTTTTCCCCCTCTTCTTCTTCTGTTTTGTTTGTTTGTACCGCTCACGATATTTTTGGTTGCCCTTAACCAATGCTCAGTTGAAACCCTCGTTATCTAAAAAATTGACTACTCCTTCTTTCTGTGTCTCGACTTCCTTATGCTTCTTGGAGAACAGCCACCACCACAGCAAAAAAAAACCCATAATGCACGACCCCCCTTTTCCCTTCCGTGTGCGTTAACGTTCTCACAGTAGTTTTTATTGGCCCGCAAAAAAAGGGAAAAATAATAAACTGTTTCCACCAATAAAAAGTTCTTTTTTTTTGTTTTTCCCTTTCCCCTTCTCTTTTCCTTTCTTTCTCGTTTTTTGCTTTTCAGTCACTGTTCTCACCGTTTATTATTATTTATTATTATTACGTCAGTGTTTACTGGGCATCATCGCTTTCTCGCTGCAGCTGCGCTTTCACACTGCGACGGCCTCGGCAAAAAAGGGCATGATATACTTTTTTTTCTCAAGTCTCTCTCTGTCTCTCTACCTACCGTCAAATATATGTACCTTTCCGTGAAGCCGGTTGTGTTTGGTCTGCCACTTTATGTTTTTTATCGTCCTCAATTTCCATTAACAAAAAAACCTCTCTCCTTTTTTTTACTCTTTTGCATTTTCTTGTACTAACGTGTGCCATGTCAGCGCACACGGACAAATCTATATAGCTGAAAAACAAGACTGGCGTGTTGAGTCTTCAATAATTTCTTCTACTCCTTTTTTTCTTTGTGAAGACGTCTTCAGCGCTGCAAGTGAAGCAGAACAACCTTCGTCTGCGTGTGCGTCTGCGTGTGCGTGTGCGTGTGCGTGTGCGTGTGCTAGTTGTATTTGATGCGGCAACTTGATAGCCTTGAAATTGGGTGTTTCAAGCATTCTTGACCGTAATGGACCCTCCGAAATCCATTCCTTCTGTTTTTTTCTTTTTCTCATTTTCCATTATATATATATCTACAGTTACATCTACATCATCTGTTTTTTTTTTATTCTATCGTTTATTGAACTTTATTTTGATAACGCGTTGTCGTCGGCTCTCGAGGGTGGGTCGATAAAGTGAAATGCACATCATGTAGCTCGTTGCGTACTCAGGTGTTAGTCTCTGTTACGTCGTTGAAAAGGAAGAAAAATGGTGGGGAAAGTCATGAGACGCGGCGAAGGCGATGCTGATGAGACATTAGCATCCTTTTAAGAAAAAAGAAGAAAAAAGAAACCGTTGCCTCTCACGGTAACTCTTGATTGCTCTCCGCTCTGAGTGGTAGTGAGTCTCTCTCTTTCCTTTTTTTCCAGTGGGCTTCGCTTGATTCTTTTGCTCCTTCAATGCTGTGGTTTCAGACACATTCTTATGTTGTGATGAAGTGTCCGATATCTCTTTTTTTTTTCACAAGCTTTTTTAAATAGCTTACGGCCGACTCAGCTGAGCTTTGATCCACTCCCCGAAAAAAAGAGAGGAATACGTTATCGGGCGATAGCCGCACCGAGCTACCCATCGCCGGCGCAAGGAGCTTGTTCTACAGACGTCTAAATCTATTCATTTCCTCGTCACAAGGGGAGTGGTGTCTCGGCTCACTTTTTTCCCCCCTTTGGCGCTGTGCGCTTTCGACTTGGTTGTGCTCTCTCTCTCAGATCAGCGGTAACTCTTTATATTGTTTGCCGCCTGCAACTTATTTTGTGCCTTCGTCGCGACTTCGTGCCGAAGGCCCACTTTTCCTTCTTTGTGCGTCTTTTTACCTTCTCTTTTTTCTCTCTTTATTGTTTTGTTTTCTTTCATTGCTGCCGCTCGTGCTTCTGTTTGAGTTACGTACGAACAACCGGTAATGTTGTGCTAGTTATCATCAGTCGCTTCTCCACTTTTGAGGAGTGGAAAAGGCTTTAAATATATATATATATATATGTTTTTTTTTCCCTCTATGCTTGTTCTCTTATTCTAAACGTACTCTAGAGATGAAGTTTGGTGCTTCAATGAACAGAGTAATCCCCTTTTTATTTTTATCTGTGTGGATTCCATTATGCCTGTGCGAGTGAGTGAGAAGTACTTGACAGCAGCAGGTATAAATTGCGAGCCTTCGCTTTACGATTCCAGTGGCGCGCCGCCCTTCTTCTTTGACGGTTCGGAGCTTATATTTTCTGCCTTTTGCCTTTCTGTTGACGTGGACCCTCTACATCAAATTCTCTCTTTTTTTTTTTCTGCTTTGAAAACAAAAGTTTTTTTCTTCTCTGTGTGGAGACGACTACGATTTGCGCGTTCTTCCTCTACTGCTTCAGCATCATACGCCCCTTTTTTTGCCCCCTTCTTTCTTCTGTTTTTTTTTTTCTTATGGTTATTCGTGCGATACGCTTTTTATTTATTTATTTGTTTGTTTTCATAAGCAGGCAACATTTCGCCGTTTCTTTTCGTTTGTGTTTTTGCTTCTCCTTCTCACCCCTCACCTTTTCCCTCTCTTCCGTTACCACTCCCTTTTTGTTTCTACTCCTCCTCCTCCTGCCCTCCAAAAAACGGAGGCTCTAGCGTTTATTGAAAGGAGAGTACGATGGTTACTTTTACGTGTACACCCCAACCCACTTGCAACTTTTCTTTTAGACAATTACCTCGACTCGTAACGACTTGGTAAGTGCATCGTTATTACTTTACTTTATTATCTATTTGTGTATTGCGAGACTTCAGCACCTGTCACACAAAAGAAGCTGAGAGAGAAGCCACTGCGGCTCTTTTGCACATAGACTCAAGTACGCAAGGGTAATTAGAATGGTCCATCTTTTTTTTTTTTAGTTTGTTATTATTGTAGATCCCTTTCTCACCTCTCGTTCAGTTTCACAGTGTTCCAGAATTTTGTTTTTCTCATTGTCTCTCTTTTTTTTTTTTTGGTTGTCGGTACGTCTTTTTCTTTCTTGAAAAGGTCGTTTGTCAAATGTCTGTGGGTATTCTCCTGTGCGTGTGTGTGTGTGTGTCTGCGGAAGTAATGGTGCTTTAAATGGCACCGCTGCTCGTTTTTTCTTTTCATCCTGTTCTTAAAAAAAAAACCCGATTAATAATTATTGCGCAGGATTTCTGTTTCTTAACATCTATATACATTTCTTTTCCACATCGTCGCAGAGACGCTGGAGCGGCGCGTCTTTTATTGACCCAACACCGTCAAATATTCTGCTTCCCCTTAGGATTGAGGAAGCATATTCATGTACAGGTGAGTTGAGAAACTCTTTCCTTTCTTTCTTTACCTAAAAGTCTTTTTCTATACTTTTTTTTAGACTTAGGTTCAAAACCTTTTTCTTTTTCCGTTGGCGTCCGAGGCCGGTCTGCCCTGCATTGCCCACCACTTCAACGCTGTGATAAACGTTCTTTCCAGTGCGATAGTGCGAGGAAACACCTCCATATATATATCTCCAGTTAACTTCGCGTTTTTTTTTTTTAGTAGAATTGTAGCTCTTGTTAGGTGAGCTACCTTGTGCCGAACGAGATAGTATTGCAAGGATGGACAGCGTTTCACGGGCAACAAACTGTCGGATCTCTCGAAGGTCTCTCTCTCTGGTGAGCCAGACTTGCACCGTTATACACGTCATCCTTCTTCCTTTTTATACTCTCTGCCTTTCCTTTTCTCTTTCTCTGTACCTTTAGTAGGTGCGTGCATGTGCACGTGCTCCGCTCTTGTTTTTTTTTTCTTCTTCAATGTACTACGTGTTCTTTGTTTATTTGTGCCTGTTATGTATCTATCTCTCCTATATTCCCCTTGTGTACTAGGTTTCCTATTTTTCTATTTCTTTTTCTTGTTTCTCTCCTTCTTCTCTGGTCACTTCTTATCAGCCGATTGAGGTGTTACAAACACATAGTGCTCATATATATTTTTTCTCTCTGATCTTCTTTTGCGTGTCTAGTTCCTATCTTGTTCTGTGTTTAATCACTCCCATTTTGTGTGGTTTTCTTTTTGATGCTTCTTAACTTCACCTCTTTAGAAACGAAAAACACCTTGCAGTTTTTCCCCTCGTGTTTTTGCACGCGTTTGTGCATGGACTCTGTCGCCTGTGCGGCTTTTTTTTTTTTGGTAGCCGTCTCTCTGTAATTGCTTTCGCTCCCCTTGTTCCGACTCTCTTGCACTCATGCAAGCACTTGTGCCTTTCTGTTGTATGTTGTTTAACACTGGAGGACTTCTTTGTTTCTTTCCTAACTCTTAGAGTGCATTCATTTTTTTTTTTCCCTCTTGTCTGTTTACGTGGAAGAAATCAAAACACCCATGAGTAATTCACTTTAGCGCCGGCGTTGCTCTGTGAGAGGGTTAAAGGAAAAAAAGAGAAAAGAATAACCCGCTTCCGTCGCACGCTTTTCGATTTAACTTGTCTCGCTCGGCATATTTTTGACAGTCTCGTAACTTCAATTATTTTTTTTTTTGTTTTCTTCACCTATCGAGTGCAGCGTCGCGAGCTGGGATAAATGGCAAACTCTCCATTGCTGTTTTCTTTTCCTTTTTTTCCCTCTTTCTTTGTTAGTGCTCCCCCTTTCGCTGTTTGCGCGGTAAGGTGTGAAGGAGAAGGGAAGAAGCCTTGGCCGTCGCATGCGCGCGCTGTGTTATACCGATTTCGATTTTCCGCTTGTTAAAATCCTTTTCCCTCCTTGCGAGTCTTGTGTGTTGGCGTCGGTGAACGCCCTCGTTATTTGTACGGTTGGGTCTTTTTTTTTTTCGATGTTTTTGCTGTTTTTAAAAGTTACACACCCACATGATCCTCCCCACGTTTGCGCTTGACGAGGGCAACAAAAGCCACTTTCTTTTTCTCATGGTTGTTACTATTCTACTCCCTTGAAAGACCGTCTATTACTCTCTTGCATCTCTCTATGTATAAATGAAATTATACGTACACATCGCGCCGGCTTTTTTTTTAAAATTTGCTCCATCACCCACACCCACACACACCTACAAAAAATAGCTTTATTTGTATTCGAAGGTGGTGCAGTCGATTCGCACCAACGCTGTTTCATCACCTTCTTTATTTTTTTTTCCACAGCGACACACACTTTGTTCTGGCATTGATGTCCATTGCCTCAGAAGGTTGAGAGAATTCCAATGAAGCGAACAAAGAAACTTAAAATTGAAATGAAATCGGACTCATTCCAACATGGACCCCATTACCTCAGTGCATTTGCGGTCGCAGGCATCCTTGTTTACTCCTCGCCCCTTCGCATTCGATGCTGCGAAGAAAAAGCAAGAGACGTGACGGGCGTTTTGTTGCTGCTCCTTCTGTAATGTGTGGTACTAATCCGTGTTTTTTTTTTACTGCCACGCCAGAACCTCGAGAAGGTGGTCCATCACGAAAGGAAGTAGGTGCTGAAAAGGATCACCTGATGTGCAGACGGGGGGCGAGTGGCCGTGCTCTTCTCCCACCAAGACCCACAGCAACCTCACGAGAGAGAGAGAAAACAAAAGGCGTTCTTCTTCTGTCCTTCTCCTTTTGGTCCCAACTTATTTCTCCCTTTGCTCTTCATCGCGGCCTTCTTGTTCGCTTGGGTTCATGACACCCTTCGCGTTGTGAAGGAAAAGAATCCTTCTTTTTTCCCCCTTTCTAGCAGCCGTTATCGGCCAACGTAGCGCGTCCCGACGAAGCGTTCCGCTACGACGATACTTCACCTTTTTTTTTTCTACTCCTGTTGCAGCAGCCAGTTGGAAGCGCACAAGGCAGTTCTCTTCGATAGACAAATACACCCACGCACCGTGACTGAAGTACGCGCCACCACTACGACACCAACGAATAAGATTAGGCGAAAAAAACATCAGCGAAGAAAGAAGAATGGGTCTTCTATGCCTGGCGGCGGTTGTTGCCGTCTACAACGGCTTTCTTTATCTCATGCGCCTGCGTGTGTTGCCCGTGATTGTGATGCGTGCCTGGTACACCCTCCACCTAGTGCTGTGTGTCATCATGAGCTGGTTCGCGGGAACGGTGCTCATGTTTGCAGAGAAGAAGTTGCACCTCCTCAGCAAGTCCACATCCCAGTCGCTGGAGCGCTGCGTGTGTGCGGCGACCTTCGGCAGCTGGCTGCGCTATAACAGTCCCCACATCCACGTGCGTTGGATGCCCGGATCCCTGCCGTGGTCCTCCATCACGAAGCAGCACGACTTGTGTCTTTGCCACACTAGCTTCTTCGACACCATGTTGTACCTCTGGTACGTGCCGTACAGCTACATCTACAGGGCCAAGACGTTTGCCAAGGCGAGTCTGCGCAAGCTGCCGCTCTTCGGCACCGTCATGGTGGGCTGCGGCCACTTCCCGGTGTACTTCAACTCCGAGGAGGCCAACGCCTTTTCGGTTGACAAGGCGAAGCAGGCGGCGGTGGCGGCGGAGGTGGAGGAGTGGCTGGGCGAGGGCGGGTCGCTCTCCTTCTTTCCGGAGGGGGCGCTGAACCGCACGCCGGAGGTGCTGAAGGACTTCCGCCTCGGCAGCTTCAACAGCATCATGAGCCACAAGCTGCCGGTGTACTACTGCGTGACCTACGGCAATCACGAGGTGTGGAATGCGTCCCTCCAGGGCATCCCCGGCTACCCAGCGGACGTGTACGTGTACATGGGCAAGTACGAGTATGACCCGGCGAAGGAGGACGCTGTTTCCCTCGCCACCGGACTGCGGCAGGAAATGCAGAAGCACCTGAACGACATGCTCGCGCTGCGTGAGCGTAACGGGTACAAGCCATGGTGGAAGGCGGGCAAGGCGGAGTAAACGCGCGCCTACTTGCTTGCTCGTGCGGTGAGCGTCTGTGCGTGTGGGTAGCCGTGCTTGTGTCTCTACTATAATAGCTTGAGACTTCTTTACCAACTTATCGACATCTTAACAGTCGAGCGCGGACGCATCATCATTATTATTATTATTATTCGCAGAGGGGAGAGGGGGAGCAGAAAGAGAGATACGTGCTCTGCGGTGTCCACGCCCTCGCGTACTCAAGTCTTCATCTCTAGCGACATGCAATCTGTGCTTTCGATTCCTTTTCGTTTTTTGTTTTGATATATCCCGGATGGCATAGCGCCGTCTTTCTCCCCGTCATCCAGCAGCGTTTCGAACAGAAAGAAGAGAGACGGGTTGTGGTAGTGTAACGTAAAATAATCGAATAAACGACGTCCCACAAACGCGCGGTCTCCTGTGGGTTCACTTGGTGGTTTATTACTAGTATTGTTATTATATATAGAGTTCCTGGTTTCATTGAGCCTTCGTCGCATCGAAGAGCGACAGAAAAGTGCGTGCGGAAATGATATTGAAAACAAGAAAACATCTCCTACTTCTTCCTCAGCACGCCGTGCAACTGCAGTGCGCCGCCTCGACCGGGCGACTTATGGAGCGACAGCGCAACAACAACAGCAAAAGAGCGACCCTTCTTTTCGAAGGAAATCCCTAAACGAGGCACTCGCGAATACGCGTGGAAGTGACTCATCCAACCCACATGCGCACTGAGCAGCAAAGGGGAAAAGAAGGGAGAAGAGAAAAGGTGGATTTTGAGACTCTGAAGTGATCTCGCGTTGTGCCGGCCTTTGTTTTCTTCCCTTTTCTTGGCAGTGACTGTATATAGGCGTGCTAGTACAGTGCTGCATTTCGTTTTACCGTTTTCATTTGATGCAGCATTCTTCACTTTGCGGTTGTGCTTTGCTGCTCGAACGAAGTCCGAGCCTGTGGCTGAGTAAAAGAGAAGGATTCCCGGAGTAGATTACGCGTTGCTGGAAACTAATAAACAACGCGGTGGGTGAGGTTAGTCTATATGACCCCCCTCCCTCTCTCTCTCTCTCTGTGTGTGTGTGAAAGATGTCTCAAGAAAGCTCCCTTTCCTCATCAGCCTTTCCTTCTTCTGCTCTCCTTTTCTCTTTGCCTTGCTTTCTTGAACACTTTAATGGGTACCGATGCCGGATGTCCAAACGACATCATCGCACGTTGGATGAGATGTCACGCAACGTGTCTTTCTTTTCACTTCACCGTTTTTTGTTGTTGGGCGGTATTTCACTTGGCACTTTCCAACAGTTCCCCCCAGCGCCCGTAGCATACGCACAGACGAAAATAACAGATAAACGGAAGATGCTCTGCTGTCTCTCCGTTGTCGGGGCCCTTTACGGAGCGATGTACCTACTGCTGCGCGAGCGCAAGCTCCCCACCGTGGTGATGCGGGTCTGGTTCACCGTCCACCTCTTTGTGTCGCTCATCGTTGTGAACGTCGGGTGCCATGTCTTCTCCTTCCTCACCTCCCCCCTCCACGTGATGCCCATCGGCACGGCCCAGGCGCTCTCTCGCTCCCTAAAGCACGTCGTGTTTAAGTACTTCTTCGCCCCTGCTATCCCGCACGTGCACCGCGTGGAGATGCCCGGCTCGTTGCCGTTCAGTGTGCTGAAGAGCGGGGCGGTCTGCGCCTGCCACTGCAGCTTCTTTGATCCGCTCCTCTTCTTGTTTACCGCACCGCTTTCTTTCCTCTGGCGCGGCGCCACCTTCTTTAAGAGCTCCTTGCTGAACCTGCCGCTATTCGGCTACGTGCTGAAGTGCACCGGGTACTTCCCGGTGTACTTCGCAAACGAGAACAGCCCCTCCTTCCACGTGAACAAGGAGAAGCAGGCGGCGGTGGTGGCCGATGTGGAGGCGTGGCTTGGTAAGGGAAACAACATGTGCTTCTTTCCGGAAGGGGTGATGAACCGCGACCCCGCGGTGCTGACCGACTTTCGGCTGGGCAGCTTCAACATGATTCTCGCGCACAAGACGCCGCTCTACTACTTTGTCTTTTACGGCGATCACGAGGTGTGGTCGCCCTCGTGGAAAGGACTTCCCGGCTTTCCGGCGGACATCTACACCTACGTTGGCAAGTACGAGTACGACCCGGCGAAGGAGGACGCACACTCGTTGTCCGTCGGCCTGCGTGCGGAGATGCAAAGTCGCCTCGACGACATGCTGGCGAAGCGGAAAGAGCGCGAATACAAGCCGTGGTACGTTGCCCCGCAGAAAAAGGAGTTGTAGAAACGAAGCTGGGGGGAGGAAAGTCTGTTTCTTCATCTAGCATTGGACGTAACTGCTGCGCGCCTGGTTGGGTAATGCAACTCTCATCACCTGGCTGCGCTGGTTTGAAACGTGCAACGTTTATCTTCTTGTCGCGAGAAGCCTTCTTCCTCTTTCCTTTTCACATCAACTTCGTCCGCTCTCTTCCTTTCACAAGATGAAAGGTTGCAGAGTTTTTCCTTGTTTCATACGTAATTCTCTTGACATCTTTTTTCTTATTTTTTTTGCTTTCCTTGTTAAGCATTCCTCAGTTTTGGCGCTCGGCTGACGACGCTATCTTTGCCCTCTTGGTTCGCTGCCGTGCGCAGCTGCGAAGAGCACTCTCCTGTGCATATATATAACAGTAGTACAGCGGAGACTATGTCAACGTGTAGCATCAAGTCTGCACTTCAGCTACTGCGCTTCAACATTCATGCGCACGAGAACCACATTCCTTTTTTTTTCTTCTCCGTTGTTGTTTTTACTTGTTCAAAATCGGTTCACACACATCTCGCACGTCTGCGCAGCGGTGCGACTCTCTGCGCTGGGGATTGTGACCGGGTTTCGGCTCTTTTTTTGTGTTGTTCTGTTCTTCAACTTTATGAACCACGTTTGCCAAGTACGTTCGTTGAAACGCCCGCAGTGTTGTAGCTACCGTCGCTCTGTTCTTTCTTTTATCGTCGCAAGTAAGACGAATAACACTTCGCCGTTGATAAGCCCACCCATCTGTAATGACACCTCCTTTTTTTTTCCTCTGGAGATTCTTTGTTGATACGACAGCTTTACTTTCTTTGCCAGTATGTGTGACTTCGTGCGCAGATGAAGATGCACCGTGGTCGCTACGCCTCAACGCTGTGGCTCATCAATTGTCGACAGCTCTCTTCCCCCACCCCCTTCTCTTCTTCCGCCGCTTCATTGTTGACCGCTCTCCTTTTTCGTCTCTTTTCATTCTCGCACATACACGCATACGCACACAGCAAAGTACGCGATGTTCTTTGAAGACAACCTCAATGACACGCTCGAGGACGAATCCCTCCTCCACGACGGCGACGGCCCGGTGCAGCCGCTGTCCCAAGCCAGCGACGGTGGCGCCTCCTCCGGTGCCCCCTCGCTGGGCCGCAGCGGCACCTCCTTACCCTTCGACGGCAGCTTCTTGAGCGGCGTCGCGGCCACGCCGATCGGCAATGGGTCGGGCGTCCCCAACACCGCCGCCGCCGCCATCCAGCTGCTCATGGAGGCGACGTCCAACGAGCGCTTCAGCCCTGAAGTTCTCCCCTACCCCGCGTCCACCGTGAACGCCGTGACGGGGCTTCTGCGCACGATGCAGCAGCGCGTGGCCCGCCGCGTCGAGGAGGAGAAGCGGACCCAGGCGCGCTCCCTTCTGCCGTTTCGCCCCTCGGACATTATGCACCTGGAGCTGCAGCGCATTCAGTTTTTCCTGTGCGAGCTGCTGCGGTGCCGTCTGCGGAAGATCAACCAGCTTTGCTTGTCTCTGTGGTATGAGGGACAGGCTGCGCAGCAGCGGCAGCGGCGCTCCGCGACGGCCGCGGCGGAGGATGAAGAGGGGACGGCGGCTGCGGCTGCGTCTTCGTCGCTGCTGCCGGAGGTGTCCGTGCCGCAACGCCGTAACTTGTCGCCGCGTGAGGTCTTCGTGGCGGATCGCCTTGCGGAGACGGTGCACAGGGCTGTGCTGGAGTCCGGGCTGCAGTCTGCCCCGGCGCCGCTGCAGCACCTCGTGCCCCACCCGCCGGACGCGGAAGGGCTGGAGGTGTTGTCGGAGCCCAACTTGGGCGCCTACGTCTTCGGCGTCGCGTTGGAAGACCTGGGTGTCGTGAACCTTGGCGAGGGCGTGCAGGACGCGTCGCGTGCGATTAATGCGGGAGAGCTCTTCTTGACGCCCTATCACAACTTCCGCCCTTTTGTGATGTCAGGGCAGGTTCGGTTGGTGTAAAAGAGAAAGAGTGCTAGCCACTAGACGGAGGGTGGAGTGAAACGCTGCAGCCTACTGAAGAGTGCGACTGCACCTTCTCGATCTGCCCCTTCTCATGAAGGCCGCGGTTCACTGTTCCTCTACTTCATAGAATACGTGCATCCATAGATCAACAGTGCCAAGACCTAAAAAGAAAAGAGAACAATAGAACGAGTTACGTGATAGTGAAGCGTTCTTAAAACACGAAGATGTTTGCTTTCGAGTCTGTAAAAAACAAAAATGAGGAGCCGATGGCAAACCTGTGGTGTTGCTTCGCTGCAGTCCAACTCTGACAAGTATCTTGACCATTTCTGCGTGCGTGCGTGGGTCTATCATCGACGGGGTAACACAGCGGAAGCAGTCAATTCAACCTGTTTTTTTCTCCCCCCCTCTTCTCGCCTCTACTCCGCTGATGATCTCGGATACGTGCTCCCCTTCGGGAGTAAACGTGCGATTGTTATTATCGCTATTGGCATGCGTGTTCCCTCTGCTTTCAGAAACGTGGAGTGTGGCCTACGGAGGCACACATTACCATTGCGCTCTCTTGTTATCGTCGACGTACGCCCAGCGTTACGCTTGGAGGCGATTTTTTTTCCGGGTGTCGTCTTAACGGACGTTTGTTACTCCTAGTTTTTTTTTTCGCACTCTCCGCACTCTCCGCAGCTCGACGAACGGTTGCCGGCTTCTTCTTTTCTTTTCTTTTTTTTCCCTCTCTGTTAGCCTGAAGGCGCCGCCGTCATGTCGAACAAAGCGGAGCTGGCTGCCCTGATGGCATCCGACGGCGACTATGAAAAGAAGATCTCTCTCCTAAAGAAGGCCGTCGTGGCCGTGACGAAGCAGAAGCAGGAGATCGAGACCCGTCAGACGCAGCTGCAGGAGGAGCTTCGCACCGCCACGCAGCACCTCACGGAGGCGCAGCGCGAGAACGCGGCGCTGCAGCGCAAAGTGAAGACGCTGGAGGCGCAGGTGGAGCAGCAGCGGAGCAGCGGCTCCGCCTTCGGACAAAACATGTTGAAAGGTCTGTCGTCTATCATGGGAAGCAACGACGCAGGTGGTCGTGCAGGTGGCCGCGGAGGACGCGGTAGTGATACTCGGGCGCAGCTCGCCCTGTCCGCTGAAGATGTGGAGCGCTTAGTGACGGAGAACGAGCAGCTGCATCGAGAAAAGTACACCTACCAAACAAAGTTTGAGGACGCCCAACGCACCGGCACGAAGGACGCGGAGAACCTGCGGAACGACGTGGCGCGGCTGCAGCGGGAGCTGGGGGAGCTGCACGGCACCCTCGACACCGTCACCGGTCAGTGCGATCGACTCAACGCGGACTACTTGGTTGAGCGAGCGTTGGGTGACTTCTGCCGCCACTTCTTCGTCGCCGCCCTCCGTCGCAGCACGGCGTCGTTAACTTCGCTGGGTGGAGCAGAAGTCGTGGCGGAGTTGCAGTGGCCTGCTGCACCGCGCACACAGCCGCAGCCGGCGCCTTCGCCTCTCTCTTCTTCCCGCAACGATCTTCCAGCGGAGTCGCCGCCGTCGCCGAGCAGTCCGGCGCTGTTGAGCGGTGCAATGCCGGCTGAGGCACTGGAGCAGGTGGTGCGTGCGCTGCAGAGTTCGTGTGGCACCGTTAAGACCCTCCTCCGTGCCATCTCCGTTCTTATTGTGGTGCTGCGCGAGCAGCTGCCGCGGCGGGAGCGCGCCACCGTCGGCGACTTGGAGTGCCTGCGGGACCGCCTTTGCGTCTTTCTCGACGCCCATACGATCAAGAAAGACCGCCTAATGTACTTTCTGGAGCAGCTCGACACGCACCTCGCCAGCTTGTTGATACCCATCGACGCGGTGGCGAAGGACGGCGCCGCGCCAACGGCGGAGACGCTCGCCGCGGCGCAAGACGAGGTGTTGCAGCTCTTCCTGGAGTGGCTGGGCCTCCTCCGCGCGCAGACGCCGCTGCTGGTGGAGAGTTGTGTGTCTTACCTCTCTCCGGGCCACACCTACACCCTCCACGCACGCAGGGGTGCTACTAGCGGACATTCAGAGGAGGATGTCGCACGGCCGGCACTGACGAGCCCGTCACGCACCACAACGGATCGGGCGGAGTTTGTGGAGGAGGTGACGAAGTACGGCTACGCGACGCTGGCGTCCGTCGAGGGCGCCCTCACGGCTGCACGGATGCTCCTCCAGCGCTCGCCCACCGCCTACGGCAGCTCTCCCCGTGCGGTAAACGCGGAGGGAGACGTGCCCCGAAACGGCCGGGTGCTCGGCGACGAGGTGGACGCAGTGGGGGACACGGACCAGCTGAACACCCCCCCACGTGGTGCCGCATCCTCCGTAGTGGAGGTGGGCGCGTTGCTGGCGCTGCAGCGATTCTGGTGGGAAGGCTGCACCTCTGCGCGTGCGCTGCACACGTCCGCCCGCGTGCTTGATGGCGGTGTGCAGGACTTGGCGGAGGCTTGCAACAAGAGCGAGGTGCGGGATGCCCTGCTGTACCTCAGCCGGTGCCTGCGCAGCCTCGCTACGGCGTCCGCGGACATTGAGTTGAGGGAGAAGGATACCGAGGCCGTTATGGAGGCGGTGCGGCCCGCCAAGTGTTTTTGCAGTGGCGGTTGTGGTGAAGGTGGTGTGTCCGGCGACGCCTCAACGAAACTGCCGTCTGCCGCGTCTTCCCGAGCAGCAACAGCAGCAGTGGTAGCAGCGAATGGACACGGGCGTGACGGCCGTATCTCTCTCCTCCCTGCCTCCGCGGAGGCCTACGAGGAGGTCCTGGTGGCTCTCGCCGCCGCCGATCGTGCCGCGGTGGCCTACTACACGCAAATGAACTACCTATACAGGGAGTTGGCGGACAAGGAGGATGCGGTGCAGACCGCCGCGGAGGCGGTCCGGCAGATGAAAAAGCTGCTGGAGATGGAGCGGACGGAGTCGGAGCACACGCAGCAGACGATGCAGGCCCAAATCAGCGTATTATCGAACCAACTTATTGAGATGGCCGATGCCGCCCAGGCGCCACAGCTGCCGCGACCGCACTGACGGGCACCGGGAGGAAGCAGTGAAGAACGTCTTCTCACCTTTGTTCTGACGAGAGGGAGGGTGAGCGGCATCCCCCGTTTCTTTCCCCTTCTGCTCTTTTGACTTTTTTTTGACTTCTGTGCTCCTCAAACAGGCTCGTTGCGACTCTCGGCTTCCTGATGGAGGCGACGATTTTCTCAGCATCTTTCTGCCGTCTGGGTTTCTGCCGCTTCCGCACACTATCTGTTTTGGCGTTTCTCCGGTCCATGTGCTGCTCTTATTATCATGGCTTACCACGCCTGCATTTTCTTTCTCTGCGGACACACCACACACTCTGCCCTGCGCGAGGCATTTGTGCGTCTTTTATCCGGACAGATCATCTTTGCGGAATCAATCCACCCAAAGGAACGAAGAGAAGAAGAAGAAAGAAACTGCTCTCTATTTTTTTCCCCGTCATGGCGGAGCGTTGATGTTATGAGCGCGCTTGTTGTGAACGCTCGTCCTTGTGCTGTTCGCATCATCACTATTATTTTGAAAATTTGCACCTCTTGGCTTCTATGGATCTTCTTATATAATACATCGCCCTTTGTGTTGAACTCACCGTCCGCCCCATCGCGTTACTGCACGACAGTTCTCCCTCCCCCTCCGTTTCGATCGCACTGGCCGTGCAAAAGGACGACCCCACACCACTGCACCCAAGCACAAAAAATAATTACAACAGACACGCAAACACCGATGTCAGCTGCGGAGGAACACAAGATTGTCCCGGTCATCGCGCTCCACGCCGGTGCCGGCACCATCCGCCGCGACACGATGACCCCGGAGCAGGAGACGGCGTACCGGGCTGGGCTGCGGGACGCGTTGGAAGCCGGCCGCACCGTCCTCCTCGCCGGCGGCAACGCGATGGACGCCGTGACGGCCGCTGTTGTGTCGATGGAGGACAACCCGCTCTTCAACGCCGGCCGCGGCTCCGTCTTCACGAGCGACCGCACGCACGAGATGGACGCGGCCGTCATGTCGGGTGTGGACCGGGCATGCGGTGCCATCACCGGCATCTGTGGCCCGCGCAACCCGGTGCTGGCCGCCCGGGCGGTGATGGAGAAGTCGGAGCACGTCTTTCTGGCCGGCGACGGTGCCCGCCGCTTCACCGAGACGAGTGCGCTGACGATGATGCCGCCGACGTACTTCGATACCGAGTCGCGGCTGAAGGCGCTAGAGGCGGAGTTGGCCCACCGCGCCTCGGGGGCCTCCGACGACCACGATGAGGCCCGCAAACACGGCACCGTCGGGGCGGCCGCGCTCGACGTGCATGGTAACGTAGCCGCTGCGACGTCCACCGGTGGCATGACGGCCAAGATGCCAGGGCGTGTGGGGGACAGCCCGGTGATTGGCGCCGGCACCTGGGCGGACAACCGTACCTGCGCCATCTCCGCCACGGGCCATGGCGAGTATTTTATTCGCTTTGCCGTGGGCCACGAGGTGGATGCGCGGATGCGCCTGTGTCACGAGTCGCTCGCCAAGGCCTGCGCGGACGTGATCAAGGAGGTGGGAGAGATGGGCGGCAGCGGGGGCCTCGTCGCCGTCGACGCGCACGGCAACGTGGCGCTTCCACTGAACTGCTCCGGCATGTACCGTGCGTGGATGGGCCGTGATGGCGTGGTGCACACCGCCATCTTCCACGACGATGATGAGTAGTAAACGTATAAACCGTTGCCTTTCATTTCTTGATCTGATTGCAAAGAGTGAGAGAGAGTGAGGGAACACCTGGCGTGCCTTCTTTTTGTTGTTGTTGTTGTTCGTTTTCATGCTTGTGAAGTACCCTTGGGTTGATGAAAGTTAAAAGAAGGAAGTAATGCGGTACCACACGCACATCACCCGTCATGACGGCGCGCGTAGAATTGGGCAACTTCTGTGTCCCGCGGTCCTACGGGTTCAAAACGACTTGTCCTTCCCCCTTTTTTTATCGTTATGTATCAATTTGGTAATCGTTACCGTTTCGCGCTTCAAGCTCCATTGATGCGCAAACAGTCACCATCGTTAAAGCAGGAAAGAACGTCCTCTGGAGTGACACGTGTCGAGCAGCGTCACTGCTGCTTCAATCAGTGGAAGGACGTGACACCTCTTCTACCAGAGCTCTTGTAAAGGCTCATGTGCTGGTGGTCTTGATGGAGGTTTGAAGTCGGCAAGCGCGGAGAGCAGCAGAGGGAGTTGACGCAGCGATGACGCATCTGCGGGTACTCCTCCCTTGCATCTCTGCACAACGTGGTTGGTAGGCCTTCGATGAAGCAGATCGCTTTGAACAGCGTAACTTTTTCCTTGTTTTCTACTTTTCTTTTTATCTCGCTCTTTTTCTTTTTCTCCCTACGAATTGCGCTTCTCCTCTCCCGTCGACGTTTTTCTGTCGACGCTGTTGGTGGAATATATATATCCCCACACCAACCCGAAACCCGCCAGATGAAAAGCTCACGATTTATCGCATTACTGCCATCCCCCCCTCTCTCTCTCCTGGTTTGTGTGTCCGTACGTTCTCTCGCGTCCACCACAGAAACGTATTATTGCCTTTGTTCTTGTTCTTTGTCTTCCGCAACGGCCTCAGTACGCCAAAACATCCCGAACACGCCAAACAACCACCACAACCGCAACCTAAACATACAAATAACCCCCTGATATCGAAATGTCCGCACCGGCGAGCGTCAAGCTGCAAAACCCGTACGTGCCCATCGCGTACAACCTCAGCATCAAGGTGGACCTCTCCACCTGGAGTTACGAGGCGGAGGAGGCGGTGCACCTCGAGCGCTGCCCCGCCTACCCCGATGGCGACACCATCCAGCTGCACGCCGCCCCTACGATGGAGGTGACATCCATCAAAGGCGCTACCCTCGTGCGTCGTGATGCGACGGCCCACACACTCGTGCTGAGGCTGGACGCAGAGACGATCAGCGCGAGTGACCCCACGTTGCACTTCCACTTCAAGCACGTGGTGAACAGGGAGCTGCGCGGCTTCTACCAGGTGCGCTTCCAGCACGGGGGGAAGGAGCACCGCATGGCGTCGACCCACTTCGAGCCCGTCTCGGCCCGTCTCTTCTTTATCTGCCACGACGAGCCGGCCCAGCGGGCGGACTTCACGCTGAGCGTGGCGCTGCCCAAGTCGGAGGAGCACTACACGGTGCTCTCCAACGGGCCGCTTGTGTCGAAGGAAGTGAAGGGCGAGAGCGTCGTGCACACCTTCCAGATGGTACCCAAGTGCCCCTCCTACCTCACCGCCTGCGTGGTGGGCGAGCTGGAGCACATCAGCACGACGGTGAACAACATCCCCATCAGTGTGTACACGACGCTCGGCAAGGTGGACCGCGCGCAGTTCGCGCTTGACAGCGTCGAGTTCGCGTTAAAGTTCTTTGAGAACTTCTTCCAGTGCAAGTACCCGTTGCCGAAGCTGGACCTTGTGGCGGTGCCGGACTTCCCGATTGGCGGGATGGAGAACTGGGGCTGCATCACCTGTGTGGAGTCGGTGCTGATCGACCAGAAGAAATCCAGCGTCGACGCGAAGCGCAGCGGGTCGATGCTGATCTGCCACGAAGTCTCGCACAACTGGTTCGGCAACCTCGTCGCCATTAACTGGTGGGAAGGACTGTGGCTGAAGGAGGGCTTTGCGTCGTGGTGCGGCGACTACTCGACGGCGATGCGGGAGCCGAAGTGGCACGCGCTCGAGGTCGCCGCCCTGTCTGTCGGCAACGCGCTGAACGACGACATGTACGAGCACAGCCACCCCGTTGAAGTGCCGATCCTTGACCCGGCCGACATCACCCAAATCTTCGACAGCATCAGCTACAACAAGGGCATGGGCCTCGTGTTTATGCTGCAGGCCTTCCTGGGCGACAAGTGGGGCCCGGCGGTGGCGCACTACATCAACAAGTACCAGTACAAGGACACCAAGACGGTGCAACTGTGGGAGGCACTAGAGGAGTCCTCGCAACTGCCCATCACCGAGGCCCTCACGAGCTTCACGACGCAGATGGGCTACCCGATGCTGCACGTCTCCCGCAAAGACGAGGGCCACATTACGGTGTCGCAGGAGCCCTGTCGGTTTGTCACGGCGGCGCAGAAGTGCCAGCAGACGTGGTGCGTCCCGTACGTGGTCGAGGGCCTCGACGACGCAGCCGGTCGCGTGACGCCGATGCTGCGCGGCCACACGGGCGTGGCGGTGGCCCTGCCCGCGGAGGTGGCGAAGTCCGACTTTGTGAACGCCAATCCCCGGCGCACCGGCTTTTACCGTTGCCACTACGATTACCCCATCTTCGAGGCGTGGATCGCCAATTACACGAAGCTTTCGCCTGCGGATCGCCGCGCGCTCTTCTCCGACACCGCTGCGGCAATCCGCATGGGCTACGACGACATCCGCCGCCTTGCCCGGATCGCCGAAGTGGTGCAGGCGCACGAGACGGACATCTACGTCCTGCGGGAGTTCATCTCCACGTTGCAGGTGTTCCTGAGGGCCTTCGACGACGTCGCCCTGCGCAAGACGCTGCGGAAGGAAATCCTCGCCTTTCTGGTTCCCGTCGCGGAGTCGCTGATTGCGGTGAAGCCGGAGAACGATACCGAGGAGCTGCGCCGCAACTTCTACCTGGACGCCGCCGTGTCCGCCCTCCTGGGCAACTGGACTGCGGAGGAGGCCGCCGCCCACCCCCTCATTCAGTGGGCGCTGCAGCAGGCGACGAGCTTTCTCGGCGGGGGCGAGTTCAGCGCCGCCACCCTCAACTGTTGCCTGCGCGCCTACCTGCAGCTCGCGAGCGCGGAGGAGCTGCCGGGCCGCAATGCCCAGCTCTACGCGAAGCTGCTGGAGGTCGACGGCAGCGACGAGCTGTGCCGTGCGTTGATCACCGCCATGGCCAGCAGCCCTGCGCCGGACTTCGCCATCGACATCATGAAGAAGTGCATTGAGAACAGCGGCGTGCGCAGCCAGTACGGCGTGCAGGTCTTTCTTGGTCTTCAGGCGAACACCGCCTTCAAGGGGACGGAGGTGTGGGACGCGTTCCGGGCGAGCTTTAAGGGCGTTGACGCGCAGTGGGGCGGCGGTCAGTTCCGCATTCAGGCAATCGTGTACTTTGTGGGCGACACGCTGGCTGGCGATGCGGCGGCCACGGAGTTCGAGACGTTCTTCAAGACGCACCCGCTGCCGAACGCACGCCTCGCCATCGGGCGTGCCGTGGAGGACCTGCGCCTTCGCGCATGGATGAACAACAAATGGAAGAGCTCTCTCCTGCACCTCATGCGCCGCCACTAAAGTCTTGTGAAGGTCTACGTAAGCGGAGTAGCAAACCAACAGCAGCTAATCAAAGCTGCGGAGACGGGGCCTGCGAACGTGCAGAACGTGTCGACGGATCGTTTGCAGTGTGCGATCGTGTGTCGTCACACGCGTGAGTGACCCTTTGCTATCTATCGATTGGCTTCATTTTCATACTGATTAGTCCTCCTTTTGTTTTACGTATACTGCCTTGATTTGTTGTTTCCTAACATGCTGTTTATCGGATATATATATGTATGTATATGCGTGTGTGTTGGCTTCGTGCAGCGGTACTTCACATTTTCACGCAACGATCGATTCTCTCTCTTTGACTTGTTTAAATCGGTGCTTGACTACGCACGCAGGCGGATGGTTTTTTTTTTTTAAAGTAGTTATGTAAAAAGAACAGCGGCTATTAGCGGAAAACGCGATGAGGAGCGATAATGCTGGAATGACGTTCCACTTCCCCCCCCCCTCTCCAAAAAAAAGACCCAGCCGAAATATGGTAGTTGTGGCAGAGCTCAACGAGCACACAGCAAAAGGCCTGCAGTTCCGAGTTCTGCAGGCCAAAAAAGAAACATAGCCAACAGCAACGGAATACGTCCGAGTGCAGATGATACGCTTAAAAACAAAAAATGTGAAAGCGTTATTATTATTATTATTATGATCTTGTTTTTGTCTCAAATTCTTCCGATCGTCTCATGCGTTGTGCAACTGCTTGTCTTCTTCTTCCCCTCTCTCCCCTCTGCATTGCCTTATCTTATGAGCGTCCCACACACGAGCTGTTCCCTCAATTTGCAGAGACAAGAACTCCCTTCTCATTTACCTGGCTGGAATGAAAGTGGCATCGGTGCTCGGTGCAGGAGAGATGGGCAAGGCGTGTGCCTTGGCGCTTGCAGCCGACGGTGCGGCAGCTGTGCGCCTTCTCACTCGCGACGCTGTTCACGCCGCATTGGACTACAGGTACCACGAAGCATCAACCAACGCGTCCGCGTCCACCACGAAAAGAGCAGCAGCGCCACAATGGCCGCCTGCCATTCGCTTTTACGATGTCCAAAAGATGCTCCGCGACGATGCGGGCGTGGCGGAGTGCACGAAGGGGCCGCTGTTTATCTGCACGCCGATCACCGCGTACCTGCCATCGGACGATGCCTGGGCGAAGGCGGCACTCGGCGAGGAGCACAGTGCTGTCACTCACGATGTGCTGCAGTGCTGGCAACGTGTGAACTCTCCTTTGCCTTCGCCGGCGATGCAGACCAGCACGGCAACGCCTTTTGTGTGCCTTTTCACGCGTGGGTTCACCGCAGACGGCGATGTGCCCGCGCAGCTCACGGAGAAGCTGTTGAACGGAGGGGCATCGGCGTCGACGGCGGTCCATGTCGGTACGCCACGCAGAAGTGACAAGGAAATTCCTGTGGTGGTGGCTGCGGCGCCGCTGCTGGCGAAGGAGTGGGCCTTGCAGTGCACCCCTATCACGATCAACCCGGACGTGACATCGTCGTTATCCTCCTCTTCCCCACATTCTTCCTCTATTCCGCCTCGCCCACAAAGCGCGCTGAGCGATGAAACGGTAGAGCGTGGAATCAAGAAACAACTACATCTCGTAAAAAACACGACGGCAGAAGCTGCTGCTCCAGCTTCTCTGTACCCACACGCGTTCTCCGGCGTGTCGCTCTCCTTTGCTGCGTGGTCCCCGTCGATCCACTCGGACGCGGGCAGACAGGCGGCACTGGCCCAACAGCTCAAGGAGATGCTTCCTCGTGAGTCCATCACGTATCTGCGCGAGCCCGACGCAGCAGCGGTGCTGTCAATCGTGAATGGCTGCGTCCCGCTCTGCGCGTTCGGTGCGGGACTCGTCAGCAGCGTCTACACGGGTGCGAGTGTGAGCGCCCTCGCCTCCTACGCCCAGCACGCCACGCTAGCAACGGAGGAGTTAGTGAACCAGCTTCTCGACCGGCCCAGTGGGACACCGCTGCCGATTGCAGCGTGGTCCACGCTGAACGGCGCGAGCACCTCCTTGGCCTCGCGGGAGTTCGCGCTTGGCCGTCGATTCGACTTCTACTTTCGCAAACAGGACGCGGTGCAGGCAATCTTTCGCGGTCACGCACATCAGCTGTTTGCGGCGACGGTGGATGGTCTGCACACCCGCATGCAGACCAGCAGTGTAGCGAGCCCGTTTTATGAAGCGCTCATGGACACGTACAACACGATGATCCGCGCCTCGCGAGCAGGGGAAGGCCTGGTGAAGGAGGGCTACTACGGCTATAATGACGCGCCGAAGGACGAGGGTGTGCTGCTGCGACACGCGCTGCAGGTGGACGAGGCGATGCTTTCGGGCGACGAGGATCGATTTACCGCCGCGAAGGAGCGCTTGGTGAAGGCGTTTCCTGGCGCTGTGGTCCACTGATTTAAAGAGAAAATCTCTCCCCTTTCTTGATGGGAAAGATCTTTTCATGTGTTGTTTGCGGTCGTTTCGCACCCATATCTCGTTAACTTAATTCCATTCGCTCTATTATAAGCTGCGCGTGAGCATCATGTTTTTGCGCTGTTGTGAGTGGCAGTAACGAGAGGGGTTTCAGGTTCGCATCGGTATTGACCACTCCGACGATCGAACCGGCTTTATTAGTCATCGACGGCGACGTGGACCTCGCACAGTGGCACGCGCATCACCTTTCCATCTCCTAAGAACGGCGGCACATTCACACACCGACACGCAACTTTGCGTACGCTGTGCATGCGTACCTACCTCTGCTTTTCCCAATTTTCCTCCTCTCCTCTTCTACGCCTTGACTGCGCCCGTGCGTCATCCCGTCAACGTTGGCCCAGAGGGGTAAAACAAGAACCGCCTGCCATGACGGCGTCTCCATCCACGTCTTCCTCCTTCTTCTGCGCATCTTCTTCGCGATGCTCCTCACCTAAACTGAGCGTGAAGAGCCCGAAAGAGCCCTGTCGTAACGCGGCGCGTGGCGACCAACCGGAGGAGGTCCACTTCGCGCCAGACACGAGGTGTGAGCTTATTGCAGTCCCTTTCGCCTACCACGTGGCCTTTGCCTACTTGCACGGGACGCAGCTCTTCTTTTTCGCCGTTCTGCGAAAGCTGAATCGAGCGCACGTAAAAGACAAGCGCGTCTGCTTTGTGACGGACTACACAATCAACCTGGCCGCCGCCGACACCGGCGCCGTGTCTCGCTGCTCCAAAGTCGAGGACGCGGCGGAGCTCATTTGCGATGTCCGCAGCCGCGCCGTCGGCATCCGCATGCAGGGTCGTCCCTTCGCGGTCGCACCGCAGATTTACCTGCACTGGAACTGCTTCTACGAGATGCCGGTGGACCTGCTGCTTTTTGCGGAGTCCGACGAGCAGCTCGGCGACCTCGTGCGGGTACTCCGTTTTGTGTACCGACATTGCACCGCGAAGGAGCTGCCGTGCCGCATGCTGCAGCCGAAAGAGGAGTGGGAGGCGAAGCTGGTGCTGTGGGCGGACGGGTCACGGGTGAAGAAGAACGCCATGGCCTACCACCGCGTGCCGACGCCGCCGCCGGCTGCGGATTCACCGCGATTCGCAGGGCCGCCGTCCAGCAACGGCCTACGGTCAATTGAGGTACCGCGGACGCGCGGGGCTCACTCGGCCTCGACGCCTGGGCGCGATGCACGCCTCGGTAGTGCACTCGCTTCGTCGCCGCCTCCTCGGCCACCACCGCGGCGGTCTTTTTCACGTCCCATGGAAGGCGCTCGGAGGCTGGAGCTGGACGAGAGCCCTGCGACTCCGCCTCGCATCCGTGACCCCGGGCCGCAGAGGCCGATACGCCACCCGGTGGCGGAGGGCTTCTCGGCCACGAGGCGAGAACTGAATCCGTTGGCGCGGGACGCGAAGGTCGAAAGGAAAAGTGAAGCTGTGACAGCGGGTGTTCCCAGCAGCGGCGACGACAGCAACAGCAGCAAAGCCGCGCGTGCGCGTCGCCTCTTTGTCGATGACGATGCCGCTCTTGGCTCGGAGGACGCGCTGGCAGGACTTTACAGCCCCCTCACCTCGTCTCCGCCCCCTCCCGACCGGGAGCAAACGACACGGAGTAAAGTGAAGGCTCTGGAGGCGACGGTGCAGGCGCAGCGGCTCTGCATTCGCGAACTGCGGCGGTCCGGCTACTCCAAGGAGTGCGAGCTGGACGACTTGAAGCGACACTTGAGCGTGGCGTCCTCCTCGCATGGAAAGTCCAGCGCACCCGAGCCGTCGTCCCGCAGACACCAGATTCAACTGCCGAAGGACGAACAAATCAGTGCCGATGGCCGTCAAGAAGAAGGAGGACAGGGAAGAGAACACAAGGGGAAGCAGCACAGCCGTCACAAGCACCACCGCCACCCGATGAGCGACCACAACGACAAGCACCTCCCCCGCACGCGAGCGTCCTCCGTCTGCTCCTCTTCGAATCACGAGGCAAACCTGTCTACCGTCAAACCTATCCAAGGTGGCCGCGGTCGAGGGGCGGCGTGTCCTGTCGCGAAGGACGGCGGCGGTGCTGACAGGGGCGAGAAGTCAACAGCGTCAGTGCGAGAAGCGGAGCTGCAGCTGACGGACGCGCTGAGTCGTCACCGAGTGTTTGAAGAGACGGTGTGGTCTTACTACAAGGCGCTGCCGGCGGGGCTGCAGGAGGAGCTGCGCACCTACCATCGTGATGGGTCTCACAAAGCAAACGGTCTTCAGCGCCGACGCTCTACCGAAGAAGAGCTGAAGTGTCTGCAGGAGCTGGTGCGGCAGAGCGAGCGGGCGCACGCGGAGGACTCTTCGAACACCTCCTCCGCCCCCACGGCTGAGACGATGGCGGTGGTGGGCGATCAGATCGACGCCTTTGCACAGGAACTGGGGCGGAGGCAATATGAGATTGATGCACTGCGTCGACAGCTGCGGGACAAGACCGGCACGCGGCATTAAAAAAAAGAAAAACAGCAGCAACCACGCCAGCCCAATCCAAGTTTCTTGGGAACTCCTCTTGCGTTGCCTGGTCACTGCTTCACACACTGTGTTGCTGTCGGAAAGAAAGACGGTCAACGCCCTGCAAAGGTCAGAGAAACAAGACCCTTAGTGTACTTTGAAAACAAAAAAAAATAGAGCCTTGACCTACTTGCCTGTTGACGTTACCAGTTTTTCCGAAAATAAAAGCTTTCAACGGCGTCCGGGAAACCGCCGGCGTGGGCACCGAAGATCATGAGGAGGATAACGAAAAAGCACTCTTTACGCCTTTCCAGCCTCAGCTGACCGATGCGCCAGGATCTCTCCTTCTCCTTTTCTTCTGTGCGGATGCGTTCATTCCACTGCATGTGTGTGCGCGCGCCAGCTTCGTTTTTTTCTTCTCTTTTACGTGTTGCATCATTGTTTGGCACGCCGCACTCAACTGGCTTCCTCGCGTTCTCCTCTCCGTCTCTGCTGCCTTGTTGTTTTACCGCCGTGTTTTAATGCGGCCAGGTATTCACCGCCGGTTTTTTCCCCTTCGTCGCCGACCCCACTGAGGCGGTTTTCCCCTGTGTGTTTTTCTGAAAGCGAGGTCCACTCACAGGACCGAAAGCGGCTACTGTTAAAAAGTAAAAGAGTAATTATTAATTAGGAACTGTGTGGAGATCAAGAAGTCCCCACGAAGACCCTCGAAACTGTCAGTACAGCTGCAGAAGAGAGTTTTCTTTCTCCATTTCAGGCAGACTCCGCTGGGCGAGGAGACTTCCTTAAGACGAAAAACAGCAGAAACAAGAATACCTACTTCGGCAAGATGGGTCGCATCACAGTGGAGCTGCTCCGCCGCCGGGCCGAGCACAACGAAGGCTGCCTCTCCAACCTCAAGGAGATCGCCCTGCATCAACAGGACATTGAGAAGATCGAGCTCATCGGCGATGCCTGCCGCCAACTCGAGATCCTTTACCTCTGCAACAACTACATTGGGAAAATTGAAGGGCTGCGACACCTCAAGTGGCTCACGTACCTCAACTTAGCGGTGAACAACATCACCGTGATTGAGGGTCTGCAGGGCTGCGAGGCACTGGAGCGACTGGACCTGACGTTAAACTTCATTGCGGACATGACCTGTGTGGAAAGCCTGCTGGCGAATCCGTTCCTGGCCTCCCTGCACCTGACCGGCAACCCATGCACCAAGACGGAGGGCTACCGCGCCTACGTGGTGCACACGCTGCCACAGCTGAAAGAGTTAGACGGCGACGAGGTGATTCGAGCAGAGCGCATCACCGCGCGTCAGGCCGAGGATGTGGTGGTCGAGGTGGCGCAGGAGGAGGCGGTCAAAGCGCGCGAGGCGGAGCGGATCAAGCAGGAGATGCTAGCGCGAGGCATCGACCCTTTCCCGCCAAAGTTCAACGAGCAGGGCGAGCGGGTTTACGGGCACACGCCGGAGGAGCGGCTGCAGATGCTGCAGGAGCAGAAGGCGCAAGAGCGGCGGCAGAAGGAGGAGCAGGCCAACCCGCAGCCGGGTAGCATCGCCGCCGTGCACAAGGAGCTGCGCGAACAGCCGCAGCACGGCGGAGCGCGACTCACACCCGAGGCCGAAAAGGAGAAGTTCGGTCGTCTCCTTTTACGCAACGAGGGCCGTGTTCCCTTTCACATGGATGAGGACGCCGCGGAGGAGTTCGTCCTGACCGTCGAGCCGGGCAAGTTCATCTCCACAACGTTGCTCGCCGTGACCGTGGAGGTCGACGTGATCCGCGTCACCATCAAAGGCAAACTCCTGCAGGTGCCGGTGGCGGAGGAACTGGCGGCGGACGCGGTGCGAGTGCAGCGCTCGGCAACAACGGGTCAGTTGAAAATAACGGTGCCGTACGCGCCGGAGGTGCGGGAGCGACGGGTGAGTGCGCGAGGGCGATGGGAGCGTCTGCGCGGCGCGACGCCCGCCTCCGAGGGCGAGACGACGACTGCCGCTGCTGCAGCGGGACCGGTAGCAGAAAAGAACAAGACGAGCCACAACACACCGTCCTGCGCTGCTCCGCCTTCGCCAACGACGCGGTCTACTTTATTAGACATTGAGAAGCGCTTGAGTGGAACGAAGGGGGATGCGGCAGCGCAGAGTGCGTTGGCTGGAGCGGCGGAAAAGGCCAGCCGTCCCGACGCTTCCAAGGGGAACGCCGTGAGGTTAGTGGAGGAGATGGCGACCTTCTCTACTTCCGCTCAGGAGAGCGAAAACACCGGTACCGCAGCAGGACCTCCCGATCGCAGTAATGAGGGCAACCACTGGGACGACCTTGATTAAGATAGGTGAAGGCACTTCTTGCGCCACTGCTGCTCTCGCTGCCGCTGCCGCCGCCGCCACCCACAAGCCCTCGGCCTTTGCGTTTGGTGAAATCACTTATTTATGTATGTTAGAACAGCTGCTCTTCCACGTCTTCTTTCTTATTATTACTTCCCCCCCCCCCCTCTTCCACTACTGCCGAGCACCCAACGGTGCCATTTCTCTGACCTTCGCTGTTACTATTCGTGCCTTTCAGCCAGAGTCTATCTTTTCGAGGTTTTCTGAGTATATGAGTGACGCGAACTAACGCTGCGTGAAGGCAGAGTATGGTAGGAAATACTGACGCTTAATACACACAAACAGACAACGAAACGCGACCGAACTGGTGACCTTTTTGCACAGACGGGAGGGCTCTTCTTCCAATAAAAACCGCAAAACAGCAATAAGGATCGTAATGGAGTAGAAGCAAACCCGGCAGACCACGCCCTCTGGCGATGTTCATACCGCTTCGTCTCTCTTTACGGATAGCATCTTCGGCCTTCGTCCCACTCTTTGATTTTTTTTTCTCTCTCCTCTTGCTTTGCCTTCCCCCCCCCCATCTCAATTCTCTTTTCTGGTGTGTGGATTTTGCCTACGCATGACTGCCTGCGTTATTACCCAATCGTACCATCGCGAAAGAGTCTGAACGCGAAGAGCTGACTTGTTGCTGTTCGTGCCGCCCTTTTTTTTTTCTCTCCTTCTCTTTCGTTTCCCGATCCCTTTTCTGTGCTTTTATATCGCGCGCCCAGTTCGATCTCCTTCCCACGCCGCCGTCCGCTCAGCGCTTGACCCTCGATTATTAAGGTTCTCTTTGTCGCTGACTCACCACTTCTGTTTTTTTGTTGTTGTTGCGCTCTCCTACTATCATCATTATCACGCTTGATTTCACTTCCACGCCCGCTTTTTTTTCTTCTCCTCAATCTACTTGCTGTTTCCGTCGTGGACGATTTGCCGGTGCTGTATACGCAGGCACCTACAAAAAGCCTCTACCGTGTGACAGAGCCACTCACACAAAGAGCAATATATATATTTATATTTGCTGAAGTTTTCTTCTTCACTTTCCTTCTTCCTCTCCGCCAACATGGAGCAGCTTATCGGAGTTATCAACGAGCTGCACGACGCCTTCGCCGGCGTCAAGATGAACATCAAGCTCAACCTACCGCAGATCGCCGTCGTGGGTAGTCAGAGTTGCGGTAAGAGTTCCGTGCTGGAGTCGATTGTGGGGAAGGACTTCCTGCCGCGTGGATCGGGCATCGTGACACGGTGCCCCCTCGTCCTGCAGCTGGTGCAGCTCAGTCAGAAGAACGATGAGGAGTGGGGAGAGTTCTTGCACATCCCCAACAAGAAGTTCTACAACTTCGGCGAGATCAATGAGGAGATTACGCGCCGCACCATCGAGATGGCCGGCCCGTCCGCCATTACCGACAAGCCGATCAACCTAAAGGTGTACTCCCCCGCCGTGCTGAACCTTACCTTGGTCGATCTGCCTGGTCTGGTGATGAACGCGGTGGGTGACCAGCCGAAGGATATTGACCGCCAGATTAAAGAGATGGTCACCCGCTACGTATCGCCCAAGAACACCATCCTCCTCGCCATCTCGCCCGCCAACACCGACCTCGCCACGAGCCAGTCGCTGCGCCTGGCGAAGCAGCTGGACCCGGAGGGGGTGCGCACGGTCGGTGTGCTGACCAAGATCGATCTCATGGATAAGGGCACGGACTGCTTCGATGTCTTGACGAATAAGGTCCTACACCTGCGCCACGGCTTCGTCGGGGTGGTGTGCCGCAGTCAGCAGGACATCAACGACCGCAAGTCGATGGACGAGGCCCGCCAGGCAGAGCACGAATTCTTCGCGAACTCGCCCATCTATGCCCCCATCGCAGATGAGTGCGGGACCGCGTACCTCAGCAAGAAACTGAACAACCTGCTGCTGGAGCACATCAAGGCTGTGATCCCTGATCTGAAGCGCCACGTTGACCAGCTCATGGAGGCGACGAAGAAGCAGATGGAGAAGCTCGGCATGTTCGACCAGGACATCACCGAACCGAGTGCGCAGCTGCTGTCCCTTATCAAGGTGTTTAGTGACACGGTGAACCAGACTATTGATGGCGGCATCACCGACGCCACGAAGGAGTTGCTGGGCGGTGCGCGGCTGGACTACATCTTCCACGAGTGCTTCGCCACCTACGTGACCAGCCTTAGCGCGAAGAAGGACTTGACCGATGACTACATTCGCATCAATACCCGTAACATGGCCGGTATGCACGCCACCCTCTTCCCGTCCGATCAGGTCTTCGTGGCCCTGTCGAAGCAGCAGATCAGCCGCCTCGAGGAGCCGTCCATCAAGTGCGTCACCTTTGTCTACGAGGAGCTGCTGAAGATTATCGACATCTGTGCTGGCAAGGTGGACCGCTACCCGAACCTGAAGGAGGCGGTGATCGCGATTTGCCAGAAGATGCTGTTGGATTACCGCATCCCGACTTCGGCGCACGTGCGCACCATCATTAACGCCGAGCGCGGCTTCATCAACGTGAAGCACCCCATGATGGAGGAGTTGGCGCAGCGCGCCTTCGTCAACATCTACGGCACGCCGAGCGGGCAGCCGAACCAGCAGCAGGGACAGGGCCAGGGGCAACAGCAGGGGCAGATGCAGAATCCGAACGGCGCGAATAGCTCCGCCCCGGCGAACGACCCGAAGCAGTATGGCAAGGACGCGAAGAAGGATGAGAAGGGCAAGAAGGACGACAAGAAGATTGAGAAGCCGAAGGATCAGGGCTGGATCGACACACTAGCGGGGGCGGGCGACAGGTCGGACATGAACGACGTTCCCTCACGCATTATGCTCGGTAACAGCATGACCATGCACGAGCAGCACATGAACAACGCCATTCGCGAGATGGTGGAGGGCTACTTCGCGATTGTGAAGGGCAACATTGCCGATCAGGTGCCTAAAGCGATTACATTGCTCATGATCACCCGCCTGCGCGAGGAGGTGTACGCGCGCCTGGTGCGTGAGCTGTACTCTGAGAAGACCGCCAAAGCGCTGCTGGCGGAGCCGCCGGGGATTGCGGCGCAGCGCAAGGCCGCGAAGGAGATGCTGGAAGCGCTCACCAAGGCACAGAATGCCCTCAACAGCGTGCGCGACTACCAGCTGGCCAAGGACCCAACGACCGCGTAAGGGAGAGAGGCGACGCAAGGACAAGAGAGAAACGGCCGAAGGAAATGGTTATTTACTCATTACTCGCGTGATCTTGCTCATACGTTGCTAACGTTTCTCTGCACCTTTTATCATTATCTCTTTCTTCGCCAAAGTGCCTTCTCTACGGATTTTATGTTTGTCTTCTCAGCTTCGTTTACTGTACGGCGAACTTTTTCTTTCTTTCTTTCGTGCCAAGCAGCGACGAGCGGTGCTTTCTTCATGCGGTGATACGATGAGTAGATTTGTGGACGAAAGGCAAGCCACGCTTCACTGTTCTGTCGCAGCGAGGCTCACGCAGGAACTCTCTGTTTTAGTATTATTGCCTTTCCCTTTCTTGTGGATTAGACTTGGTGTTTGCATTCTTTAAAGAAAAGTATATTTATTTGTTTGATTTATTTATTGATAGCGAGAGGAAGAGAGTGCGAGAAAGAGAAAGAGAAACGAGTACAACACTGCAAAATCATCTCTATTCCTGTTTCTTACCGTCAGCCTATTTACTGTCTACCTTTGTTGCCATTGATCTCTCTTTCTCGACCTATCTTTATGGTGGTGGTGGTCGGGACTCTCTGAACACGTGATATATACTCATGAGAAGCAGCTACCAAGACGGTGCCGTTGGGCGGAAACGATTGATCTTGTTTGCCGTTTGATGAAGGAAAAAGCTTATCTAGAGAGAGTGAGAGAGAAGAGGAAAGAGAAGAGACAAGACCGCTTTCCATCATCGTGCTCGTCGTGTTGCGCGGCGAATGCTTGTAAGGAGGAACCGTTGCTTTTTTATTGGTTACTTTTAGCTGTGCTAGGTTGTTGTGCGTCCTTAAAAGAAGAAACGTAGCTGCCCTGTGAACCATCGTTTAGCGAATTCAACTAGAAGAAGCAGAAGAAGAAGGAAGACAAATTGGTGGAGGGTGAGGCCATCGCCGTGGAGGCCATCGCCGTGGAGGCCATCGCCGTGGAGGCCATCGCCGTGGAGGCCATCGCCGTGGAGGCCATCGCCGTGGAGGCCATCGCCGTGGAGGCCATCGCCGTGGAGGCCATCGCCGTGGAGGCCAACAGCTTAAAAAGAGGATGTGGAAGCAAAAATGATGCCGCCAATTCATCATAATTGGCGTCCTTCGGTATTCTTCTCCTCCGCCGATGTTTGCCTAACGCGCACGACACGCAGAAAAAAGAAGCGGTCGACTTTAAGGATTTCTTTCTGGGAAGCTGTACACATAGAGAGAGAACTCTTTTTTCTTTATCTCTCTCTTGCGTTCTTGGGAGTATGATCGTTGTTACCTTGCCAAACGGATGCGGTAATTCGAGCTGCACCCTTCCGCCTCGCTCGTAGGACCAACGCACTGCCTCAGAAAGAAACGAATGGTGCCTACCACAGGGTTTCATTTAGCGTACCGTCACTCTTCTTGACCTTCTCCCCCACTGTTAAAAAATCTTGTTCCATTCCGATTTGTTTTCCATACTATTAATCTCTTTTACATCCGTTTGCTGTCCGAACACGCACGCCGTAGAAGTCAGAAGTTTTTTTTTCTGCCTTTCTTTTCTCATTTCCTCTCTTGCTTATCTTTCATATATTTGTTTTGGTTGCTTCCACTGAACCAATATACAACAGCAAAAAGCAAAGACATCTCAGGATTACACATACCGTTCGTGATTAAACTTAAATCGCCATGTCTCGTCGTGCATCCCTTGTCGTTGCGTGCGCGGCCGTTCTGCTGGTGCTGCTCGCTGTTACCGCTTTCGCTGCGACGCCGCGATGTGCTGAGGACGGCTCCCGCATTGAGAAGGCGGTTGTGGCCTTCCCGGCCCTGCTGAGGGGTTCGCTGTCGTACAACGGCGTGAGCGGCTGCGCGTCTGACGCGCGCGCCTCCTTCGACATCGTCAACCGCAGCGCCATCTCGACGATGGCGAAGATGAACAACTGGGACTTCATCGTGGCCCTCCGCAGCGCCGATCCGGTGGTGTACACCCTCAGTGCGAAGTGCAACTCCGCGGTGGTGTGCGAGGCCCAAATAACCTTCGTTGCGAAGTCCGACTAATTGTATCTTCTTGGCTTCGAAGTCGTGCGCTTCGCTCTTTGACTTCAGCATTGTAGACTTGCGGGAGGGGGAGGGGGCGAACACGCACCCGCGCTGCAGAAGAAACCCGTGAAGTTGCGAGTCCACCACTCCTTCTTTCCCCTCCTGTACAGATCAAAATCCCTTTTGTTCTTGACGAAAGGGACGTAGAGCGCTGTTTCCAATTTCAGCCTTTGGCTTTTGCTTTTTATCATTGATCTTTTCTGTTATCTTCATAGGACCCTTTTTTTTCTTTTAATCCTCTGCCGTTTGTGTCAGTCAAAGTAGATGAACAGTATCCGTTTCTTTTTTTGTTGTTGTTGGGTCTATTCGTTTACACATAATCCATTCACTTATTCATTCACTGTTGTTATGCAGTCCAGTGCGGATTGGTCCCTCTATTCTGTTTCTAGCCGACAATCGAAGGGAAAGGCCAAGTTATGCACGCAAACCTGAATGGCAACGCACCACCACATTTTCATTGAGGAGATATTTCTCTTTTCTGTTGTTGGAGGAAGGCAACGGAAAAGGAAGTAAAGGGAGTAACGTGCAACTCGTCGACTTTTCGCTGGATTTCACCGCCATTTCTGCACACTGCTGCATTTGATCCAGTGTGTGTGTAAGTGGCGCTCCATGAAGGGACTTGTTCTTCTTCCCTTTTCTGATTTTTTCGTTTCGCTTCGTCTCGCATTGTGCGCCCATGTGTGCGGTAGTCAAGCAAAACAGTTACCTGCTCTCAACTGGCCATTATAAGGCACCATGAGGTCTCCCTGCCAAGCAAACAGGCGAAACGATCGTAGTCAGAATCGCTTTTGGGGGTCGTTTACCCAGAGAAAAAAGAAATGCTGTCTGTTTTCTTTTGTTTTCCTATTTGCCTTTTTTTTCCTGGTTAAGGTCACTTCACGCGAGGACTTGCAGGCGGCCAATCCTCCGCCTTTACCGATAAAAGGTGCGGTTCTCATGTATTCTTTTCTTACTCTACGCGAAGCAAGTGGAGGAAAAAGAGCGCTGCATCCGAATCGCATGAGAAAGGCAGATAAGCGTAATTGTGGACTCACATGAATTGGTTGCCGGACGTCAGCTTAGGCGCCGGTGAGCAGAACATTCAACCACCGGCATTCTTGTTTTGCAAGCCGGCTTGTGCAACTTGTTAGTGTTATTTATAGCGAATGCGTGGTGCGTTTTCGAGCGGAATGCGGCGGTGCAGCAAATCACGCTGCCCGCTGTCATCGTCTCCGTTTGCGGAATACATCTGCTGGTTTTCTCTCCCCAACACATTTTTCTTTCCTTTTCCCTACCCCCTTCCCTCCTCAACATTTCCTCCTGCTTCTTCACACGTTCCATTACGCATCACACCACACCCTTGCGCACACGCGCAATCGCCTCGTTAAGTCTTTATTTACCTTGCAGTGATAGTTTTTGGATATCATTGGGTTTTGTATTTTTCTTTGTGGGGCTGAAGAGTTCTCCTTTCCTTTTTGAGGGGCTCCGTGCATATCTGCGTGTGTGTATGTGTATGTCTATGCTGGTGCGTATACATTCCTCTGTCCTTTTTCCTGTACCTTCGTCTGTTCTCCGGATAGAGAGTGCGTGTGCGTGCCTTCTGCGAGAAACGACGTACGTCGTGCTGTTTGAAACTGAAGCATAGATTGCCCTCACTACATCCGCGGAGGCAATTCTGTCTTCTCGAACGCTGAGCTTCCGCAGCCTTTTTTCTTGTTGGGTTGTTATCCACTTCACTTCGAAAGGCCCACCCTTCATTGGTACGCGTCCCATCTATCAGCTGCCTCTGTATATTTGTGTGTGTGTGTGTGTGTGTGTGTGTGTGTATTGTGACGTCGTTTTATCGTAGCTTCTCTTTCTCTCTCTCTCTGTATCGACTGAGCTTTTATTTTGCCTTTACGGTGTGCACGAAGACGGTCTTCTCCGTATCTCCTCATTTTTCATATACACCTCTTAATCTTGTCATTCCACGGCAAGAGTTTTTTTTCTCTCTTCTTGCTGGTGAAGCAGCGGTAGAGGAAGATTGAAAAGGCAAACGGAGACCCACAATCATGCTTCGTCGTGGATCGAATACGTGGCAGGCAGTACTCGTCGCGGTTGTGGCGGCGATGCTGCTGGCCGTCGGCGTCCACGCACAGAGCGCGGTCCCGCGGTGTGACCAGGATGCCATGACATTCGAGGCCCAGGTCGACACCTCCTCCCTCGGGCTGCTGACCTACCATGGACTGAACTTCTGCCAGACGGACGTCGACGCCTCTCTGGAGGTGGTGAAGGACGTGGCGAGCCCAAACACCGTCGTGACGCTGGACGAGTGGACGTTCGTTGTCGGCATCAACAGCGTCACGCCCGCCGTCTTCACCCTCAACGCTCTGTGCGGCACCACGGTGGTGTGTCAAGCGGAGTTGACCTACGTCGTCCCTTATGTGGCCCCATCGTCGTCCCACGCTGAAAGCGGCAGCAGCAGCGTTCCCGTCTCGCCGTACCCGACCTGCACGCATGCCCCCAACACAGTCTCCTACAAGCCCGGTGCGACCTATCAGCAGAAATTACCGCTGGAGGTGACGGACGGCGAGTGCGTCTACACGGCCCAGCTGGATCAGCCGTCCACTGGCACAGTGGCCATGACGTCGCTGCCGCTGCATTACACCTTCACTTCGCCGTCCACCAGCACCGGCTCGACCTCGTTCCGCTACCGCGTGGCTTGCGATGGCGAGATTGTCTGTCAGAGCACCCGGACCGTCACCTTCGACCCCAGCAGCACCGTCCCTGTCATCTATCCCATCTGCTCCCACGCCGACAAGAACGTCACCTACACCTCCGGCACCGCGTCGATGGGAACCTTTCCGATGGACCTGCAAGACGCCGCCTGCGTCTACACTGCCACAATCACGCAGCCACCGTACCTCGGCAACATCACGCCGGCCACCGCGGGGCTGTCCTACACCTACGCGGCGCCCAGCGGTGTGACAGCCAGCAAGAGCAACACCGTCGGCTACGCGGTGCAGTGCAACGGCGCGACGGTGTGCGAAGACGCGCTGCGGGTGACGGTGGTGCCAGCACCGGAGCCGATCTACCCAACGTGCTCGCAGTCCAACAAGACCCGCAACTACGCGACCAGTTCGACGCAGACGGACAGCTTCCCGTTGGATGTGCAGGACAGCAGCTGTGCCTACACGACGGCCATCTCGGGCTGGCCTTCCGTCGGCCTTATCGTGCCCGACAGCACGGGGCTTGGCTACCTCTACGTAATGCCGAACACCGCCGTGGTGAGCACCATCACCCACGCAAACTATACAGTCCAGTGCGACGGCGTCGTCGTCTGCAAGGATCAGCTCACCGTGCGCGTGACACCGGAGGTGACCCCGACCTACCCGGTCTGCTCTCACGGCAACAAGCAACGCCGCTACCCGGTCGGCGCCACTTCGTCGGGCAGCTTTCCGATGGACGTGCAGGACGCCAGCTGCGTCTACGCGACGAGCATCTCCGTCGGGCCAGCGATGGGCACGCTGACGCCGAGCGCGAGCGGGCTGGGCTACACCTACTCCGTGCCGATTACTGCCAGCGTGGGGGCCGCGACGACGATCGGTTACCGCGTGGCGTGCGCCGGGGCCATCGTCTGCGCCGACACGCTTGCCGTTGTGCTGGCCCCCGCCTCCGAGACGACGACGAGCACCTCCACCGCTGCCCCGGCCACCAGCACCACCACGTCGACTACGCCGGCGCCGGGGACGCTGCCGGTGTGCTCGCACCGCACGGCGATGCGCACCTACCGCATTGGGGAGCTCTACCAGGACACACTGCCGCTCGATGTGGTGGACACCGCCTGCGCCTACAGCGCCGTCATCGCGGACCCGGCGGTGGGCACGGTGGCCATCCTGGGCAACGCCAACCCGCTCGCCTACGTCTACCAGACGCAGATGAACGTGTTGCCGCAGGACACGAAAATGAGCTACACGATCGCGTGCGACGGCACGGACGTCTGCAACGGCGCCATAGCAATTCGTCTCACCACAGATGCGGATGCCTGCCCGAACAAAGCCGTCGGCTACGTGGTGAAGCCTGGCGGCTTCATGACAGGCACCGTCAACTCAGGTTTCACGTGCGAGTCGGGTGCCACCGCGACGTCGACGCTGCGTTCGTCGGTGGCGGGCATGACGCTCAACACGGCCGGCGCCTTCACCTTCCAGGCCCCGAACACCGAGTTGGATGTGCGAGCCATCATCTTTATGCGCTGCGACGGGGTCGTGACCTGCCAGACGGAGGTAGTCTTCGTGGTCGCCTCCAGCACCGTCGCCCCGCCCACGACGACGACGAGCACCGTCGCCCCCATCACGCAGTGCCCCCGGTCCTTCACGTTCGACGTCCCGACGGGTCAGTCGCTCAGCGGCAAGCTCGACCCCATCCCAGCCACCTCATGCAACATCACCACCTACTTGATCGCGAACAGCAGCAGCGACGTCAGCGGCCGTCTGCGGGTGAACCTGCTCGGTCAGTTCTTCTACACCGCGCCGAACGCGCAGGGCGTGGACTACGCTGCCGTGGACGTGTACTGCGCCAAGGCCTTTGTCTGCCGCACCCAGCTCGCTTTCACCGCCTACACGCCGCTACCGTCCGTTGGCCCGACGACGTCGCCGCTGCAGCCGTGCGCCAACGTGTACTACTACGAGGCGGCGCCCGGCGTGGCGGTCAAGACGTCGCTGAACAACATGCCTGGGCAGGACAGATGCCTGCATGGCCGCTACTTTACCGTCAACACCGCCCCGCAGTCCGGCGCGCTGGAGATGACGCCGATCGGCGACTTTATTTACCGCCCTCCGACGCAGGAGGGACAGTTCCAGTTCACCTTCACGATGTACTGCCTGAACCAGCAGTACTGCGCCGGCACGGCCTACCTGCTCGTGTCGGACCAGTGGACGCTGAGCCCCGAGTCCAGCCCGACCCCAACGGGCACCGTCGGACCGGTGGTGATCACGAACGAGCAGATCACCTGCCAGGGTACGTGTAACGCTAACGCGTGGAAGACGTACCCGACGCCGCGTGTGTGGGATAATACCCCGGGCACCGGCTACGCCCGCAAGGATGGCCGCCCGGTCGACGGCATCTCCGTCACGTGGCGCAACAACTCTCTCGTCTTCCTCGTCTACAGCCTGATCGGAAACCTCGGCGTGCGCTTCCCCACCTTCGAGGCCCTCACGAGCACGAAGGGCGCGTTTATGGAGTCGCAAGACTTTGTGAGCGGCGTTGCGGCCGGCTCGCCGGGCTTTGAGATGAGCTGCCTCGACAACCAAGGCCGCGCCGGTCTCGGCGAGGACGTGTGGAAGTGGATGAGCCTCTCCTACGGCGCCGGCACCGGCTACGTCGGCGCGTATTACCGCGCCGGCTCGTCGTGGTACCAGAAGTTCGGCGGCAAGCACATTGGCTGCGACACCTTCGCCGATCCGTGCCGCTACGCCCCGCTGCTGACGCCGGCCAACTACACGAACACCTCGCTCGGCCGATGGTCGATCGACGTGAACGACTGCGATGCGACGTGGACGGGCGTCTTCCCGTACACCTCGCTGGAGAAGATGATGAAGCACGACGGCGCGCCGGTGTGGACCTTCGTCGCGGACCGGCAGGTGCAGGGCACGCTGTACTCCGAGGCGGTGCAGGCGAGCTCGTGGCTGGCGCCGGGCTCGTTTGAGACGCACTACGACACGCACGATATCCTCATTAGTCTAAACCAATTCGTGGCGGTGACCAAGACGGGCACGCAGGAGTCCCTCGTTTCGGTCGACGCGGAGTTCTTCACCTACGTGGATGCCGCGACGGGCGACGAGGCTTTTGGCATCAACATGCTCGTCTACCCCTTCGTGGATGACACCATGGCGTCGAGCTACGCCCGCGACCGCCACGTCGTTGGGTTTAAATGGGTGGAGCAGGAGTGGATGTCGCCCGACGCGGAGCAGTGCCCGACCTGCACCGGTACGAAGATGAAGTGCACGGTGCCGCTGGAAGGGACGGACGCGACCTACAAGGGTGCCTTCCCGGAGGGAGACTGCGGCAACGGCCAGGGACGCGTGCACCTCGTCAAGGGCCCTGCCATGTCCGTCGACGACTGCGCCGTGAATCAGATGCACGTGTACAACCGCTCCGGCTTCTCAGCGACGCGCAACTGCAAGGCGACCTACCAGAACGTGACGCTGCGCGGCATCGTCCCGGGCAGCCGCAACCTCGCCGCCGTGTTGAAGCGCGCCTTCAACTATGAGGGCGTCATTCAACTCATGCTGCAGATGGAGAATGGCGGCTTGGAGCGGCTGAATATGCACCTCTCCATGTACGTGTCGCGCCTCTCGAAGGACGCACAGCGCGTCGAGGGCGGCCTCAACACGTGCCGCAGCGGCAGTTACTGGCCGGTGCTCGACCCCCTCGGTACGTCGACCCCCGCCCACCCCTTCGGCCTCAGCGTCTCCGAGGCGACGCCGCTCTGCATTGACGACCTCAGTTCCTCCTACGGACCGAGCGACTGGGCCCTCTTCACGATGAACATGCCGGGCGTGAAGCCGAGCGAGGTGACGGTGGGCAGCGTGTACGTGCTGCTGAACAACACGCGGGTGTACCTCGTCTACAAGGACCCCGCCACCGGCGTCGCCGCGATCCCTGACGCCGCCAACGGGGCTTGGTGGCAGTACAAGTATCCCTTCTTCGCCTTCCGCGACCTCTCCGCGCACGTGCTGAACCACAGCATCACCTTCAGCCCGCAGATGGCGAACTCAGCCGCGGCGGCCGACATCGTCTACGCCTTCACCTTCATCCCCGGCTCGCTGGGCCTCGACACGGACATCGAAGTCGTCGTGGAGGCCGTCATCCAACAGGCCGGCGTCCCCGCCAGCAGCACCGAGCTCCGCCGCGTGCTGCACGTCGACCCTCTGCTCACCCAGCTCAGCCGTCAGGGCCCGGTCGCGAAGCCGTCGACGCCCTCGCGCGACAACGCCCGGCGAGACTTGTACGCAATCGGCGCGACCGCCGGTGTGGCCGTGGCGCTCGTCGTCACCGTAATCTTTTTCATGCTAGCGGACAACAACCGGCCGTTGCCCAAGTGGGTGCCGCGTGGCAAGCTTATCAAGGATACGGTGCTGTCGATGCTGCCGGCTGGCATTCGTGGAAAGAAGAAGCTGAAGCGTACTGTGCACAAGGACATGTACGACGCCATGAACTCCGGCCGCTACTGAGGCAGCGCTCGAGGCCCCAACCGTAGTGAAGAACCCATACTACTTCGGGGGCGCGTTGCCGAGTAAGGGAAATTGGGCTCGTAAAGGGCAGTTCTAAATGCAAAGGGACCGCTTCGAAAAGACAAGCCAGTTTTATGGCTGCTATTTACACCTTTATGGAGACTGTTTTTCTTCTTCGTATGCGTGCGTTGGTGTGTCCGGTGAGGGGCGTGCCTTTGCTCCTTTACGCTTAACTGTCAAAAGATCCGCTGTTGCTGCTGGCACCACGCCGTGCCTCTTCTTCGTTTTTTGTTTTGTTTTCTATTTCCTGCGTCTCTGAATTTGGTTGTTGAGTAGAGCCTTTTTTTATGTAGCAACTATTATTATTATTATTATTATTATTATTATTATTATTATTATTATTATTATTATTGAGTGTTGAACCTGCTGGGGAGACTTCGTAAGTTTTCGATGCTCGTGTGTGCGTGTGTCCGTGTGCCTGTGCGTTTGCGTTGTTGTCTTGCAGGATTCATGTCTCAGAGAATATGGTGTACTTCGGTGGAAAAGAAAAATGAGAACTTTTACCTCCCTGTTTGTTTGTTATCACGATCGGCATCGTTGATTGCGTGCGTTCGTTGTAATTGTCCGCTACGTGTGGGTTCTGTTCCTTTGTGATATCCCTCTCTCGTGTCTGTGTGTGTGTGTGTGTGTGTGTTGGCGAAGCTGTTGACGACTTACCGGATTATCTAACGAAAGAAGACAAAGCGAAAGGTTATCGATGAAACCGGCTGTGCCTGTGCCAGCAGTTTTGGGCTTTCTTACCTGGTGGGACGTATGCGAGCGTTTCCCACTGACGTGAGCGCAGCGCGGAAGGCAGTGCATCGCTTCACATGTCCGAACAGACCAGAAAGAGAACCGATGCGTTTTTTTAAGGACTGTGCGTTTGTGTGATTTGGGCCCGACAGCAAGTAGAGGAGTGATGTGACGTTGCAGCGCAACACAGCGTAGCAGAGAGCAGCATTCTCAGCTAAACTGGTATGAGACTAGAAGGAAAGGATGCTTGTTGCGCTCTCCATTGCACTTGCCGCACTCCAGTTTATTAAGTGAAGAGGGGAGACAGCGGTGATGTTGTTGTTGTTGTTGTTGTGTGTTGTTTGTTTCTCCCACTCGTCTTGCATCCAACTTCTTCTTTGTCTTTCTTTTCCATCTCCGTATTCCTCTGTGAGAAAAGATCATTTCTCGCTTCCTCGTCAGGGACGTGCGAGGGGATTGTGCAGCGTAAACATACACACACACAGAGAGAGAGACCCACAGACACGTGTACCACCTTCAATACGCCCTACTCTCTTAAGAGGCTCTTCTGTATCAGTGTCTTTTCTTTGACAACCGATAGCTATTACACTTCTTCGTTCGCTTTTACTGTTTCCTCTCAAAATTGCTGGCTCTCGTCGCAGCAATTAGCTGCTTTTGCCATTTTTCTTTGTTTGCAATTCCTTTTGTTTCAACTGTCCTTCACCTACGAGTCCTTTTTGTATACGAGCAAACGCGGTCGTTCTTTCTTTTGGGTTTGTGGTGTTGTCATCCGGCCTTTTCTTTCCCTTGTACATATCCCATCGTCTCTTAGTTTATTTAATACTGTTGGCGGCGTCTACCGTAAAGAAACGCCTTCTTTCGCCCCACACAGCACCATAGTTTGCTTCTTGTACTATTTTAGTTTATATCCCTCTTCCCTTGCTTTTTTTTTCTTTCTCATTCCCTTCTCTAAGTCTAACCGAACCATGACCCTCAACGCAAGCTACAGCAACATGCGGTCCAGCCAAGACCGCGGCTTTTCAACCCGCAACGCGTCGTCGGCAAATGAGGTGACGGCTCGGTGCAAGCACTGCTCTAAGGTGATGCCCGCGGAGAGCATGGAGGAGCACGAAGCATTCTTCTGCCCACTGAAGCCCGTCTGGTGCCAACACATTAAGGCGAACGGAGACGTCTGTGGCTTCGTCTGCAGCGGCGCCGACGCCCTGCGCGACCACTACAAGACCTGCAAGGACCACCCACGCAAGCGCCGCGCCGGCGCCACGCGGGAGGGCGGCAGCCCCCGCGGTGCACCGGACCGCGGCGTGGAGCTGTGCGAGGATTGCCAGCGGGTCTTCTCCGACCGCGCCAGCCTGATGGAGCACCAGCGCATTTGTCCGTTGAAGAACGTGTCCTGCCCGCTGCACTGCGGGCTGTGGATGCAGCGCAGTCAGGTTCCCGATCACATCCTCCACACCGCCATCAAGCACAAGCCGCTGCATCGGCCCAGTGCGACGAACTATGGCGGCGATAACATCCACATGGTGGTCGCCGTCCTCATGGAGGCCTTGCAAAACGCCAAGAAGGCGCAACAGCAGCAGAAGCTCCTCTATGAAGAGACGATGAGCAACCTCGGGGCGAGCAGGTCCTTCAGTCACGCCTCGCTGCGGCGCAGCATCGCCTCCGTCGAGGACGCGCCGGTGATGGAGGTCGGCTCTCTGAAATCGCAGAACAGCACCTCGCCGCGGGTCGCCGGCTCTGTCGAGTCAAACGGACTTCTCGCCGACATCGCTGCCTCTGCCTCGTGCGGCTCCAGCGAGGAGAGGATGCACAAGGCAGACGGGACAGCAGAGGGCCACGACGACGACAACGACGCCTCAAAGTCGCTCTCCGGTCCGCAACTTGCAGCGCTGCACAACCAAGGTGCCGCACCGCCTGTGAATGCAATGAAGGCGGCGACGTCAGCGGAGGCGGTGGGGATGGCGCCACCACCGTTGTCGCATTGTGCAATGCGTCATCGCAAGCTCAAGACACCCAGGGGCGCAAAGGGGCGGCGGAACACCTCCGCGGCGAAGATGGCCCCAGGCCCCTCACCGGCAAAGACTTCTCTTCGCACTTCGCTGTCGGCCGCGGCCTGTCCGCCTTCCACCGTGCGATACGAGGATTTTGTGATGAGGGCCCCTGTGCCCGCCGTGCGTGTCAAGTCACCGCTGTGCGTCGTGCGTCTGCGACCCAGCTGCGCTCGACCCCCCGCGAGCCCACTAGTGGCGCCACCGGCGAATGAGGCCGAGCTGAGTCCCCATCCGCAGTTATCAGAGAGCCCCATGGCTGTCAGCCCCCGCGTGAACGGCACCGACGCCGGTTCATAAATCGTGCTCACAGCCGTGTCCTTCTTTTTGTTGTTGCTATTCCAACTCGTCAACAGTGCATTTTCTTTCCTTGTGTATGTGTGCGTAGCTGTTTTACATTCAGGACCTTGTCTGTCATCGTCTGCGTGTGCATGGGCACTTTGCGTTTAACATATTTTTCTCCTTCTTCTCAAGCGGTGCTTTTACTTTTTGTGTATGTTCTATATATTTTTTGTTCTTCAGCAATGTGGCGGCCGATCTTGCCGGCTTTGGTTTTCGTATTCTCCTCTACCGCCATAACTTCCATATATATATATATATATATATATATATATATATATA